TCCGAGCACTACATGAACTACATTCTGAGGTTAGAGGACTTAAGGTAAGCAATTGATTGAGGGCTCTTTGATTATTTTACTTTGGTCAAGAAGCTTGTTGGAAATATCTCAGTTAATCATGCTAATAACTGACTGATAAATGACATCTGCTGTTTCTACAGTGACCTAACAATGACCGTCTTGTATTTGCAGAGACAGCTTCATGGCCAGGTGGCATCTCAAGAGGGTGGGAGTGGTGAGCTGAGGAGCTTCATTAAAGCCTGTATGGTGCTGAAACAGCGGACCACAGAGGACATTGAAAGAATTAGGAGACACTATGAAAAATATGGGTACAGACCACGCAAAGCCTTCCAGAAAAACTCAGGTGCAAATCTGTCACGACTGTAGTGTTTTCAATATAAGTGCATTGATCGTAAGTCCCTAAAGTGGAAAAAAATCTACAATTTGTTTTTTTTATTATTTAATATAATTTCAAAACAAACCCAAAATCTGCTGACTTGGGCTCATTTATGGTTTACCTTGTTTTCTAGAAGTAACTGGTCAGGCTGAAGCAGAGACCAAGCCTATCATTGAAAAACAACCAGAGAGAGAGCTGGCTGTCGAGATGGCAGAAGATGGAGAGGAAGCGGAAGTTCAGGAATCTAAAACACCTGAGAGAATGCCACTTCCAGCTGTTGACCAAATGCGTACTCCGCAGCTCGCAGATTTTGGCCTGTCTGCACTCCACCTGCAGATGGTGCTTTGCAATGCAGAACTGTCTGCATGTGAAGTACCTCCTATCCCAGCTGTGGCTCTCTCACCACCACCACCACCACCACTTGTAATGACCATGCAGCCATCCCTGCCAAAGACACCCAGATGCTCTCTGGTTATGGATGAGGATGCTCCTACCCCTCGATTGGAAGACTTTGGTATTACAGAGCACACAATGTGCTTGAATAATGATTTCACCATGGACTTGTTCCGCAAGAAACCGCCAAGGAACAGGCAGACTCACAGGTAGTCACACATCATTAGTGTGCTACAGAGTGTGTACTTGTGGAATCATATGTGTATATATGAGAACACTGCAGCTCTTTACAATCTAGTACAAAATATTTGCATTGATTTCATGTTTTTTGCGTCTTTATAAGTGCAACAGAAGAGACTTCTCAGAGATCTCCTCCAAATAATTCTACTCCACCATCTTGTATCCCTCAAGAGAAGCTAAATGGTAAAAACTATATTTCTTATATATAATTTTGACATTCAAGCTAGACTTTAAGTTACTAGAATTTGGTAGTACTCTTGAGTTCGCCCAATAGATTCTTCAGTTTGCATGACAAATACATAAATTATTTTTTAATGATTATTATTTGAGGCTAAAGTGCAGAACTGTGTGTGCTTCACCTGCTTGTAGATGATGGCATTTTTGTGGAATTGTACTTGACTTTTCCCCAGTGCTAGGCTCCCTCTAGTGGACAAAACTGAACTTGAGCATCTTTTTAAGGAGAAATGTTACTCATAATTCCATTGATCAGATTTTCCATTAATTTACAGATTTTTTTTAACTTACCTGTAAGTTAAACCCATGTCTTGCCCAAGATAAGCCATAAATGCTTGTTTATTAGCACCAACAATTCTCTCCTGACTAATTGGCCATCGCGTGTTATTCTATTATGTTACGCAGAGAGCATGGAGTCCCCAGAACTGCCTGCGTTTTGTACACTGGATCTTAAGATGAATAAACAGCTGGTCTCGTCCTCTGCTCAGCCAAGCAGTCCTCATTCCCCCCCTCACCCTGGAAATGCTGCTGCTACGCCTGAGCTTCCAACGTTTGAGACGCCTTTCATCAGCAAGCTGATTAGCGCAAGAAAGGTGTGTGTCTTAGATTCAGATGTTTGACATTTAACAACACAACAGTATGGGCCAGAAGTGTAGTCTACAGTTTAGGCCTGTGAGCAAAGACTAATAAAGTAGTGAGCTAGGGAGTGTTTGACAAAGCAGGGTTTCTCAGTTAACCAGATAACTTTAAAGTTGAGGATCGGATCCAGTAGGAATATTCTTTTTGTTTTGATGAGCTTGACTTTAGCTTGGCTTTAGTTATTTGGCTAAACAGAGAAATCATATTTTGTGAAATACTCTTCTGGTGAGTGTGCATGTATGTTATCACAGTGATTATAGTGATGCCACCAGTGATCCACTATACCTTTCTTAGGAGACCAGACAGGATGAGCAGGATGGTCTCACAAGATCACTGAATAGCATGTCCAACTCTTCAGAATGCCCAACAGTCAGAGTTTCATCGTCTGACATGCCACAGATGTCAGCCAGCATGTATCAGACAGAAGAGAGTACTCCTGAAATGCCAAAACTACAATCTTTTCTCGGCCGTTCTTTACCTTGTGTAAGTAGATATCATCTACCTTAGAATCACTTTTTAACAATTTTTAAGCACGCAATAAAACCAGATCTGCTCACCCCATGATTGACTTCATGGGATGTAGATGGGAGGAAATAAGCAGTCAGGAATAACTGAGCCTCCACCCACCGTATTACACCCGAATGATGACCACACTGAGGACTGGTGTCTAGCCACCCCTCGTGTCCGGATGGAGTTCCAAGTAGAGCCGCGCACACCAGAGATGCCTGATATGAGTTCCATTACCCAGGATATCCTTAAAGTAAGATACCTTTGTTACTTTTGCACTCACTATGACGCTGTCCTGAGGTGTGCTACAATAAAGAGAAGCCGTGCATATTTCTGCTTTGAGTATACTTATTTAATCGAGTGGGTGACCACTGTTTTACAGCATAGAAGTTCATCAAACGTGTTTAACATACACAAAAGTATTAGAACAGTGTTCAGGAAATTGAAAAATGCTTTCAAAGCTAGGATGTCTCTGAATAGCCACTCTTTGCCCTAATAATATGTTCCAACACATGCCATTTAGCTCACAATTTTTGTAAAGGAATTACTAGGGTTAGGGCCACATACTGATTTAGCGATAATTATTGATAAAATTGGCGTTCTATGCTCCAATCTGAGATCTGAAACTCCAGTTCTGGTTTTGCTTTGTTTATGCACGCAGGAGTATGTTGTCTTTGAGCCATCGCATGAATGCAAGTCACTGGTGTGCTGCCACACTGGGAAAAAGAAGCAGTATTTTATGGTATTGATTTTTGTCGTGAGGTCTTTTCATACCAAGACAGTTTTTATGGATGATAAAACAGGATGTAGTTTTTAACTCACTGAAACCTTTGCGTGAATTCTGATATGCTTCAGTTATTAAACAAATACCCTGAAATGGATCCTTTGAGTTGTAACGGCAACAAACTTAGCATTTTTTGACTCAAGCAGGCGCTGGATAATGGGCCATTCTGCTAAAAATATCTAGCAGCACAGGGAGTTGTGCTGATTTAACTGACTTGAACTACATTGCAGTTTTGTCTAACCATGTAATTGAAAGGTACAATATTTTCTCATTTGCTTATTATGATATGCTTATATAAGAATGCACAAATAATGATTATTACATGATTATAAGCATGTTTATACAATTTAAAGCACACACACACACATATTCATATTCATTCTTAACCATTAATTTAGTGTGTAAAAATGTATTCATATTTTTTTGTCATTGGCAGATGTTTATCTTTTTTTCCTGTATGAACTAGTAGTTTGAGTTATCCACACTTAATGAATGTTTTGTATTTATTTCTAAAGCTTGTATCTCAGGGTAATTGCAAACCACTTCCCTCTGCATCAGTGCAACAGGGCTCAAAAATGAGTTTGCAGACAGTGGCAGCTGGGAAAGAGAACAGGTAAGAGCATTTTACTAGACTAATCCTGACTTTTATTTCCATCCAAATAGTAGTCTTGCTTTATACATTATGCTCTCGACTGAACTGCCCAGACTGGTTTGAACTATTACCTATGGCTTTAAATAAACTATTGTTGCTTTTTGTTGACAAGAGCTCAGGTTCTCAATCACGTGTCTGAGAAAGAGTTTCATGGACTGGCCTCTTACATGAAACAGATCCCCCTCACCAGTCTGAACCAAGCGATCAATAAAATTAACCTCGTGGTTGAGGAGCGACACAGAGGTCAGTGGAAACTCAGCCTTTATAGCTCACATTAACAATTAACCAGAACCTCTTTTTGCCATTCTTTGTTATACTACATTAGAATAATAAACCTTCACAACAGCTTAAATATTTAACTTTGCCCTTTGTGACAGATGGTGACTCTAACTCTGAAGCATTTCATATGGAAGATTTGAGGAAGATATTGGACGTGGGGCCTCAGGCACCAATGTACATCTTGTCTCTTGTTGAACTGAAAAGGTTGGAGAATGTGCAGGGGTTTGGGAGAAATGCAACTTTCAAGATCCTGACTAACACATAAGAGAGACTTTTTAACAGTACTTGATGTCATTTGTTGTGTAAATACAGATTTTGTATTTTGCTAGAAATTTGTCATACTACTTTTTAGAAGGTGCTAATATTTGTGTTTCACTTGCACAAAGTTTGGCATCATCAGAATAGGAAGAACAACCCAACCACCTGGCTTTATTTTTTTGCTTTTCATTAACTTGTAGTGGAACAATTATTTAATTATTCTGCCTTTTAAGTGAAACATGCACATTGTTTTGACAATAAACTGTACTTTATATAAATTGTATAGAAATTACTCCTCTTACACTTTTTTAATTTATTGTTGTCTATTATTTTATGCATCAAGCTAAGGAAGTGGTCAGTAATGTATGTTTATACATAATGGTCCAGATATACAAATTAATAGTAACTAATAGTGACTAAATGGCATTTTAAAGTCTGATTCCATTCTTTGTAAATTGCTTTTGCCAGAAGAAATTTTGTTAAAACAATGTTTTGTAGTGTGGTTAAATACTTAAAGTTAGTAAATTGCAAATCAGTGTCACATTTGTGTTAAAGAGGAAAGGTCTTGTTGCCAATATCTTTGAGTCTTAATTACATCATGAAGTTGACAGACAACGTCTAGGGAAAAACAACTTTATTCATCAATAAGTGTACATGGTGGTGTTAAGTCTTAAACTCAAAGCCAATGAATGTGATAAAAAAAAAATTAAAAAAAAAATCTGTGAAGAAACTGACAACAACAAAATGTAATCATGTAGACAAGACTGTGCAGGCACCCAGGGTTCTAGTGTGGAGAGGGTCAGTAGGGTCTCATGCGGCCTTGCAAAGGCGGAGCACGGTTTGGAGGAGTGATGGCGATGTCCAGGTAGTCTCCTATCTGAAAGCGCTGAGACTGCAGGGTCATGGAGTCATCTGCACCCTTACGGCCTGATATTGTGTTCCCAATGTCTTTTACTCTAACAAAACAAATGTATGGGATGAAGTAAGTATGCATGTAGTAAAATGCAACTTTTCCCCCTGTCCATTTTCCTAACTTTGCCTGACCTGAAAGCCACAAAGATACAAATGCTAATCTGCTTAGCCAATGTACGCTACATGTTCAAATGTCTGTAGATACCTGATCATTCGACACTGCTTCTGAAATCACATGTATTAATTGGGAGTTTGTCCTGTGCTACAGTAACAGACTACTCTTTCATTAAAGCTTTACACTAAATGTTGGAACGCTGGATTTGACTCCATTCAGCCATAAAAGCATTAGTTAGGTCAGATAGTGATGCTGGATGATTAGCTCTGAATCACAAATGCCACTCTGACACATCGCAAAGATATTTGTTGGAGCTCCATCACTTCAGGTAATGCAGAGTCACCGCTCCACAGTCCACTGCTGGGGGCTTTAATTCCTGACACTCAGTATTGGCCATGGTAACCTTGGGTTCATGTGCAACTACATTATATTGGCAGTGCTTTTATATGGAATATGTACACAATGGGTATGAGCAAAGGAGCAACCTTAAAGTAGCCGAACTGACTATTTAGAAGGGTCTGCATGCTTTTGTTCATGAGGCCATGGGCTACAGATCAGGCATAATTAAAGAAAAGCAAATAAGAAGTAAAGTTTCATGCAACTGTTTGGACATGGACAACTTACTAACGTGTATTGGACTGAGAAGAGAGATATTCTACGTTACCTGTAGCCTTGCCGCTTGGGGTCTGGGTACACAATGGCAAAGCCGAAATGCGTGCCTTTTTTTCGAGCCTCAGGATAAACCTCCTTCACCAGGCTGGTCAGCTCTTTCAGGGTGGCGTCCATCCTATTACACATAAAAATACATCAACATGTAACGCTAGCTATCATATTTCCAATCCACAGAAGACATGAGAAGTGGAAGAGCCAGTGAAGTAACATTACCAAGTGTAAATCTGAAGCTCGCTCGACGGTACATTTCCCCGGGCAAACTCATCCATTCGGTGATGCCTGCCATTATTTGTGGTGAAAACTCTAAGCAGCAGCGGACATGTCTGCAACAGAAATACAGCACATGTCCAACAACATTCTCCATCAATCTGAAGAACCATTTCACTATGCAAAGTACCCTTAAGTATTAAATGCTTCTATTTATAACTCATGGTTCTAAACAGAACCATTCCCTTTACTAAAGATCCCTTGAAGAACCATTTTGAACGTAAGTATAACGTTGTTTGGTTAGCTAACAGGCTAAGCTACTTTTTTTTCTCCACCATTTACGGAGCTACTATCAGTGTAACGTTAACTGATGATCAGAACGAGATCAAAACTTCGACAGTGTTTCAGCACCAACGACAGATGGTTAAATTTACCCACAGATACGAAAAAAGCTTTACTCATAAACGTCAGCTAGTATGTTAGATAACAGACTGTGTAGTTAGCGTTAGCTTAACACGTTCGCTACTGCTAGGAAACCAAAGAAATAACCGGTGTAGCTACCTTTTCTCTATCAACTGGCTTCTCTGGCTCTTTCTTGATTTCCTCCTGAGTAACTCTCGATTCGACGGCCATCGCAATCCCTTTTTCTTCGAGTGAAAATACGGACTTAATCTCCACAAGACGCTGCTTTCGCCGACCTAAAGAAATCTTGTCCAGCAGGCGCATTAGGGTGACGTCACATGTAGCGGTTGTGCGAGTCGACCAATCGCGGCTCTCAAAACGTATCCCAACTGATGACGCGCTCTGGAGCCGTCCATGCATTTCTATGGCAGTTTCCCCCACCGCCATTTTGGGAGTCAGAATATTAACAGTGGCAGTGAGGGGCTGAAGACGTACATGCTTTTGGTGTCTTTAATATGGTTCACACGTGTGTGGTGGCAGGTTGTCGGAACAGGAGGACTCCCGGCACCGCCTTATCCTTCTACAGGTTCCCGCGGGACCCGGAGAGAAAGCAGCGCTGGATCGCTGCTGTGAATCGTGAGGGCTGGATGCCAAATGAGGGCAGCAGACTCTGCAGCACTCACTTCATTTCAGGTAACGGCTGTCTTCGTTAAAAAAGTTATATAACATTAATATACCATCCACAGAATGTGATGGACCAGTCGTCATGTAGTAGCTGACCATCAGTAAGCTTACATGGAGGGAGGAACCAGGCAGGAATGGTCTCAGTATATTTATTTATTTATTTTATTTTCTTTCACTGAGCTTGTTCATAACTCTGTCCATTTCTTGCCCATGTCACAGGTAGACAAGTGAAGAATCCTAGGTCTCCAGACTATGTTCCTTCGGTTTTCACCTCTGCTCCCCTCTCCTCAAATATAAAAGAACCCAATCACTTTGAGCCTTATGACAAACAAGAAGCACAAGTGGAGGCTGCCAATGCATTGCTTTTCCTACAAGGCCAGGCACGTTTGAATGCAGACCTTAGCCATAACCACTGTCAAGGAGATCTTGAAAGTGCAACCTCCTCCCTAAACAGTGATGACGAAGAGGATGATGATGACAATGATGACGACGACGACGACGACGATGATGATGAAGTAGAGGAAGAAAGTCTAACGGAAACTGAAGACCGGAACAAAGAGATGCCACTCAGAAACAGTTCCACACAGTTAGTTAACTATGAGGCCAGTCTCAATGCCCTGAAAAAGGAGAACATGGAACTAAGGGAATCGTTAGAGAAGATGTCTCTCACTGAAGCCTCTTTCAGGAATGATCCAGAAAAAGTTCAGTTCTATACCGGATTGCCAAACTATTTTGTGTTTGAGACAGTAATGTGGCTGCTCGTGCCCCACATGAAGGGGGACAGAAATGCCAAGCTTTCAAAGTTCCAACAGTTACTTCTGACATTAATGAGACTTCGACTTGATCTTAGGAATCAGGACTTGGCCTACCGCTTTGGAGTTAAAGTTACCACGGTAACCAGAACTGTTCATCGAATCATCAACATAATGTTTACCACTCTTGTACCCACTGCTGTGTATTGGCCATCTAGAGTGGAACTCCGGAAAAACCTTCCTGCAGCTGTGAAGTGCTCACATCCAGACTGTGCCGTGATTATAGACTGCTTTACGGTGTCCCTTGAAAAAGCAGTCAGTGTAGATGTAAATCCTCAAGGTGCCACATCAACAGCAGAGATGGTCACTCAGTCACCACACCCAGCTTCTGTCAGTGAGCTCAAATATGTGATTGGTGTTGCCCCCCAAGGTGTTGTCATGTTTGTCTCCAGGGGGTCACCTGGTAATGTTAGCGACAAGACTCTAGTACAGAGTTGTGGTCTTCTTTGCAAACTCCTTCCTGGGGATGTGGTACTAGCTGAGCGAGATTTTGACATTGGGGACTTGGTGGGCGCTCGCAGAGCTGAGCTCAAAATCACTAGTAGTGATCATGGTGAGATTGGCCGAAGTGACCAGAGTATGAGAGAGCAGGCCTCACTGGTCACTGCAGAAAGAATGAATGTGTATAAGCATGTGGGGAGGGTCATACAAATGGTCAAAAAAAGATACTCTATGCTGACTGGACCTGTGGAGAGCCCTTTTACTGTCGTAGACCGTAGCTCGGATGTGACCACTTTTGACAAGATAGTACAGGTTGCCTGTGCCTTAAACAACCTGTGTATTTCTGCTGTCCCACTAGAGTGATTTGCATCATAGAGCATGTGAAATACCTGGATGATGGGTAATGACACTGAAGGGATTACACTTAATAGGCCTTGTTATGCTTGTATTGCGCTCATGCATTTTTTCCATATATTTCAAGCCTATTATTTTTTCATACCCAGTTCAGTTGGTTCTATTCACATTAAGTCTCTCAGCATCCTTTGATATAATTACTTTAGGAGAATGAAGGCTGCACATGCTCCAGTTCTCCAGGGTGTCTTGTCATTTTCCTTATCAAAAAAAAAAGAAAAATTACAACATGGTGAACTGTATGTTCTGTTCTCTGAATCACAGACAACAAGGTGCAGCTGAGGGGCCCTCAAGTGGTGCAACCATCCAGGTGTTGGCCCTATCGTTAGGAGATTGTGGGTTTGATCCCAGGTGATGCTATAGCCATCCGTGGCCGGGAGTCCAAGAGCACAATTGGCCTTGCATTCTCTCACCTCATCACTAAGCGCAGAGGTAGCCAGTGCAGGTGTCTGTTAGCTGACACAACGGAATTGGCAGTTAATGTTCTTCAAGTGCGTTCAGCTGTCCACTGACGTTGCGTTAGAAAAGGTGCGGTGGCTGGCTTGTACCTGACCTCACAAATGCTCTTTGTGAATTCTTGAATTTGTCAATACTTTGGTTTGAAATGGAACATTCCATGCATACTTTGTTTTTAATGTGTTGTATCGATGGTAAGATCTTATAACCCAACATTACCTCCATGCTACAGAACAAGCCCTTTAGTCAGAGATGGTGTTAGCTGTCCTCATGTCTTAGTGCCTTAGCCTATACAAAGGCAATACAGTGGTGTCAAAACAGCTGTTTTTTTGTGTAGGTCCATTTTACTTGGACCTGACTGACAGTCTTGTCATTCAACTGTAATGACTATTGGTTCTATTGTTTCATAACAAGTTGCCATTCTGTGTTAGTGCCATAAAGTTATAAGACAAAGGCATAATAAGTTATTATTTTTTATTATACCCTGTATCAACACTAGTAACCTCTTGCATGCTGTATTTACTTCTAGCTGTAGTATTTTTATATGTTTGTCTCTCAGCATATGCTGAGTTTGGGCATTATGCGCAAATAAGCTGTAGGAGCGTCCACCTTTTCACATTGCTGGTGTTTCTCACTCTTCTGACGTAATACCTGTTGCTGCATTTGGCTGTGTTTGTACATGACTGCTGGAAAATGATATATGGTGCATTCAAATACACTAACTGTACACAGACATGTGCAGTTTTGGGGATCTAATTATTGTTGCCTGGAATTACTGCATATGTGATGTGTAGATTGTAGGATTTGCACAAAGTCTGCATTGCTCAAAGACATCTTAGTCCTTCTTTTTTTAGTCCTGCTTTACAGATGTGAGCTTGTATGGAGATACTGCTATTCTTCAATGTAGCATCCTGTTCATTAAATATACCCTATGGATACCCTATGGCCACAGAGTGATACTCATTTGAAGTCCTGTTTTTTTCTACTGCTTCTGTGTGGATTCAGATTTTTCCACTCTTTAAGGTCCAAGTTATGAATTTGTACATTTTCAGGAACAGATCTTTGTCATTTTGTTCAAGTCTTAATTAAAGTCATATCAGTGTGTCAAAATACATCTGAGAGGGGAAGCCATGTGCAGAATGTTGCACAGGAATAAATAGTGAAATCAGATCATCACAAGTGGGCTATTCTGTGTCATTTGGTTTAAAAACTGAATGTGTAGTCAATGACATTGATAAGCTGAAGAACATCTGTTGTGTTAAATATTGTGTTTCTAAAACATTTATACAATAATATTGTCATGAAGGTATTATTTTTATATCATTTATACAATATTATGTTCTCAGAAGACCAGAAAATCTGATAAGAAAAGGAAAGTTAGGAATGGTCAGTAAACTTCATAAGATAATCATGCCTACCATTTTTCTTATGACACTGGGTAAGCTGCTTAAAATAAAGAAACAGGAAAATACATTTTATCCATGTTATAATGTCTTAAAAATAAAATGTGCAGTTTATACTTCCTTATTGAAATGGAGTCTGGCTTAAAACTGAATGCAGTGATGCCATTTGTAAATCAGTTTTTTTATAAATCAGAAGTTTATTTGTTTATTTAATTATTTAAATACCACAATACATGCCTCACACTACAAACATAATAGAAGTGTACTGAAAATACATGGCATACAAGTTTCAAAGAAAGATCTTTCATTTTGTTGAAGAATGTATCTGTTTAAAACAGAAATGGTTTAAACTTACAAAGGTTGTACAATGTTTTGCTCTGAAACTTGGACGGTTATAACCACCTGATTTTTCTACTTGTGATAAAAAAAAAACAAAACATCATTTTTATGTTCTGAACTTTGTGACTGAGAACATTTTAGAGCCTAGAAATCAAGAAGACCTGATTCCCAGTCCAGAAACGCCCACTGCCTGTGCTCCAACACACTTCATCCCACTTATCGGTTAATTATCAAGCTCTTCCTGAGCAGAAGTGGGTGTGTTAGAGCCAGGAAAACACTAAAGCATGCAGGGCAGGACTGCTCCTCCAGGGCTGGGAACCTGTGTACGACGGCAAACGACAGCACCCTAAACAGCTGACTTAATCGGGCTAATGAAGAACATAAGTTCATTTTGGACTGGTTTCTCTTATTCCCTCTGCTGGGGTAGCAGTAGTGCCCGCTGCCCAGCCTGCCCTCAGCAGTGCTGCTGAATAGCGTTGTAAATGGAGGAAGCCCCGCCCAGACTATGTGCAGTGCTGACGTGCGTCGGTGCCTCACGTGACTCCTGTGGAATGTTAACAATGCAGTAAGTGTCCAACTTTGTACTGCATTTCTAAATCTGCCGAGAGGAGCAAGAAGAAAATGGAGGACGGGCTCAGCACATTTAAAGTGTGCTTTTTATGAGACGAATCAGCTCTTCGGCACTCAAGTAACCGATGTTGAAAGTCCACAACTCCACTTTATTCCCTGTACAGGATTTACATCTCTTTCACATGGTAAGTACCTCAAAAGCTTTGTCACTTTTCAAGAGGTTGGAAAAGGAAAGCGAGTGAAGACGAAATGTTCGTGTTAGTTTTTTCTCCGTCGTGTTTTTGTGTGTGTGTGTGTAGATTTGGCATTAGAGCTGTGGTCGGTCTGTGAGCGCAGCAGGCTGTAGTTTCTCCCTCAGCTGGAATGTCGAGCTGCTTCAGCGGATCTGCGCTCCTCTCGCTCCATTCGGCCACAGAGCTCAGACTGCAGGCTTCAGGAACAGGCCTTTAACCAGCTCTCTCTCCGCTCAGACCTCTGCACTACCTGCAGTGTTGGAGAACCACTTTAGTTGTAATTAAAAGCCGTTTGTGATTTTTTCTGATTTAATGATAATTCAATGCTTTCACGCCTCTGTATATCAGCTGCCAAAGAGTTTGAGATTTTTCACTTCAGTTTGGCAGTAATAGACTCAGTTTAGTGAAGTTTGTTGTAGTTGTACTACTGTATATGTAGGGAATTGTGAAATACTTGTCCCTCCATCTGAAGTAAAGTTTTTGAGAGTTGTGGTTTTACTCAATGCTTGTGTTTCATGTATTTCTTAAACTTATTAACTAAATATGTCATAAAGGGTGTAATAAATGAACTGCTTAACAGTTAAAATCAGGTTAGGGGTTGCTACTAAAATGGGGCTGTATGTTGAAACCCTAAACCATATTAGGTGTAGAACAGACATTATTATTGTTATTAGTGTTATTATTATTATTATTATTATTATTAACAATAATAATAACAACAACAATAATAATGTTTTAAAATAATAATGCTACATACTTTATGCCTAATAAAGTCCAGGTTTGGGGGTCTTATTTGCAATCCCCCAACTAACAGTGTAGCATAATAACAATAATAATAATAGTAATAATGGTGTTATTATCACAGCATTTTCTGGGAATGCAGAGTCCTCCATAAAGAGTGTTTCATGTGTGGAGGGTCTCATTTGTGCTACTTAAGGCGATTACATGCTGAACTGTATTAACAAATGAGTAATGGCGTGTAAATACTGTGTTATTCTTTAATAAACACTTCGTGGTGTGCTTACAATATTATAGCACTTTATAGCACAACCCAGTGCACCTCAGTATTACTTTATTCTGGATGGAATTTGTCTGCCTTACCTAGTGAAACTAATGTAATACTGTTATTTCCACTTTCTACCAGTTATTTGTTGTGCAGGCTGTTTCAGCCCTTGTTGTTTTCCACATTGGTTTAGATTCAGCTTAAGTGTAGGATATATTTCTCATGGTGAATTTCATGGCTTTGGGTGCTGACTGATGTTACCACTGAGTAAATGGTAGCTCTTGTGCAAAGTGAGTCTTCCTGTGCTCACTGCCCAGAGAAACATGATTAGTAAAACGACATAGAGTAATGTTTTTAGTCTTTGTTTTGTGAAAATACGTCGTGAGGTCTTACAGTAATATATTAATATTCTCAAAAAGGGAGAGTTTTTTCCAGCAAGTAAATATTGCCCTTGTTGTAAAACAGAGTTTTTAGGTGGACTGGGATTTGATGAGCCTTTTTCAGTGAATTGTGGTCATTTGATTGTAGTCCTTGTATTTGTTTGAAGTTCTCACCTCAGCTCCGTCTTGTTTTGAATTGATTGAGTTGCATTATATAGAGTTGTACATAGCTTGTATTATTGAATGGCACACCTGATTCTACATGGCTTGTCTTCGTATCCATTAAAGTGGTCAAGAGATGGTCAACGTTGATATTATACCTTTTGTATATTTCTGGTGACGCCTGAGGATCTTAACATCATCTCAGTCATGAGAATGATCATGATGATGAGAGCCAGGTTGAGGCCTGAGTTTTTTCAGACTGGTATGCCTGTTTGTGGCTATCCAGCAGCCACTTTTTGAAGGCTGCAAGCAATGTTATGTTTTGGAGAATAAAATGATATCATTTATTGATTCCAGATGGAAAAACATGAGTTTTCAAGACGTTTTTCAAGACACCAAGACGTTTTTGACATTTTTTAAAGGTCTCGGTTACACAACTTGAAATAAGTTACTAGACGTTACTAGAAGATGGTGCTTTGTGAGTTTGATACTTTTGAAGAGAATAACTTTGTCACACCTGATGAGATTATTTGGATCTTGTTGTAACTCGGATACATTTGAGATCATGTATACTGTACATGCTTCATAAAGCTCTCTTTGAGCTTTGGTTCATTACTATACATACAGCCATATGGACATTTTGGCACCCCAGGTTAAATGACACTTACGCACACTTAAATGCACACTTACTGTTTATTTGTTGAATGTGACATTTTGGGAAAAATATTAAAAATGTAACCCGTGCACATTTTGCAGAATTTGTTCTTTGTAAAGGATTAACTTACTTTCACTCAGCAAAACATGTCATTTGACTGGGGGAGTGTTCAAACTTTTGCTTGCGGCTGCACTTAGCTTACAATGACTTGAAAGGATTGGTCACAGCTTTATGGGAGCAACTCAGCAATCTTGAGTGAAGTATACTGGACTACTTTTGTGTGTCAAAGCAGTGAAGCATTCAACTACAGATGGTGTATATGTGATCATATATGACAAGTCCAGAAGGAGAATGCATTCAAATCAGCTAGTCGTGGTGAGCGATGTACACAACTAAGTATGATCAGCAAGGTTTTATGATTCTAGTACATTTAGTGATTTATGGCATAGTTTTCACGGTCACAGTTGAAGTCAATTAATTGTCAATTCAACTTCAGTTATAGCTTTGTGAGGAGACATGCTGATGCAGTGAATTACTCACTACAGTCTCAGTCATCAAGATGAATGTCTGGGACAAACTGCCGCATGCCACAGAAGATAATGTCTTGGTATTTAAAAAATAAAGTGAAGTGAATGGTTGTTCACTTCCTTGTGATTGAGATTTCTCTGAAATGTGTTTATTTATTGGTTTATTTTGGGATGCTGGTCTTGTGATGAAATGGTATGGGTTTTCATGTTGTTACTTGTGGAATGGAATGTTTTGTATTTTTACCCAGTCCTGGAAGCATCACAAGAATGGGAGCTTAGGATAAAGATCCTGGAGATTGAGCAACGTGCTTGCATCGTGGAGCAAAGCACCACCATCATGCTTGTTTCAAAACCTGTTTGTGCTTACACTGTTCTGCATTTTTGTTATCAGTTAACCAGACTTTTTACCAAAGGTCTGATGCACAACAAACACATTTGCTATTTTTAACAGAATCAGCAACAGATTACACCTAGTTTTTCAGTATAAAGTGATTAACACTAATTTAAGATGAAGGTTAGACCAAGGCTAGGCAATATATATGTGATAATGAAATACTGTAATATTGTTTTTCAGTTTTGAGTGATATTTTTAGCAGTGTATTTGACAGATAATGTCCATTATGTCTGTGATATAAAGCCATCTCTGTTGCCAAGCATTTTTTATTTATTTGCTATTCTTTTTTGTACACATGGTATTAAAGATCTAACATTTAACTGTAACGTATATCATTTAATGGTTGCTTCAGATTGTGTGAAAAGAACACTTTAAAATCCCTAAAACTAAATAAACACCTTTTCTCTCTGGAAATACTTAATGTTCCTCCTTAAAGGTGTAATTTTAAGAGAAGCAATGCCAAGTTTTTAGGACATTATTTTAGCAAAATGTAGTAGTGCTCTGGACATAAGGGTTCATTAACTGTATTATTGCTAACTGAAATATTATAAACATCAGACAATATAATATTGTATTTTTATTAGTACTGTTCAGATTGGACTTTAAAGGTGCAGTCCGGTGGAGACACTAATTTGAAAGGGAGCAGGCAAGGTGGAACTGATTTTACTGATAGTTGATATAATCAAAAGGATATGTCATTAGAATGATGCCTTGCCAAATAAAACATAGTTATGTCACAGATTATGTCTGTTTTGTTATGCACCGTCTGGATGATATATTCTGTTCAGGCACTGTTTGTTTTACAATTTTTTATTGTCTTGCTGTCCGTCATGCTAAAGACTAGTTTCTGTAAGCCTCTAAATGTCCACCAATTACTAATCCTTTTATAATATTGATCTGTATGATTAGTGTAGCTGTTTTGTGTCATGTTATGCCTGCTTGTGTTTTACAGACATGATTCGATTATGAATAATCAATGTAGTTTATCTCTTTTGGCATGAAGCTCTGCTTGCGTCAGAAAGACATGTGCCTTTCCCCCTCATCCTCCTATCCTCCGCCTCAGGAGAGTAGCAATGCAGTGCTGGAATGCACAAAATGTTCTTTGAAATAACCAGTGCAGAGGTGCTAATTTCTGACCAGTCTCGGGTATTTTGCACAATGAAAGGAGTAAAGTGTTGAATTTACTTTCAAGTGTGAACAGTTTTGTCTTTCAGTGTGAAAATGATATAATTTTGATATGTAATCAAGTAAATTCAAAGGATCACATGTAGGGATGGAGGAGAACTGTACTGTACCACACATCCTGAGCCTTTATCTCACCTATATTTACCTGCTCTTCCTCCACAGGCAAAGATGCAAACCAGGACAGAATGGAACCAGCCCTCTTGTATGACCCCTTTCATGTTGTGGGAGGAAGGGGAGTGTGACCCCTAAAAGGGGGCGATGTGATCCAGTAGGAGGCAGAGCTGGACAAAGAAGATCTGCTACAAATTTCCAAAAGAGTCCCAATCTCCTCTCAGATCTACCCCACTGCAGAGCCTTATCTATTTAGGTCAGACCCATTCATAGCTGAGCTTTGTGTGTGTGTTTGTGTTTGCTGTGTGTTTTTGTAGGGGTCTTTGATTTTATTATTTTTGCTCATACACTTGAGATGTGTAAGTGAGTACATGTGGAGTAAATTTGCCGTTGTGCAGTATTGGGGATTGCTTGTGAGTCAGTGTTAGCAGCCCAGTTGATCAGGTTAGATCCACTCATGAGGCCAAAAACCTTCCCCGCTGCCCCGTATGTGGGCAACACGCGTCAGCGCCTGCAAGAGATCAAGGAGGGACTGAAGCAGCCAGCTAAGCTTGTGAGCCAGGCACTACATGGGGGGAGTTCTCGAGGAGAAGGGGGCAGAGGTGGGGACTGTAAAAGTAAAGATCAAGCTGGAAGACAGCAGCAACTCCGACAGCCACAGAAGTTCAACAACTACCAGAACGCCCTGCGAGAAATCCGCAAATCTTTGATGCCTTTCGCCAATGAGTCTGGTCCGGCATCAAGCTCAGCACACCCCAGCGGAGATGTCAACAGACAGATGCTGCAGGAGCTGGTCAAAGCTGGATGTGATCAAGTAAGATGTGTGCGTGTGTGCATGTGTGATTGTTTTTATTAAAAATGTATTGAATTTGTAGGAAAAGCAGAGGAAAACACTAACCACCATATGATCTGGACTGAAACCAATACTTAGATCCAATTTTTGACTCAAAGGTCAAGATTTGATTCTATTTTCTATGTTGTAGGTGTTAAAAATGTCTTGCTTCTGCAGAACTCTATGAATTTGCACCAGCCCTCTGACAAAGTAACTAAATTTTTGGCACCAGAAAACTCAACTGTGGTTGTTGTTTTAGCGCATTCCTCCAGGTAAAAAGTCACCAAACACTATTAAATGACAAATAAGCACAAGAATGTAAACTAAAATGCTGTGATGTGTCAATTTTTATAATTATTACTTTTATAATTAGTTGGCTAAGAAGACATGAGCCAGTCTGGAAGCTAGCGCTAATGCTATGAGTTTTTATGCTGGCAGTCACAGAACAAAAATTTTTGTTTAGATTTTCACACTTGACAGAAAACAGTATGAGCTTTGCTTGATTTTGCACATGATGTAAATTAGTAAATGTAAATTGGATATTTTTGCGAGTGTGTAGGCGCAGAACAGTGCAGCATGTTGTTTCATAGCAGCCAAGCAAGATAGCAAATTAGCCAAATTTGACGCTATAAAGTGGTTATGGTTGTTCCAGCTGTCTCTCAGCAAGGTGGGAAATTAGCTAGAACTAGAACTGTATGTTCTGCTGGTTTCTGTTTGGTTCAGTTCTTGTTTTTGATTGTGTGATGGAAAAACACCCAAAACAAGCCTTAAGAATCGCAATCCGTAGAATTCATCAGTGACTTCTAGGAAAACAGCTCAGTTATTTGAGCATATAGTATGAGTGCATATAGTAAGCCCCTCCCCACTCCCCTCCTACTTTACTCTGATTATGTTTACCCAGATGCCTAGTTTGAATTGTTGATGGTGGTTTCGACAGTAAATGAGAGACCCTCGGAGGAAAACGGGACAAATTCATAATATAGGTTTAAATTTCATTCAATTGATTTTTTACTATTGTCGATATCGCTACATGTGTATGACTTCATGTCCTGACAGCCCATAAAAACAAAAATGTGTGTGTGTGTGCGCGCTGTTTCTGTCTTTCAGATGTCACACAGCGGAACGAACATTCATTTAGTTCCAGTTGCTCTGTTTTTTTTAGTTTAAATGTGTTGTTAATGTATGTGGCAAGAAAACCATTTGTGTCAACAGGTGGTGTCTGTGGACTGTTTTAAGCATATGCAGTATGTGCTATAGCAGCACACATATAGACACTATAATATTAGCAGTGTACTGTACAGTACTATGGGTAGACAAAATAATGAGCCTGCATCCCCTTGAAGTGACAAAATCAAAGTGTTTCTTCTTGTTATGTTAATAGTAATATAAACATGAGTGTTTCTGTTGACGAAGACATTTTGAAAACAGTATTTTAAGTTTTTTACATTTTTGTAGAAGATTATAAAACATATAACTAGCAGTGCCCCGATATGGAAACTTTGGGCTGAGGTTGATATCTGAAACATTGTATGTATTCTCATATATAACATTTAAAATATTTACAATTTGGGACTTCCATCTTCTTGATTATCATTACAGAGAAATAGAGCATATTTCTTTAGTGTGTCAAAAGCAGTAAAATTTATAAAATTCAGAAATTTTGTGCAACAGCCCAGTGTAGCCTGAACATTCTGGTCACATTCTGGAAATATTGGTCACATCTAAACATCTGTACAATGCAGATGTTGTTTTTTTTTTTACATTCGTCTGCCAGTAGAGAACAGAATGATCTAATATATAATGATCTAATACACATTTTCAAAGCTGGATGAGGTTTTAATATGGAGAGGGCCTTCAACCCACATTGTTCCCTACCATTTGATATTATGTTTTTTTGATGAAGGCTTGTAGTAGCGGCATTTCTGGAACAGTAGACACTTACTTCTTAAGAATGTATTATTTTATATTGACTAGCATTCACATTCTTCATGTCTGCCTATAGTATGTTGAAATCACAACCTCTCAAAAGGCCTTTGAAATCGGACATGAGTACAGTGCTGTGAACTCTTCTTAGTTTAATTTGTAACATACAGTGGACATTCAACACAATGAATCTGCTCTTTGCCAAGTTTGAATCTGTTACATAATATTGACTACAGAAATGTTGAAATGGCAGTCGGATTTCACAATCTACCTGGCATTTCTTTTCTTTGGGAGTTTTGTGGAACATCTCCACCCCAGAGACAAGAGGAGGATAAGGAATGTTTCCGACAGGAAGTGAAGCCAATCACCTTTCCCCTTGAAAAGCAAAAACGTTTGGGCATATGTGCTTTTGCTTATTGTGAGTATTGAACTAAATAATGAGGCACCACCAGTTAAACCACCACTATTTATGTACAGTAAGGATGTTGTGGCACTTTATATATAGTAAAAGAGTTTGTGTTTAGTAGTAAGTTTAGATTTGAGGGCCTAGACATTTGCCCTGGCCCGTATTTGTTCTTCAGGAGTTTATGTTGTGCTTCATACTGTATTACAGACTTTCTGAAACAGGCCTGTGAGCAGATCGCTATGGCATTGCTTAGCACTGAGGCCGTATGTCTAAAGTGGCGCTACAGGCCTGAGAGCAGCCCTGTGATTGTGAGGCATGTGAGGAATGCTGTGCTCAAGCCCATGCACAACACCACTGAGAAATCCACCACCGCACAGTGGAATTATGAGGCCTAGCCTGAGGGAGCCAAGTTGCCTCTGTGACAGGCTTTATGACATGGCTAAATGGAGACTGGAATGGGTCTTTTTCATTCTCCAAGATTTAAAACATACTATCAGATGGCTTGTAGTCTGAAGTCAGACTTGATTTGGATGAAGACGTCTGGATATATTCTGTCCTTAGCTGCAGTCTTATTTTTATGTCTTACCATGGTGCTTATCGTCCAGATGCAGAACTTTCTTTGAATTTTGAAATCTAATGTTTGAATTTTATTTAACTCCTCATATGTTATGTTATAAATAAGATAAACAATACTTAAAGCTTTCATCTTTGAGAGAGGAGAAAATCAAGCTCCACTCTTGCTATAGATCTGAAAAAATCCACAGGTGTTTCTGTCCATCCTTCCACTGTGAGAGGACAACACTAGTCTGAAAGGACTATAGAAGCTATTACTTAGAAAAAGAAAAAGATGAAAAAGAAAGAATAATTGCAAATTAAACAAAGAAGCTGCTGGAGTTCTCAGGACAATGAACTGCCCACGCTGGAGTCCAGACTTCATCACTGAATGTGTTTGCGATTACTTGGATCTTGAGAAACAGAATCCAGCCAACTTCTCAGACTGAACTTCGGGGTTGTGGAAAAATGCAGCAATATAGAAAAAGGCTAGATACACTAAGTACTGAAAAAATGATATTGTGTTAAGTGGTTGAGGCTTTTTTGTATTTTTCTATTAAATATGTAGTACTGTGCAAAAGTATTGGGCACCTGAGAAAATTACAGTGAAAAAGATGTTTATCTGGGCAGCAGGCATTCATTTACTCAGAAAACACTAACATTAGAAAATATACAAATAACATTAATAAATAATACAAATAGTAGTGATTTTATGCATGTCATTTGATCAATTTGATTGTTTAACCCTTTCCAACCCTCTCCTCTTTGCAGCCCTGTATTATCTGTTGTAATTGTCCAATACCTGATTCAACTAATCAGTATTTCATTAGGTTAAATCTAGTGTGCTAGTGATGAATTTAAACAAATCCATGTGATGGCTGAGGATGTCCAGTGGACATCTGGAGAAATCTTGTGAACTAGTGTGAAAGAGTTATCAACTACTTTTTTCAAAATAAGAAATTCTCATTACTTGTTATTGTATTTCTGTTTACTTGTTTCTATTCTAATTATATATTGTGGTTTTACTGGCAAAAACACATTATTGCCAAGATAAATGGTTTTAAACAGTATAATTAGGTGCCAAGGACTTTTGCACAGCACTCTGTGTTCTCTGCTTTTTCCCTGAAGGTGAAAAAGCAGTGGTCAGTTTTCGGACATTCTAAGTTTTGTGTAGGTTTTTAGAAGCTGATTTATAGACACTGTTATGTGTTTGGTGGTCACTCAGAAGGCTCTGGCATGGTGTTACTTCATAGAGACAGCTGAGAGAATTCTTTATTGGGAAAGCTGGAGACTGACTGGCTTATACGTCCTCCCTGCGTGTGGGTAAGGATGAATTGGGACAGTCTGGACACACACAGGAAGTATCTCCATTCAATAGCGGCTGGGTGGAACAGTTTCCCCAGTGGGCGTGGCACATAGCCGCCTGGGACAGCACACTCTCTGTGACTGTGTATGTCTTTCTTTTGTCCCTGTATTTGTAATGGTCAGCCTTTTATGTAATGTTTCCATACTTCAGGCACCTATCAAGCCCTCTGTCTGTTATGTTTTTAAGCTTAACCTCTTTAATCCTAGGCCCATCATAAGTGATTAACCTTACGGCCTATTATTTAGTAACTCCTATAAATTGTTTACTATGATACCATGAATCAAATGTGTAAGTTGTTTTAAGAGCAAGGAACTGAGAGTTTAAGTGGGTAATGATAGTTTCCCCATATAATATTGATACTACAGACCTATCAGCCAAATGCAGAGCATACATTCAACAAGCTTCGCTGTTATTAGTGATAATCATTATTATGTAAAGACTCAGCCGTGGTGTGTGACTTGGTATTTTTAGTTTTCTCTTTTACTGGAGCATATGGACTTCTATTTTTTACGGCACATTCCAGGAAAGTAATGGCTGCCTGTGCTGCCCCGGGTCCTTTCCTGGGCTCCTTTGGCCTGATCTTTATCACGGCTCCTTGCTCCATGAGTTACACAGCGATGAAGCGGTGAGTTACATAATCACCTTTAAGGAGGAAATGTTTTGCTGGGGGAGGAGGGGGGGGGGTTAAATGAGGAGATGAAGAGCACTTTAAACCCCATCCTTCTTTTGACTCTCTGCCAGATGTAGATGAGTTACAACATGTTTGCTCTGTTTATATATTTTTTGAATTATGAGGCATGAAGAGCTGCTTTGGCCATGTGCATGGCATTTGTTTGTCTGTTTGAATGTCTGTTTGTCTGTTTTGCTGAAATACAGCTTTAAGATCAAGAGCAGTTTAATGTGAAATGGTTCATTGTGTCTCTCATTTATTTAGAGTGGTGGTGATAGGAACCAGGGGTCATAATGTCTACAGGGCAGATACTGTCATTTTACTATTTTACCTTTACGGTTCAGAATGATCAGTTTTATATGTAATGTTAATAATAGCAAAATAAGGGTAAATCTGAAAAAAAAAAAAACGTTCTTTTGGGACTATTTTTGCCTTTCAGTGCCTTTCAAAAATTACATTTTAGGCTGAAAGCTTCACTATCATGAAACAGTTACTCTGACATCAAGCATTATATGCGTAACTCTTTAATGAAGTAGCTGTAAGAGGCATTAAATGCTTCAGATGCCTGGTTCCTATCACTACCGCTGTGAACAATTCTGACTGGATGAGAACAGAACAGATCATTTTACATCAAGCCACTCTGAATGACTTTGTTTACATCAATATTTCCACTTACAGTTGAATCAGCTGTAATTTTTCATTACATGCATTTTGGTACAAAGCCATTTGACTATTGTCAGTAAAGTTCCAGTGTACAGAAGCATAAGCAGAGCAGATGTAAAGTCAAAGCCTCCAAGCACTTGCAAATAATGACTTTCCCATAATTGATGTTTACTGTGAAGTGGCATGTGACAATAAATTGTTTTGCTTATTTTTGTTTCCACTTTCGACAATGTCTGTCTTTCAGTACATCCATTTGCACACATCTCTGAGGGTCCTCCATATGGCTTTCATTTTCACATGCTATGGAGGAATGTGATTCAGAATCAGGTCAAAGTGAAAGCTCATATAAGAAAACAGGCTTTAACACTGACTCACGGCAGCGTATCCAACAATAGTTATGTCACTCCAGCCATGGAGACAGTTTGTTTTTATAAATATTCACTCAAGTTGAGAGGACTGCTCGCCCCGGTCAGGAATGCGCATGTGTGACTGTCATTGCAGTACGAGATGGCTGACTAAATGTCTGCTGTTGCAATGAGACGTGTGGCGGTGACTATTATGACTGGAATATGAATGTGAATGTGGATATTTTGGGCACAGCCCATATGAGAATATGTGGTACAGAAAGAAATAAAGCAAGAATAAACAAGGCAAGTTGAATTGACAGATGTAGTACTGTGCGAAAGTCAGAGACTGTCCTTTTTGTTTATTCAATTTCCAGTCAAAATCAGCACTGAGTACAAGTTATTAAATTTTCTGTGTGATAAAAAAGCAGGAGACATACGTTTAACAGAAAATTACACAGAACCTAACTAAATATATCAAATCTATCAGTATTTTATTTGTCCACTCTTTACTTTAGTGCACCTACGGCCCTTTTATCGCTTCCATCCTTCCACTCTTAAAACCAACGAGTTCTAGCAAGGTGAAAATGAAAATAACTTCTAAGACTGAACTTTGGAGGTGTGGAAAAATATCCATGCAGATTTTTTTTGAAAAAACGAAAGCGAGTCTCCTGAATGTAAAAAGTAAAAAAATGTAAATTATATTTAGTTATTTAGACTTCTATGTAACCGCGACCCAGAAGAATAAGCGGTTTAGATGATGGATGGATGGATGGATGGATGGACTTCTATGTAATTTTCTGTTAAATGTATGTTTTATTCTTTTTTCTGATTCAGAAAAGTTAATGTCTGTTTACGGCCGTTTTGACTGGAAATGAAATAAGTGAGATAGTGATCTCTGACTTTTGCGCAGTACTGTCTAAGTACAGATTTTCACATAGCTGGAATTTTTCCTTCTTGGCTTTTGGAATGTCCTGAACATCTGTCGCCATGACAGCAGAGGTCAGGACTGTAACTCTCTTGGTCAAACCAGATCCAACCTCTGTTTAAGGGTTGAGTGTGTGTTTTTGTATGGCGCCTTTAAATCTCAAGAGGGAACTAGAAGGCACACCGCCTTTGAGTAGGCAACCCTGGAATTTAATCCATAACCCCTGAAGTTTTCAGAACAATAGAGATGGACAGACAAGAGTATTTCCCTCATATATGTGTGTGTGTGAGAGAGAGAGAGAGAGAGGGAGGGAGGGAGTGTGAGCTGTGTGTGTGCCTGGAGAATCTACCACAAGTGTGAATCACACACATACACACGAACACACACACACACACACAAACAAGAGGTGTTCTTGATCAGTAACTCAGTCACACTGAGGGAATGTGTGGAATTTTTGTGGCTGTGGCACATGTTTCAGTTTGAACTGTGTGCCTTGTGTGCCCACATTTGCTCTGGCTGCCAGTTCATTTCTACACTTACCTTCTTGTAATCCCTCCAAGACAACCACTGGACCTTTGAAGCTGTTTAAAGTTAGATTCACATGTTGTTATGGAAAGGCTGTCAATGCACAGTATCATAAGCATCAAAAACTAAAAAATATATATATTTTTTCTGTGGCATTCCATGTGCAATATCTTTTCTGGCCACAAGAGGCAGTGTGAGGTAAAAAACTTGATTTGTCTTGGTAGAATGAGGTTTAGGCAGAATGTCTTCTGAATGAGGTCATATGCCATTTGGGGGATTTCCTCATATAGGTGTGGGTCGCAGAGTTGTTTTTTATTTAGAGCACTTAAGTTACAGATTATGACAGGGTATACTTCATTCCTGTCTTCATTCTAAATAAAGCTCTCAAGTTGCTTGGTTTTTGGTGCACGTCTGTCGGGAGGATAGTGAATAGTGAAAGAATAGTGCGTTTATATATGTTACAGTTTGAACCCAGGTTTCTAGGCCTCTTTATGCAAAATGTATTACTATGTATTTGTTGTAGTGTTGCCTGCTGGGCTGAAAGCACAATATGTTCTATGAGGAGCTAGCTTTTGTTTGTGTGCTGGCACAGGAAGGAGCTGGTCCATGACCTGCAGAGGAAGCAGGTGCATGGAATGTTATCTTTACAATTACCTGCTGTGTGTGTGAATATGTGTGTGTGTGCTCTATGCCTGGTTGGGGGAGTGGGAGGTGTAGCTCTGTTTAACTAAATACATGCCCACTGAAGTTCTAAATGCCTGACATAGAAAAAAAGAAGTAAAACAAAAATACGATTTCAACATTTCAGTCCCCATGGTTTCCCTGTGCATCCTTTCAACTTCTGTTTTTTCCATTGTGAAACAGGAAATGGCGATACGGGCACTGAAACAAACTGGCAGTCGTAACATAGAGGCAGCATTGGAGTATATCAGTAAGATGGGCTACCTAGACCCTCGCAATGAGCAGATTGTACGCGTCATCAAACAGACCTCCCCAGGTCAGTCAAGTGCATTCTGTGCTACTGTGCTATAGACAAATAAGACTAGTTTTTCAGTTAAGCACATTAAGCATGTTTTGTGATATAAATAGCTATTCATTGCTAAATAACATGTTTATTCCGCCATTGCAGGTAAAGGTGGCATGCCCAATTCAATAGACCACAGACCACCGATGGAGCCCTCCAATGAAGGAGCAATGCCTCCTTACCACCAGATGGGAACACCGCTGTATGAGGGAGCTGGCTATGGGGCAGAGGGGGAGATGGCACGTCCCTACATGGGCGGTCCACCTGTCATGAATTTCATGATGCCGCCCACCAGCTCTGCACAGGGTCCTGCAATGGGGAACCCCATGGGTCGTCCTCCCAGCATGGGTGCCTATCCTTCGGGCATGACTTCTCAAAATGCCCAAGGTACACCCATGTACCCCTCTGGCCCTGCCCAGCAGAAAGGGTATGCAGGGGGCATGGATCAGGCCATAATGGGCTACAGTGTGCCTGGTCCACCCATGCAGCTTCAGTCCCAGTCACCAGGAGGGCCCAGCCCTCATTATGACTACAGACCTCATATAATGGAGCCAAGCAGCTATAGTATCAAACGGAGTGCTTCCTTCCAGAACAAGATGCCCCCTCTGGCACCAGACAACTACGTCAATATGCAAGGCAAAGGGGCAATGGGCCAAAATGGTGGCGGCTTCCCTCCTAACCTTTACTTACCTCCCCACTCACACCCCCGTCAGGCCAGCCCAACCTCACACCAGGTCCACATGATGTCACGCTCCCCCGGAGCAGCTGCAGCAGCTATGGGTGCTGAGTTCTCAGATATCCCCCAAGGTCTTCTTACGCCTTCCAGGGCCAGCCTCAACCTTGACCTATACGACCACCACTGGGCAGGAGCTCAGGGCCCAGAGGCAGCGCCTCCAGCCAGGCAACCACAGGGGCCCTTCAGGGGGGAGGTACGTGTCCCCAGCAGGACCAACTCTTTCAACAACCACCAAAAGGTCAATGTAAGACAGGCCATGCCTGCTGCTACCAGTGTAGCTGGCAAACAGGAGGCTGGCATGGGCCCACCAAACACCATCACTGCAGTGACGTCTCCACCGATCCAGCAGCCTGTTAAGAGCATGAGAGTAATGAGACCAGAGCCCAAGACTGCAGTTGGCCCGTGCCACCCAGGCTGGCTAACTGCACAAGCCCAGGATGCTCCTGAGACTCATGGGTACTTGCCTGATGAAAGCTTTACCTTGGAACACACCCAAGAGCTCCGGTGTCCACCACCACCATACCCCAAAACACTGCTCCTGTCTGGAGCCACAGCAGGACCAGAAACAGCACCTTTGGAAGGTGGGGCTATACCCGCAGCTTCAGACCACAGTGCCCCAGGCAGGCCCGCCCCGAATGCTGCAACAGTAAAGCAAGAAGAGCCTCTCACCAAAGACAAATCTAAGCCAGGAAAAGGAGAGAAAGCTGTGAAAGATAAGAAGCAGATTCAGACCTCACCAGTACCGGTGCGGAAGAATGCCCGTGATGAGGAGAAGAGAGAGTCACGCATCAAGAGCTATTCTCCTTTTGCCTTCAAGTTTTACATGGAGCAGCATGTAGAAAATGTTATGAAGACCTACCAACAGAAGCTCAATCGCAGGCTGCAGCTGGAGCAGGAGATGTCCAAGGTAAGAGATTCTTTACCTGCTCAACCGTGAAATATCTGAAACCACTGATCTGCAATTCTAACTTAAGGCAAATCCCAAATCAATAAATGAATACAAAATTAGTGTTAAATTAAATTAGCATATTAATTGCCTTATTTTTTTTCCCTGTTCTTGCATTCTCTTACACCATTTGCTTTCTTATCTTTTTTATTAGGCTGGTCTATCTGAAGCAGAGCAGGAGCAGATGAGAAAGATGCTGAACCAGAAAGAGTCCAACTACAACCGACTGCGCCGTGCCAAGATGGACAAGTCTATGTTTGTGAAAATTAAAACACTTGGAATTGGAGCCTTTGGTGAGGTATGTCTGACCCGTAAGGTGGACACAGGAGCTTTGTATGCCATGAAGACTCTCAGAAAGAAAGACGTCCTGAACCGCAACCAGGTGGCTCATGTTAAAGCAGAACGAGATATTTTAGCAGAGGCTGATAACGAGTGGGTGGTCCGGCTGTACTACTCATTTCAGGACCGGGACAGCTTGTATTTCGTTATGGAATACATTCCTGGGGGAGACATGATGAGCCTGCTGATCCGTATGGGGGTTTTTCCTGAGCCGCTAGCCAGGTTCTATGTGGCTGAGCTCACGCTAGCCATTGAGAGCGTGCATAAGATGGGCTTTATCCATAGAGACATCAAGCCTGACAACATCCTCATTGACCTGGATGGACATATCAAGCTGACTGATTTCGGCTTGTGCACAGGGTTCCGTTGGACACACAACTCAAAGTATTACCAGAAAGGTGAGAAAGATAAATGGTAGTTTATACCTAGGGTAGATACCTTTTGTGTAATCAGGCTGCAGTAATTAAGAACTGATCAGTCAGATTTTAGATGTGTTTTAGAATCCTACAAAGAAGCGGATCTTTTTTCTTTCATTTAACTTTTTTTTGTCTCATTCTACTTCAATAGGGAACCATATTCGGCAGGATAGTATGGAACCAAGTGACTTCTGGGATGATGTGTCAAACTGTCGCTGTGGTGATCGGTTGATAACACTGGAACAGCGGGCAGCCCGTCAGCATCAGCGTTGCCTTGCACATTCTCTGGTGGGCACTCCCAACTACATTGCACCTGAAGTGCTACTGCGGAAAGGTACCAGAAATATTGCTTTTTACATTGTGTCTACTTTAGTGTCTCCAGCATTTCTCTATCTATATAATGTCATGTTATATGTATGCAGGATACACCCAGCTATGTGACTGGTGGAGTGTGGGAGTGATTCTGTTTGAGATGCTGGTGGGCCAACCCCCCTTCCTTGCTCCAACCCCTACAGAGACACAAATCAAGGTCAGCAAAATTTCACAGAATAAAAACACATCTTGAAAGAAACCAAGTATATATTGGAATGCATTGCAATTCTCTTGCCTAAATTTCAAGACTGTATCAGTGTTGTGTTATTTTAGCCATTAGTTGTGTAATGCTGGTCATCAAAGCACAAATGTTGTTAGGGATGAAGATCTTGGTTAAGCTATACACTCACCGAGCCCTGTATTAGGAACACTATGTTAACACTTTGTAGGGTCTCCCTTTGCTCTCAAAACAGCCTTAATTCTTCACAGCATTTTTTCCACCAGATTTTAGAAACATTTTTCTGAGATTCTGGTCCATGTTGACATAATTTTTTCAGGTGCACTTTCATGCTGCAAATCTCCTGTTCTACCACAAGTTTGTCAAGAAAACATTCCCCACACCATTACACCACCTCCACCATTCCCCACACCATTCCACCACCTCCACCATTCCCCACACCAAAACACCACCTCCACCAGCCTTTTGTTGAGCTTATGCCCACTGCAGCCTCAAGTTTTCTGTTCTTGGCTGACAGAAGTCTTCTGCTGTTGTAGTCCATCTACCTAAAGGTTTGACGTGTTGTGTATTCTGAGATGCTTTTCTGCTCACTACTACATTTGTACAGAGTTATCGGAGTTACCATAGTCTTTTCTGTCAGCTCAAACCAGTCTGGCTGTTCTCTGTTGACCTCTCTCATGTACAAGGCCTTTCCCTCTAAACTCCCACTCATTGGATGTAATTTCTTTATTACTCTACAGACTGTTGTGTGATGGTTAATGTGAACATTACCTGAAGCTGCAGTACCGTATTTGCATGATTTTATGCACTGCATTGGTATCACATGATTGGCTGCCCTAGAAACATTGCTGAAGGCCTGGAGATTAGCTATGCACTGTTGAAGTGCTATATAACCTACACTACATTCTTAGACTAATCTCATTATACTGTTTGTGAAAAATGTGCAATATGATTTCTTACCATGCTTTTAGTTAGTAAAGATCTATTCTTGGGGCAGCTGCAGTGCTGCTGCAGTAGATCTTGATTGGGCCTTACACAGCAACTGCATCTGATTTGTCTGCTGTCCAAGGGACACTCAGAGCAGGATTGCAGAATAGAACTGCAGGCACTTACTCAAGCCTGGACTTCAGGGATTAGACAGTAGAGCACAGATTTTCTGTAATTTTGTTTTAACATGACATTGTCTCTTTATTCTCAGGTGATCAATTGGGAGAGCACGCTGCAGGTTCCCCCGCAAGTGAAACTCAGTCCCGAGGCTGTTGACATCATCGGACGTCTCTGCTGCTCGGCGGAGGAGCGTCTGGGGGGTAATGGTGCTGGAGAGATCAAGGCCCACCCTTTCTTTGTCCAGGTGGACTTCTCCAGTAACCTTCGCACTCAGCTCGCTCCTTACCGGCCTAAGATCACCCACCCAATGGATACTTCCAACTTTGACCCTGTGGAGGAGGAGGGAGCTCCGGGGGCATGGAGTGACAGTGGAGACAGCACTCGCGCTTGGGATACCCTCTGCTCTCCAAACGGCAAACACCCTGAACATGCCTTCTATGAGTTCACCTTCCGCAGGTTCTTCGATGATAACGGCTGTCCGTTCCGCTATCCTAAACCCCCTGAAGAGATACAGGGACCCCCGGGCAGTAGTGCGGCAAGCAGCGTGGGCCCTGAAGAGGAGGAGGAGGAAGATGAGGAGGACGAAGAAGAAGAACAAGGAGAGGGCTGTGAGCCTGTGTATGTGTAGATGTGGAGAGAGGGTCCACATGCTGCTTTAGCATTACCCAGTGTAGACTTCAATAGATAACACACAGGCCATTGTGCTTTTTCTCCATGGTGTGCATTTATGGTGTGGATGAAAAGAAGAGATGACAAAAACACCAGACGAAATGCATTTTATTACTCTAACACAATCCTGCAGGATCTTTTACTTGTTCAAGGATTTATGCTTCTAACTGAAACTGCAATCTGGGACCAAGAAAGCACGTCACATAGTCTAGGGACATGGATTAATGAATCTGATTCTACAGATAGCAGAGACATGCCATCTGTGGATATCAGTCAAAGCACTCCATTCTTATGGTCTACTGTGTCCCATTCCTTGATTCTTCAGCCCTATGTGTGGGCTGAGACAGCTCCAGTGTGGCATAGGATGCTAACGCTTCCTCCTTGTCTCTGAGCCTGGTGATGCCAACACAGCCATTCCTAATTCCAGAGGAGCAACTGTGATCATGTCACTGGAAACAGTACAAGGCTGAAATTGCGATGGTTGTGTGTTATTAGGTTGATAATTATTAACTCATATGACCAGACAGTTTCAACAAAATCCAACTACCCTGCTTAATCTAAAACCATATGAGCCCACATATTTATAGATATAGTTCCTGTTGTCATGTTTAGCCATGTCAACACAAAAGCCTAGGAGATCTAATAAAAAGTCTCTATGGAGCCTTCCTAATAACAAAAGCAACAATATACATGCATTAAAATAAGATATGGCTCAGGTTATTTCCCTCTTTGTTGTGAGGAAAACTAAAAAGTACAGAAATATCTTGATTCAGAAATGATTTTCTGATGCCTCCTAGTGGTTTCAAAACCACAGTTACAATGAAACACTGACGCTTGATGCTTTTGAACGTCCATCAGCAGAATTGGTGCCATCAGATGTTCTTAAGGCACAAAATCCTAAAGTTAGAAAAGCAATGAAATTCATAGGGTAATACATTAATATTGTAACAGATCATAAAATGTTCTCAGCAGAGAACCAATCAAAGAGTTTTTTTCAGCTGTTTGCTATATGTTTGTGCTATATATTCAAATATGGATGCTTTTATCTGCATCTCACACTTTTCTCAGATATTGGTTCTGAACTCAGTTCTGTCTCTGTCTCCAGTTACCTTTAAAAGTAATAACTGCTTTTCACATCCAGCATGTATTAGTACTAAGCATCAAAGAATCTGGGCCTGTCCTGTTGCTTAATATCAGCACCTGGGCATGTTCTGCATGCCAGCTTAAATACTTTTCATCAAGTTATTTGCTTTATGGTTCAAGGTAATGTATTTAGTTGAATAAGGAGGTCTTAAGAATCAGGGGATTTATTGTTCACCTTTCTGGGAATATGTCTACCCAAAAAAGTAACCTATTCAACATATGAAATGTTGAATATTCAACAGTAACCTATTTAACATGTGAAATGATGTTGGCAACCTCGGCGAAATTTGAAGTCACTGCACCATCGTAACACATATCCACACACATACACTACACAGTATTATACACAGGCAGTCTTTGACTGAAGTACGAACAGTATCTTATCAGGCAGTAATGGAAAGGGTAATGGACAACAGTGAAACAAAGTGGCAGAGGAAATAAAGAAATGTATGTGATGGTATGACTATGTGCAATACAGAAAATACATAATATAGTTTTCTAATCACACAGATAGCCTGTTCCACTTTAATACTGAGATACACTACATAAAAGTAAATATATATCAGTTTATGTATTTTCAGTATAGTTAACTGACCCAATGCTGCTCATTGTTATTGATGTTACAAAGTACATTATCCTCATACTTTCATATATGCTTTTTCATTTTTTTCTACTCTTTTTTTTTTTTTTAAAGTGTGGTATTGGTTGACAGTGTAATTGTTGTGGGATGTGACAAACTGTGTGCCTTCTAATGAATGTGTGGGTGTGTCCACCACATGCTGATCAGTATTGAGGATGAGATGGAAACGTGCCTTCTGCCTTCACTCAGGCTGGTCCTGAATGTTTGGGAGAGGGCATTTAGAAGAGAGTGAGGAAATGAACGAGATAATAAGATTGGAATGAAAATGAGTTATGAAATGAGTTTTTCACATGTTGAAGGAGTTGTAAGAGGATGAGGAGAGGGTGATGATTAACAAATTTAAGTGCTTGTTTTTAATCTTGTGTAAGATAATGAGGTGGTGGCCATATTGAATTGTATTAATAATGTCCATTTGATTTGATCAGTGATAAACCAATTTGCAGTGAGTAACTGTACAAAACGTTCTATATACCAGCATTAACTTTTATGCTAATTGACAATCGTTGATATACTTAACCGTCTAATTTGTTCAGACCAAGGAGTTACATCAACCATCCTTTACGGTATCTGATACACTGACTGGAAGAACCCAAGTCTACAATCCATGATGGCCTCTTATATATTGTCAAGAGTATATTTAAGTACAAATCTTAGTGACAATTTACAACAAATTGTCTTCTATGTGTTATTTAATATTGACATCATACCTTTGGTTCAAGTGAAACTAATTTGTGGACTTTGAAAACTGAAGTGCTTTGTAGAGCTTGACAGCAAATGTGGCAGATGTTCTGCTTGCCCATATTCATCAGGATGGACCACTCAGTGAAGAATTTAGCGTTTTAGGAGACAGTCCTCATAGAGTCAGTTTTAGAGGTCATGTGTGAGTGTTTGTGTGATGTTTTGGATGGATTTTCTGTACTTTACTTTTGAAAGTGCTGGCTGACAATCTTCGATTGACTATTATGTAATCTGATAATGGGACTTTTTCTTTTGTGTGCCTTTTTTTGTATTTCAGTGCTTGAGTGGGGTGGGACTTCTTTATGACTTCTGTGATCTTCCTTAATGTATTATATAATACAGTTACTATTGGATATATATAAATATATATTTATACAGATATACATATTTTTTGTATCTATTATTTTTCATTTTTCTGAGCTAACTTTTGAACTTCCGTGTCTACAGTATTACAGACAATAAACATTTGGATTCATATCTTTTTTTTACATATATGTATGAACCAAGAATTTGTTAAAAATGCTTTCACTGTTCTCACGTGTAAATGTATATGTCTAAATTAAATTAAATAAATCATCCGGTTGTTTTCATTATTGCTTAATATGAGCTTACCCATAAGAACTTACCTTTGCAAATGGATTCTTCTGGAATGGAGGGTTTACATCAATGTTCTGGTATCAGTTTTCACCTGTGCTCCATTTAAACCATCAAAATAAAGACACATGGTAGATGCAGATTTCAGGGGAGAGCGAGCGTAGATTATAGAGCACCTCATTAGTTATTAATAATGCTATAGAACCTTTCATACATAGAAATGAGTTTGATGAAAGTGTGCAAATATTAATGAAAGGAAAAGAAAAAAGGCAAAACTACTTGAAAGCTAAGGTGAACACAATAAGAGTTGAAAGTACTTGCTTTTAAATAAATGTCTATTGATAGTAGATTTTAGATGTGTCTCATTTATTGCTCCAGCTGTTTGACTCAAGTTGAACTCCACCCATTACGAGATGTTCATATCCTCTTTAAAGGGCTGATATCCTAGATTTTTCTTGAATTTTATATTTCCCCCCTGAGGCCCACTGATGATATTTGCATGGATTTATGTGCAAATAACAGTCATAATTTAATTTTACATGACCATTTTTCATTCTCTCTTTCTTTCCATTATCTCTTAGTATTTTGTTGTTGTGCCTTTAAGACTGATATATGTAAATGTAAACGTGTAGTGTGGCTTATTCGAAAAGCGGTCCAGGCTGAAACACTCTTTATAACTTAAGCATTAATGGGCAGGGGTAAAATGTTATAGGCTGAATAGCGTTGTGACATCACAAAAACAGTTCATTCAAAACGGGCTGCTTTGATATAGAGATTAAACCTACTGGGCAGTGAAAGGTACGATTTACCTTTCACATTGTTTGTGTACCATATCAAACTCTTCACTTCGTGAAAGTGGGGAAAATTGGATTTTTATTTACATGGACCCTTTAAGCAGATGCCGCTATTTGTGGGAAAACAAATAGCAATATATTTCCACATTTCAGCATAAATCGTAGATACGAAGCTACTATCAGTTGAGGGCTGTTGATGGACTGTTGTGATGTTTGCCACTTTGTTTGAAGGCTCTCTGTTCTCTTACATAAACTCAGAGGCTGCAGCTGAACTCATTGGCCTGCGTTGCTGCTTCATCCCAGCATGCAGCGCATGGCGCGTCATTGAAGAGAGACCATGATGGCGGCGGTCGGTGCACCAGAAGTGATTTCACAGCTGGAAAGCGCTGCCAAAGTTTTAATGGTGAGAAATAATGGCGCTGTTTTTTCGTCCGTGGTACTTTAATGTTGTCTGTCGTTAGCCTGGTCATGAATGGCGGAGGTGTGAGGCTGTTTAGTGAGGAAGGCTGGCGGCTGGAGAGCGATGCGTGGCGGACTGCTGTGTGCTCTCCAGCCCGCAGAAACGGCTCAGCCGCCCGCGGTCCCTCCACCGAGAGCCTTAATGGAGGGGGACCTGCCTAGTGAGAAGAAGAAACACACCAAAAACTACGTTCCTGAGCCTCCGTGGCCCGTGTTTACCACCAGCCGTACTCGATATCGACACGAACGGCTCATGAGAAATGTGTAAAGTGAGTAAAGCAGTTTAGGAGGAGCATCCGTGGCTGGTCGGCTAGCGCAGTGGCGGCACGCTGTTGATTCAGTCCCGGGCTCGTTCATGAGTGCGACGAGGCTGAAGTTGGATTTTTATTCGCCAGCTACTTGTTCGAATTTTCCCGTTCCACCTTAAATGGGAAGCAGTTACATTCTGGCGCCATTTAAGGTGGAACGGGAAAATTCGAACAAGTAGGTTAGCTGACTTAAGCTTCGTATGATTGCGCATGTTTTTAACGCAAAGAGTAACCTGGTTCAAACTAGCCAGTGAAAGATAACTCATAATCGCCATAATGTGTCCGATGAACTTCACTGTATGTTGGAAAGGCTCGTTAATTCTCCAGCGGCTGATATAAACACTGGAAAGCTACAGCTAAGTTAGCTGAAAAGTTGGGAGCCGAACAGCGTGGATAGTTGTAGCGTTGCTAACAAAACCAGTGACATGAGCCGCTAGCCTGGAGCTGAGGCTCAGATCAGCTTTCTCTCCTCATGTGATCTTGGTCGATTCCCGCCGTAGATTCTGTACGAGAAACACGTCGTTTATGTAGGTATGATTAACCTCCGAGATCATTATAGTCACTTTGGTTTTGTGAACTGAAGCCCGTCTGTGGTTCTCTGCTCCCTCCATATCGAGCCACAGATGAGGCTTGCTCATACCAGTTTAGGCCCACCATGTTCAAATCAGACCCTTTTTACATCGCAGGTTACTTTGCTAATTAAGAAGCATTGTGCACCTCCCTAAACATTGTTTATAGGGGTGTTTTCGTTCCTCATTGTGGCAAATGAAGGTAAATGTGATACAAATCACTGAACCGATATGTGATTTTACAAAAATATAGTCTACTCCCTCACTAAATGGTCCATTACATTGCATTAAACTTTGATGACGAGTTAAAAGTCTTGAGTAATGCAGACAAAGCCAAACATGCCCGCTCACTACCAGCCATGGCAAAATGTGTACCTGTACCTGAACACTGGTGCTATTTTTTTTTAAACCTTCAAGTATGTAGAGCTCCTATGATGAGTGTTTGGCTTTAAGATCCTCTAGACAGGTGAAATTGTTGCAGAGATTGTTTTGCTGTATGTGATTTGCCATTGGGATTTTGTTTGAATAGCTTTATGTGGATATGTGGACAGTAAGTGTAATTTCTTGTGCTTGTAAAGCTGGAAGAGGATGTATCAAAGCTTAAAAAGGCGATTAATGTAACACTGGCTAAATGATCATTCGGATGATTTTGACTTGGGCCGAATTTGTTCTAAATTACATTCCACTCGTTCTCCTCAGTGGGCTGTTCATAGGGTGTGCTCTATTATAGGGTTTCATGACTGGGTTATTAAAGTGTTTTGTTTTGTTTTTTTTTCTTTACCAAAGCCCAGTAAAAGCTGCAGTGTGACTCTTCCCTTCTTTCCACTTTAATTTTCTTGAAGGTTGTAAACAGTGCATGAAATGCCACAATACCACTTTTTTTCTGATACTGATCCATTTTTTTTTATATTGCTTTAAAATAATTTGCTTTAAAATAAACCTTTTAAGCACTTACGTTAAGATAAGCTTCTAAAAATAGTTTGTCAACTCACTACTTGAACACTACAAAACTGTTTCAGGATAGAATTTTTTTTCTCAGCTGTCTGGTCCTGCGTTTTCTGCTGATATTGGCCCAATACCATCTCAGTACCCAAAAATACCCATACGCCATCTTAAAATAAATAAATAATTAAATAGTTTTTGTTAATACACTGTTTATTAAGGATGCACCATAATATCAGAATATCAGTACCTGCAGATATTTGCTTAAAAAAATACCAGGACAAATGTTTAGATTTGATCAATATATAAAACCAGTTTCTGATGACAGATTTATTGTACTTCAGAAAAGCAGAATGTTTAGGCAACGCTGTGTTACTGTGCTAAAATATCTACTTTATTATTATTAATTGTAACCCTCTAATAAGTATTACATTTATCTGTAATGCTCATCTAGGTGTACCTGGTTCCAGTGTTTACAGTTTACAAATGTTTGTTTATTGGTATCAGCATTGACCAATATGTAAAGAAAAAAAAAAAAATCAAATATCTGTATCGGCTCACAATTCCCATATCGATGTGTCTGTACTATTTAGGCAATATACGCACAAGACGTTGTGTGTTGCTTTTATACAACAGTTCTGCAAAATAAAGAAAAAAGTAAAGCAAAGAGTTCCTGAACAGTGCAGCGGATGCTTTAATATTGGCAGTTCTTTCCAGGAAAAGAGCATTTTACCGTACAGATAAAACTATCGCAATATCATGTTCAACTCACCTTTCTCAGTTCAGCCTGTCTGTAGAATGCCTGTATATTTTATCGTTAAACCTAGCTGTTGTATTTACATTTCACTTAATGCTTATGTAAATGTTGTTAACATAACTTATTGAATAATTATTGCTCCTTAGTGTGTGTATCTGTAAAGATGGACCATTGTTCAACATTATACAGCTAAGATGTTTTTTAACAAATTAAATTAACTTTATTTTCTCTGACGATTTAAAATGATTTAGAGGACACTTTTATTTAGTCATTCACAACAGTAAGTGAATATAACCCTTGATCAAGGACTTTCGTTGTGGCGTGCTCTTACTGGTATAGCTGTGGTGTGCTTGCCTGGAGGAGGAATGGAACATCTCTCTCTTGTGTGTCATGGTAATGTTGTCCATTATTTTCCGTTTGTGTGAGTTTAAAACAAGGGAAATCCCCACTACTGGTGACTACCCATGTAGGACTCTTAATTAATGGCAGAAACATCAGCTGCTGATGTATTGCGCAACCCTAGAAATGATGAGCGTTTGGGAGTGTCAGTGACAGGAAACCCAGAGATGCAGCTGAAACTAGCCATATTTTCTTAACATAATACTGACAGGTGGGTGGGGATTGAAAAACCAACATAAATTGTCTTAGTAAGCAGTTGAACAGCCAAAACAGTTTTAGTGCACCTTGACGTGTATTCTGTAGCTTTTTGGGACTGTACTGGTGGTATGGAGACCATCCTTCCTAAAAATACTGTTTCAGTATTAAAACCATCCCTAGGTGTTCAGTTGAGTTGAGATGTGGTGACTACAAAGGCCAATGTATATGATTGACATCATTTTCATATTCATCAAAACCATTTGGTGACCATTTGTGCCCTGTGAATGAGTGCATTGTTATCCTGGAAGATACCACTCACATCAAGATGGAAATGTTTGATCATAGGATAAAGCTGATCAGTCATAATAATTTTGTATTGATTTGCACATCTAAGGGGACAAGTAAACCCAAACTGTGCAAGCAAATACTCCCCACTGCATAATCGAGGCACCAGACCACCTCACTGTTGGGGTTAAACATTCAGGCCTGTACCATTCTCTTGGTGAATGCCACACATGCGTGGTAAAGAATGAAGAATGATGTTTCTCCACTTATTTATTTTAGTTCTACCTTTAATTTTTCACTTGTCTGTATGTGAAAAGTAAGATTTGATTTAATCAGATCACAGGTTGTCATGCACAGATCATCTATTAGATCCTATGAAAGATTACATGATGACCGGTGTCTTCTTGGTATGTATTTGCCACCTAGCATCAGGGTTTCTATCATGCTGAACTGGGCTTAACTCTTCACAATGTGTATGTGTCTTCAGGTCTGCTGGAGGTTTACGGTGTTTGCACAGTTTAATGTAGCCGTGCACCAAGCTGGACTATAAAGGTTTGATTTGTACAGAGGAAATGTGGTACGTTCCTGTGGTTGGAGTTTGGCTTGGTGTATCTGTCTAGTGGTCAGGTGAAGAGTGTGTCTGTGTGTAGAATTTAAGGGAGAGAGATTTTCACTAATTCACTGAGAGACAGTATGTTGCTGGGTTTTTAATTTGGGGTGGAATGTATTTCTTCCCTACAGCGTGGTAGACTATACTGTCAGTACTCTTCAGTGTTTAAAACTAAACTTTTATTGTAAAACCTGCCGTGTGTATTTGTTTTAATGTTACCTGTATGTTCATGCATGTGTCCTCTGGTTGTTTCAGGCACCGCCGTCCATGGTCAGTACAGAACAGAGGCAACACGCAGAGCACATATTCCTCTCCTTCCGGAAGTCCAAATCACCTTTTGGTGTCTGTAAGCACATTCTTGGTAAGTGTTAGTGGTCAGCTTAAAACATTTCAGATCTGTTTGCAGAGTTTCCCTTTTCAAGGTGTCTCAAGGGATATACTAAACGTAGTCAGGTTGAAATCTGGTTTCACACCGTTGAAACTAGTGATGCACCGAATGAAAATTCTTGATTGAAACTGAAATTCAGGACGCACTCAGCCGAAAAGTGAAACTGAAAACTGAAAGAAAGGGCTCTTTTATATGAAATTTGCCATTTTATTTATGCTTTAAAATTATGTTGGTGCAGCTTCAAAGAGGATATTTCACATGTTGGGAAAGAGATCTGACAGAGAACTAGAAAACTAATTACATTTTAAATAGCTCACTAAATGATAAAAGCTGGAGAATTATGAAAATGTAACAATTCATGGTTTTCCAATGGAATCTAAAACAGCGGAAAACACCTTGGTTTTTTTTTTTAATTATATGAAGCATGCGGCTTGGGAATTCCTGTCTAGCAGGCCGAAGTTTCTCCAGCAGGCAAGTCGCCTTCACTTTAGTGTTCATCATTTAGAAAAGAAACAGCCATAAACCTCAACAGGATCTGGCAAACGCATATATTGCAGGAAAAACTTTCAAATCAAGAGGTGAAACAGTCCATCACCAAAAGATACTGAGTTACTTGGTATGATTTATGTGATTTCTGAGTCTTGTTAAAGCAGGCTAAAAGGTATTTAATTTAAAGACTGAATAAAATACAGCTGACCGTGCCTGTTCAGTTTTTGCTGCAAATAAAAAACGACACTTGCATTACTTGGTCAATGCACACAACAGTTCTGCCCAGCTGCTTAAATCGTGCTGGCACTTCCTTTCAATTTTCTGTTTCATGTATTTGTTATGACTCTTCCTACTAAATTAACAAAATCAGGTATGTTAATTATGTGAATAAAAGAGTAAAGGAAAATATTTTTTCATGTGTAATTTGGTATGGACTGGCAACCTGTCCAGGGTGTATCCTGCCTTCCGCCCAGTGACAGCTGGGAAAGGCTCCAGCACCCCACCGCGACCCAGAAGGATAAGCGGTTTAGATGATGGATGGATGGATGGATGTGTAATTTGGTATCATTGCTATAATCAAGTCACCTGGCATTTTCTCTCCAGTTTTTTTTTGTTTAAGATGAACCAGTCTTTTCTCAATTTCTTGAGTTGAACTACACCATGATTTGCAGCAGTACACATTAGTTGAAGAGATTAAGTTGCTGTAGTATTTTAACATAAACAGAGTTCAATCTAGAGTTAGTTCTCTAACCCAAGAAGTGCTGTCTTTGACTCTGAAATATCACATAGCCTGATAGAATCCATGGGAATTTTTTTTTTTTGCTTCTACAAGTGAGATTTCACTTTTTAACAGGAAGGGGTTTCAGCAGGGTGGTGGATCGAGTTACGAGAAGGGCCTCAGTTGAGACGCATGCATAGATGTTTTGTAGGTTGAAAACTGTCTTGGGTTGGGATCAAATGGAGGAGAATTTAATTGTAATGCTGGAGTGTATATACTGTAATGTCATTTCTTGTAAGTTGTGGGCAGGGATAATACCAGTTTGCTCATGCAGTCAATTTTCTAGAGAAATGCAAAAGAGGAATCAAAACAAAAAGCTCCTTTGTTTCTTAGAGCTGTGTTGTTTTAGGTTCCTAATTCATTGTCCTTTGTGGCTCAGAAAAGTGATAATTTGCGCCCAACGTGGTTTAGAATTTTTATGCATTTTTTTGACAGGGAAAACTGAAACGGTCTGGCTTGAGTGGAAAGGGTGCTGTAGTGCAGATTAAATTATGTATAGAGGCGCAACAGTGCACAAATGTGATACAATGTGTATAACCTAATAGAAAACTTTTAATACAATGGTAAAAATGAAATGGCAATGTTCATATTACAGTAGCTGAAACAAGTGTATATGTCTATCATAAATATTGTTTATAGGATCTGCATATTGCTTTGCAATGCCTGAACATGCGTATCTTGAGCTATGTGTTAACTTAATGCACCTCAGTAGTTCATTTGACTAATGAACTGGTCTGACTCTCTCTCTTTCCCAGAGACCAGTAAAGTGGACTATGTGCTGTTCCAGGCTGCCACAGCCATAATGGAAGCTGTGGTCAGAGAGTGGGTTCTGCTGGAGAAAAACAGTATCGAGTCTCTCCGAACATTCCTCCTCACCTATGTCTTACAGAGACCCAAGTAAGTGCACTGATGCGCGTGAAAACTGATTGTTTCGACTAGCAGGTGCTCACTGGGTCATTGGCTTTACTCTTGAGTTATTCATGTTTTCTTTAAAATGTGCTCATCACCTCTCCTGTGCTTTCTGCTGCTGCAGTCTACAGAAGTATGTTCGAGAGCAGATCTTATTGGCAGTTGCAGTCATAGTGAAGCGTGGCTCCTTGGATAAATCCATCAACTGTAAGAGTATTTTCCACGAGGTCAGCCAGCTCATCAGCAGTGGCAATCCTACTGTGGTAAGAGAGATAAATTCAACCTCTGTAATTACATTCAAGAGAGCATAACGTGTAAAAGTGCTGCAGATTTGACTGATACAGCAGTAATGGAAGTGTGGAAAGTGGAAACTGACTGTTCTGTCCACTAGAGGGTGCCGTGTGTTTGCTAATTGTTGGATGAGTAGCAGTTATTATGCTTTACAGAAGCATTACCGTCCACAGGGGCTTGTAGAACCTTGTCAGTTATTGATGTTTGTAGGGTAAGAGCCCTTTTGGACTTTAATTGTGAATTATGTCAAAAATGGTAGCACTTGCTCCCGAGTGGCGCAACCGTCTAAGCGTTGGCCGTGTCATCAGGAGATCGCAAGTTCGATCCCTGGTGATGCTACAGCCATCCGTAGCCGGGAGTCCGTGAGAGCACAGTAGGCCTCGCTCTCTCTGGGTGGGTAGGATGGCTCCTCTTTCTCCCCCCATCACTTAACGTGATGCTAGTCAGCGCAGGCGTCTATTAGTTGACGTAACAGATCTGGCGGTTGGCGCTTTCCTCCGAGCGCGTTCGGCTATCCAATGACGTTGCGTGAGCGGCAGTTCGAAAAGATGAGGTGGCGCTTCACAGGTCTCGGAGGAAGCCTGTGCTAACCTTCGCCTTCCTAGCGTTGATGGTATCGTGTGATTGGGGGAGTCCTAACTAGCGGGTGGAATTGGAGACGACTAAATTTGGGGAGAAAATTGGGTAAAAATCCAAAAAAAAAAAGAAATGGTAGCACTTAGAAAAATGCTGTGAATTACATTCCAATAAACAGATATTTACTGTGAGTTGAGCCAATATCTTTTAATTTTGAGAGTTATGTCCATGTGGAGAGACAAGTCACCATGAAAACTTTGCTTTAAAAGAAGGTCTTAGAAAGAAACTCTTTTAAAGCCCCTGTCTGCTCATTTTTATGAGTTTCTTCTAACTATTATCTATAGCTTTTGTGATGTCTTTACAGCGAGCTGGCAGAGAAAGAATGCTGCTTTTCTGTTGAGAGATTTTTTTTTTAACTAATAAACCACACTCAGTAAAACAGAACAGTGTTTAAACTTTTGAAGTGACTTTTTCACTTTAGCAAACGCTGGCGTGCTCCATCCTGACAGCTCTGTTAAGTGAGTTCTCCAGCTCCAATAAGACCAGTAACATTGGCCTCAGCATGGAATTCCATGGCAGCTGCAAGCGTGTCTTTCAGGTCAGTCAGCTCTTCTGTTTCCTAATTTCCTGATTAATACTTTGTGTGTATTACGTTAATGTAATATATGTGTGAATTTGTTGTAGGAAGATGACCTCAGGCAGATCTTTGTACTCACCATGGAGGTTTTGCAGGAGTTCAGTCGCAGGGAAAACCTCAATGCCCAGATGTCGTCTGTATTCCAGCGTTACCTAGCACTGGCCAATCAAGTGCTGAGCTGGAACTTTCTCCCACCCAATCATATCCTTTTTCTGAGAAGATAGCAGCTGCTGCTCATCATTCCGTCGACCCTGAAAGTCCCGCCTCCCTTACTGTTGCTTTGTCAATCAGACTTTCAGCTCAGGTCTTGTGCTAACAGACTTAGAAGTTACATAGCAGTAAAAGTTAGTAATCCAGGTAAATCTTTGTCACTGCCTGTTAAAGAGTCATGTTTCCCTTTTAAATGAGTTAATACTAGAGCTACGTGTTGCAGCTTTGTATGCTGAGGACATCATGTGTTGTACCTGAGATTATAGCAAACCTCAGTGATGGCATTGCAAGCAATGGCATTAATAGTTACAGTGCTCAAAGGTAGTCTTGACACACTCTCTGAATACCATTTGTATCTTGATAATTTATTACTTTCAGATAAATTTATTATGTATTCATTCTTGTTCATCAGAAATGTTTTAACGACCAGCAATAACCACGTTTACTTACTGACGTTCAAACTTATCGCAGAAAGTAACTAAAAATTTAAGAAAGGCTAGTGAAAGTATTAAGACATTAGAGGTACAGGTATTAGTTTATTTTATTTAGGTTAACATTTTGTTACAGATCCTTTCTTTTGGATGGCAGCTTAAGGTCTTCTAGGCATAGTTTGCATGAGTTTGAACACCTGATAATCAGCCAGACTTTTTGGGTGTTCTCTTTTGGGTGGTCATTATGTAGCAGATTTTTAACACTTCTATCTCTTCCCAAGATATTAGTGCATTTTTCACTCTTGATTTTGGAAATTTTAGCATGTCTGTAATCTTTGTTACAGACATGCTATTACCAAGAGACACTTTATATCAGATTAATTCAACTGTGTTCTCTAAGTTTTCTTAGTTTTCTGATGTTTCAGAATGAAATTTACCCAGCAGTCAGGTGTGTTGAATGGTACGTTGGGGATCTCTGGTTTGAACATGTGTGCATTTGAATTAGTGTCCCAACATTTATTTTGAAGTAAACTGGGGGGGTTAGATGAATGTTTTCTAGCTTGCTATTGCTCAGTTGGGCTCAAAGTATTGATTTAGTAATTATAATAAAACATAGGATAGCAGTTTCCTAAACCTGCTTTTGAGCATTGTATGTGCATTTATGTATCATTAATGCACAGTTAAAGCTGGACAGCCCTTGCTTCAGGATTTCAAAAAAATTACCCCATACCGGGGCCGTGTTTAATTAAATGCTTACAAGTAACAACTCTTAGCATAATAAATTCTGACTAATTTACTTCCGCTGCCATTCTAACGGCAAGTTTGTTCTGAAAAGATGTGTCCCGTTACTTGTTACTTCTGTCTTGTATGACAGAACAGTCTTTATGCTCATGATTGTGTGCGAGTGGGTGTGTGTTAGCTCTCTGAGGTGCTAATCCCACTCAGGCTGGCCGTGTGCCTTTCTGTCTGTTTACAGGGATCTGGGCTGGCGTCTGTGCCAACCAGGGTCACATATCACTTTCAAAGAAGAACTACGCCTGTGTCCTTATCACTCCCAATAAGTGTGCCTTCAAACGGCCAAGTCGTTGAGTATCTACTGAGAATGTTGAGCAGGGGCATATGTGTCAGTGTGTTTGTGTAGACAGACTGAGATCACAGTAATTGCTGCCTTGGTGGTATGTAGAGGAGATCCTCCTTTGGGACAACGAGCAGATTCATTAAGGACAGTGGTGGGGGGGATAGTATGCGTTTTGTGTGTCTGTTCGTGTGCATGCACATATGTTGACTTGAAGGTCTGTGCTTAAAATTGCGTTCCTGACAGCCGCTTCTGCTTTACTCCTCTCAAAGTGCCGCTGTGTGTCTGTATCCTCTGCTTTGGCATGTAGATCATCTGTCTCCACCCCACCTCCCCCTCCTCAGCTTCTGGTGTGTGCGCGTGTCATGTGTGCAAGGCCAAACATGCGCTTACCCTGCTTCATTACCACTACGACTGAAACCAAACCACTCCCTACTCCCTTTGTAGTGAACTACCTAGGCCATACAACAAGAGTTTCTTCCAGTGGCGGCTGATGCTTTCTGTCACAGAGGAAGCAGAGATGGCGATAATCTAATGGAGTAAATTGAGTATAGAATCGATTGTCATGTTAAGTTGGTGTTATTTTATATTCAGTAATTTGCTTATTTTTCTAAATAAGTATGTAGATTCAAATATAGACCAGACAACGAAAGGTATTTAACTTGTTAAACTCAACATTGAAAATATTATTCCTTAATGTAATTTCATCTGTTGAGTTATCTGCCTCGACATTTGATCACCACTTGTGACATGACAATTTTTTTTCTTCTAGATTAATTTTTAATGATCATTTGAAACCTGTGAAGGCATTGACGGTATTAGCAGTATCTGTCATGCTACTTCGAAAAAAGCTATATATGCAAAATTACACACAAACGCTACTTAATACTTTACTGTTAACTTGGCAAGCAAAAGAATCACAATTCAAAACTATATTTATAATTTATTATTTTCCAAATGGCAATGAAGAAAGACCATGAAAAACCTTCAAATTATATTGAACCAGCAATTGTAATGCTAGTTTTCGAAAGACTCCCCTGCAGCTCTGAGCATGTGTTCAACACCTGCCTATTTAGTTTAAGTCGTTGTCGGTCATGCGCATTACAATGTCTGTATTGGCAGGTTGTTTTTACATACTGAGTTTATGAGTCAGGCAGTAATCGGATTGCTTCTTTGAATCCGACCAATAAACTCACAGAATAAAACATAATTTAAATGTAATGTAAAACACGAGCTTCATGCAGCAGTTTTTTTTTTTGTAACACATCACGCCCCTTTACCTGAAAAAATGAACGTACATCTTCTAGAAGATGAAGAATGTTTAAGTCCTTCATTTCATCATGCATGTAGTTTGTTTCAGTGTTGCTGTGTTAATCACTGCTTGTTTATTTCCGCTACTGCGGTCCATTTTTGCATATGTGAGGACTGAGAAATCCGAAAGAAATCAGAGTAAGAGTATACATGCGCTGAGAAATCCAATTACTGAGATAAAATCCAGCACTCTTGATTGGATTTCCTAATTGGATTTCTAGATCTTACTCTGATCTAAGGGATCAGAGTATGGTATTTACATGACTATTTGAATAATCAGATAACTGCTTATGCTCGTGCATTAGCACATACTGAGACATATTTACAGCCAAAGTGGTAAAATGGACGTAAAACGTTGAGCTGTCCAAGGTGGTTTTATGTTTGTTGAAGGCACAAAATGGGTCTTCTTAACATTTGGGTTGCCGACCTCTGCTATAGGCTGTGCTTCCATGTGCACTTTCAAGTAGACAGACACAGCTTACATTAAAAAAACAGCGTCAGAGTGTAGTGGTGTGGGGTAGCTATTTCACATTTTTGTATTTACTAAAAATATTGAATTGCAGTATGAGTGAACAGTTATATAGGCATGTTAACTGTATTATATATTATTTTAGGGAAGCCATATTTCCTGTGCAATTGTAAAACAACTGACACTGATTTTATCACTCTCATATGGCAGTATGCTTACAAATGGAAGCCAGCTAGCTATTGGCTGTAAGCTGGCCAGCTCCTCTTTTCCTATGAATTGCCCTACATAATTCATGAAATAATGACCTGAAGCAGTGATCTATAGACCTACAAGGCTGCCTTTTGAGATTCATCCCAGGTCTCTACAGCTTTAGCCACTTTAAAGCAGGTCATGACAGGACCTTGAGCTGATCAGGTGCTCTGAATGGTTGAGGGGGTTGACAGACAACTGAAATACTGCCCTCTGTTTCGCTCTCAATACTAAAGAAGTGTTTTTTTTACCGGGGCATGTGTCCTTGGTTCATAGGGGCAGAGGCTAGTGTGTAGAGTGGGGGAAGAAAGGGCATTCCCGGAGAGTTACAGTGCACATGCTGGACCATTGAGAGAGTTTTAAAGGGAAGGATGTGATGCTTAAACCCCCTCTAATGGCCTGCACATATATCTTGACTATCTGGCGTTGAGCCCCACTCGGCACTCTTATAACCATTATGCTAACTAAATGCTCCCTCAGTGTTTGCAACACTTAATCTTTCCTAGAGCCCATATTCAGCGTGAACTTAATTACCCACCAAAGTAACCACATACTTCCTCTTCAGCCCAGTCCCACACCACTCCTACTGCTAGATAAGAGACTTTATATTTAACACATAATACATCCTCAAAATATATCTCACCCACTTTCTCCTCATAATCATAGTTGCACACTAATTCTGTCATGGCTTGTTCTGCGGGCATCCGCTTTGTCACCACTTAGCTTATCCAATGTTTGCTAGGAGAGGGAATCTTGTTTGGTGAATTTAGACCTTCCTCTAAAACTGCCTACGCAGTCAAATACTCTGTCTGGTCTTGCACTGTTCTTTAGTCCGTAAATATTGCTGTACCGTCATCTATGTCCGTAGACTCTATAAATCAGGCCCTTAAAGACTTTCACACCCCCCCCTCTTCCCCAACCTTGCAGCCTTAAACCTACATCACATAACCTACATTACCTTTTTTAATCTGTTTCTTGATTGTCAATAAATCTGTATTTGCTCTCTCATATTCTCATTCGCTAGATTGTTCTCAAAGTGTAAATCCATCTTAAGCGTCTTCCTCTGTATGTACACCCTGCATGTAGCTCCACACCCTTTCTGTTATCCTTTTATCTAAACTTAGAGTTGTCTGTTCAGCAGCTAGAGGGTATGAGATATGAGGTTGTATGACTTATGCCCAGTGCTGCTGCAAATAAGAGTCATGAATCTCCAAGCTGCCTCTGATATAATGACAGTATATTCTTAACGTTGACCTACTGTTTCTTTTCTTTGATGATCTGGTGTCTTTTTCATTACTAGCTCACATTAATTTGTATGTTTTATGTAAACTTATTAGTGATTTTGTGATGTAGAACTAGTCTAGAATTCTCCTTTTCTAGAATTTCTGTGCTTGTTTCTCCCATTTAGTCAACATCGTGTTCAGAAGTAAACTTTGTTTTCTAAATGATTCTTGATTGGGCTGTCAAACAAGTGGGTAAAGGAAGTGGTGGATTGAAAAGCTACTTGATTGCTAGGTCTTCAGTTGTTCTGATACATGTTACTAGTTGTAAATGCCAAGTATGAGACCGGTAGTAACGTTCCCACCAGGACGAATGGGAGCAGATAAAAATGCTGCTGGAGAATGTGTGTGCATTGCATATCCCTCTCTGATACTGGAGTTTTCTACTTCCATGCCTCTGTGTGTAGACACAAACGTGTGTGTGTGTGTGTGTGTGTGTGTGTGTGTGTGTGTGTGTGTGTGGGCTTTGCAATGTTGTGTTTACTTGTGGTGGCTCACGTGAACATTTTATGACGGCTGTAGATGAAACATTAAGGCTGCAAGAAATATTCCATAATACTCAATAAATTAGAAAAGAAAAGCCATTTGAATAACTGACACATTCACCATTTTTATGAACCCAGGCACTACTGTGGGGAAATAAATATTTATAAAGCCAATCTTTATAACTTTATAACTTGCTCAGGCAATGTGCGTGTACAGTTGCTTATTTAGGTCAACAGAAAGAGAGAGTATTAGAGTGCGCTTAATGTGGATAAAATCAATATTAGGGAAAATGAAGATTAATATACTTTCCTGTTTTCAGAATCAGTGTGTGTATATATAGAAACACTACATTACTAAACACCACTCTCCATACCTCTCAAACACTGGCATCCGCTCTAAGTGATCTTCTCATCCATTTTAAAAGCTCCTCCCTGTGTCCCAGTGCAGCTAACCTCTGAGTGGTTTGTTTGCGTTTGTCTGTCTCCCCTGTTCTCGTACAGGACGCAGTGGTGCTGTGTATGTGTGTCTGTGTGGCTCCAGGCTGCTGCTGGCGGTCAGGCATCGGCTCCAGGCTCACTTCTCCTCCCTGAGTGGCCTCCACTCTCGTTCCCCTCCTTAACTCAGGTCATACAGAGTTCCGCAGCGCCAGAGCTATTTTTAAAAGGCCATAAAGCCAAGCCTGTTTAACGGGGGGAGACAAGAAAGAGGGGTGTGCACACACCACACACGTGTTTGTCTCTCACTCACACTCACAGTCTGTCTTTATCTGACTTAGTAACACATTCATTGTTCTTGAACTGGCAACTATCTGTGTGCATCAGTGCTTGTGTTGTGGTATTGTACAGTATATTTTGTATTACATCGCATGGCTTGTTACAGTATTTGTGTAGTAGATTTGCATTTATAGGGGTGGGAAAAGTAATGAATTCTTGTGACTTTTACATAGGGTTATGCATAAATTGTTTGCTGTAAATGGCCCATATAGAACAGTTTTCTTAATTTTTTCACCATTTTCCATCCTCACTTTAACCCATATGGTTAAACAGGCTGTTTTTGTGCCTAAGAAAGGCCCATGTTCTGTTTTTGGTAGGTGTGTGTTTTTGTTTCATTTGTTTCATTTTCTCATAATGATTATGTTCCTAATCCATCATTTACGACCATTTCCAACATCTCTTTATTCCTTAAAGTTAAACAGTTTTTGTTACTGTGCCTTTAAGACTTCAAAAAAAACAGTCCAGGCTAAAACACTCTTTATAGTTTCACCATTAATGGAATGGGCTGAAAAAAAAGATTTTCCATGATATGCACCCTTTAAGACTAATATATGTAAGTGACCTCTGTTGGCTGTGCTGTTTTGTGCCTTGTTTAATAATAATAAAAAAAGGCTGCCCTTTAACAGCATGAATGGGTGGGGCTAAATGGTTGTAGGCAGTTGTATATAAATTATTTGGTTTCATGACATGACAAAACCAGTAAATTCAAAACAGCTTGTTTTTGCAGCTTAGTTTCCACATATTTAAAGTGTATGGTCTGGGGAGTGAACAGTAGATTTTAAAACTTTTGAAACAAGTGATGAAAATTCAGCTTTTAATGCTGTGGGCCATTTAGTTGACATGAGTCAAAAGTACCAGAAGTTTCTGATAAAAAAAGTAAACACTCTAGACTCGTGCTTATAACACCTAGAATCATAACAAGCGTGGTTTGTTGGCCGCATTCAAAGTCAAGTAAGCTAACCGTACTTGTTAAGGTAGATAAGGAGGGAAAAAAGGCAGTTGGATCGAATTTTGAGATACAGCCCTACTTACGATGATGTGATGAATTAGTTTTAGTCTGTGTGCCTGCATGTGTGCTTGTGTCTGTCTGCAGGGAGTGACTGTAGGTCCAGCCCAGAGGAATGTTTGGCCTTTGCCGGTAACTGGCCTTGATCACACATTCCTGTGGGAGTCTCTCTCTCTCGCTCTTCTGTCTTACTGTTGCTCTTGCTCTCTTGCGCGCTCTCTCTCTCTCTCTCTCTCTCTCTCTCTCTCTCTCTGTCTCTGTCTCTGTCTCTCTCTCTCTGTCTCTGTCTCTCTGTCTGTCTCTCTGTCTTTCTTTGTGTCTCTTTCTTCTCAGTGGGTTGTTAAGTGAGTGACCTTGAGGTTCAGATGAGGTGGGAGGGGACAGTTGGGCTTAACTGTAGTAACTCTCTGTGAGGGACAGAAGGAGGCAGAGGAAAGTGGGAGTGAATTATAGCAACTTTCCGCTGCAAAAAGGGAGGAATTGTGACAGACAGAACAAACATTTGAGAGGCACAGAAGGCGAAACTATTGAGGTTAGAGGAGAGGAAAGTTGACATTTTAGCACCGGTGCCTGTCTGCATGATGATGCTGCTGACCTTAACTGAGACGTCACTGGGCAGACACTACATTGCCATGTTCGAAGCTACTCAGAACGTCATGCTGAAGCCTACTGAGTCATGGAGGGAAGCCCTTCTAGACCACAGAGTGATGGACCTCTTCTTTACTGTGAGTACAGAATCTTTATCTCCATCTCTCTCACTGTGTGTGTGTGTGTGTGTGTGTGTGTGTGTGTGTGTGTGTGTATTTTTCACTCCTGTTTCCCTCTGGAAAGATGCTGATTCTGTTGTCAGTTGATTGGCCTGTAGAGGAACCCTAAGAGATTTTTTAGGTGTATTCAGACATGCTGCAAAGACATAATTTAGTGTCTTGCTTAATATGTAAATTGCTAAGAACAATTAAAGATAGCAAAACTGGATGCTTTAATTAGGATAGTGATTGGCATAGAATGAGAGAACAATTGCTTCTTCAAAGTGCTTATACAGTGATGCATTTATACCTGTTTTCTGGTATTTCCATACCCAGGAGGAAAAATGGCTTTGTGTGTGTGCGTTATTTCCATATAATAAGTAAACCTGGATAAAGAGCAGGACATATTTAATCTTACAGTCTAACTCACCTAGCATTGCTATTGGTTTGTATTCATGTTCATGTAGAATAGGCAGTTAAATTTATTTTTTTCTACATCCATTAAAGTACTCCACCGTAATTTATGCCAGGTGCGTCAAAGTGGGTTACTTCCAGGTCACAGCTCTGCAGAGATTACCGTTTTCCCTCCTCTAGCACTGAAGAGTTAAACTCAAGAAGGCCTTGCTTGTAAGTTGATTAGGTTGAATCAGGTGTGTATTTAATGAGGAACGATGCTAAATTCTGCATGGCTGTGACCTGGAACAACTCACTTTGCATGCATGAATGTGTGCCATGTTTGTACACTTTTACCTAAATTACCTCCCCAGTGTGACCAGAAGAGATCTAGTTTTATTTTCCTTTTTTAGTTTTGCTAAAAAAAACCCTACATCACCTTGTACGATAGAAATTGACAAGCTTGGTTTGGACCCTTTCATCGGCCCAGAGTGTAAGGAAGCATTTGGTTTGGGGATAAATCCAGCCTTGTGTATCTAGCATCCATTGTTTATCATCTCCCTTGCTAGCTTTCAGCAGACACATTTCCACTCACGTAAATTTATGTTAATATAGAAAACATTCCATTTATGCTTGTCTTGAATGTGGTCAAGATTCGTCTCTGGCAACATCTAAGTGTGGTTTCAGTGATCTCATCATAGTCCTGTGTTTACACCTGGCTCTTCATGCAGTTCGGAGAGTAAGATAACGAAGTGTGATCTGAGTACTTCAATTACAAGTTGATGCAAGCTGTAAACAGCCTCTTTGACATCCCCAATATATTCGATAACCTGAGGTGTTGAATTGTCGTTGATTGGCTGCAGTTTTATGCCCCATGGAGATCTATAGGAGGTTGTTTGTGCATTATGTCTTGAATCACTAAGAAAAATGAGAAACTAGTACAAAAATGTTTGAGGAGAAAGATTTGGCTACTCTTGTAGGATGGATGAAAAGTTAGATGTAGTTCAAGATAAGTTAGTTAAACAGAGAATGCTGAGTGCTCTGAATAAAAACGTATAATGAGGAAACCACTCACTATGATGAAGTTGCCAGACCTATCAAACTAAATGAGACAGTGAAAGTTTGAGAGTTTTAGGATAGCCGTTTTAGGGTAGAAACCATAGGCAGCCTTGGCTGATCAGAGAGAGATCTTGATGTGTGGAACAAATCAGTCAACTTTCCTTCACCGTGCAGAGCATAGCTGCCAAATACTGCTCCACTTTCTTCCATTACATATGCATAGTCTACTTGTACCATCTGCTGCCAGATACTGCTCTCCTTTCTCCATCAGTACCAGCGGATTCTGCTTTTCTTTCCTTATGGGCTCCTGAAGAATTTTGTCTACGAGCTGCCAGGGTGTCACTGTGTTATTGTGCATCACCTCTGAGGAGCAGCTGTTAACCAGAGGCTCCTGATTAACACTGCTCCTGTCTTTTAAGTGGGACTGTTGGAGGGTCACTCTGCTCACCCCCAGGGTCAAGATGGGTCAACAGAATCATTAAGTATCGTGGGGTAACCTGTTTAAAGCCCGTTGCAGCATTGTGGAATTTGTGCTCTGCTGTTGGTATTTGAGTTTGACATATCTATTCATCATGCCACCATGGACATGTAAGGGCTCATTGAGAATCTGGCTTTGTCTGGGTGGTATATGATGGCATTTACCGTGGATGGGGAGATTGTTTTTGTTGGGTTAAAGTGTAGTCAGCTGTCTTTCTGTATATCTTGGTGTGTGGTGTGTTTTTCTGTGTGTGTGTATGGACCCATCAGCTGCTTGCCCTCACTCTTCAGCTGTGATGGGGGCAGGTGAGGCATGCAGCCATGCGCTGCAGGGGTCAGAAGTGACTGTGGTCGAGTGGCTGGATTAGACCCTGGCCCTGGATTAGGAGTCCGTGTTAACAGCCACTAATCCCTCGGCCTGTCGGTCAGGGACTCAAGCAGGCAGACATGAGGCTCTCCCTTGTGCCCTGGAGGTTTAGAAAGAGACAACAGAGTCAGAGAATGAAACACAGCCGAAAATAAATCCCCTCTCTTCTATTCACACCTAATAAAGCCATGGCTACGCTAACATTTTCCTACTCAAACCCAACTGAGGAGTGTTTTTGTTTGTGGTTTAGGTTTTTTACATACACATGCGCACACACACAATCCTCTCGTTCTGCCCCATATGTTTATATATATTTCTAACAGATACATACATATAGTTGACAAATGATGGTTATGTGATTTATTTATTGGTTTGTTTTTTTTTATTTATTTTTCTCTTTTTTGTTTATTTATTTATTTATTTTAAACCCTTCGCCTCAAAAGCTGGTGGTTAATGCTGGAATCAGATCAGTTTGTGTTCTGTCCCATTATGCACATGTTGTATGTTTAGGATCTAAATGCATTGTGCAGTTGTTATGGAAGATTTGGCTTGATTTTATACTGATGACTCTTTGCGTTAGTAACTGGACCTGAGTGAAGGTAGTGATGGAGAGATGAAGTGACCAAGAACAAAAGGCAGGAGAAGATCTGATCTGCCCAGGAGACACACAAGGCTTTGTCTTCCTCCTAAAAATACTCTCTCTCTCTCTCTCTCTCTCTCTCTCTCTCTCTCTCTCTCTCTCTCTCTCTCACACTCTCTCACTCTCTCTCTCACATTTTCATTTAGATGCCCCCTTGCCAGTCTCTAACTATAGCTGGACTCGAGGCAGTTGGAATAGTTTGCGTCGTGCGGATGTTCTTCGGCGCAGCTGTTTTTACAGAGCGTGCTGCTCACGTAACTTTGGCCTTGCGCTTGCCTTTCGCTCTCTCTCGCGCTCTCTGTTTAGCTCTATCTTATTCTGTCTGTGTCTCATCTACCTCTCAATCCCCTCCTCCCACTTCATGTCCTCCCTCCCTTCTTTCTCAGCTCAGAGAATGATTTCACACTGTGGAAAGAGCTCAGTTCTCCGGTAGTCCTGGCCTATATTACAGCATGTAAGAGAGAGTGAGTTAGTCCCGAGGTGGTGGATCGTCTGTCTAGCTGGAGGAGATGGAAAGTAGTGGCTGGGTTGAGGCTCTAGACCCAGCCTTAATGCACCAGCGTTTCTGTCTTTTCCTTTTTGCATCTTGCCAGAACGTTTAGACACAGTATGTGAGCAAGAGAAAGCAAGAGATTGAGCCGAGAAAAAGAGAGGCAGTGAGCAGGGAAGAGGACTATGTGCCAAACATCCGCTCTGCAGTGGAACCACATGTGCTTCTGGTAGGGGAGAGCAGGAGTCAAGTCTGGACTACACACACACGCTGTTAGCCATGGTGCCGTGCCACTAAGGCCAGGCATCCCGTGCTTGTCCCAACTTTACTGGGTCTTGGCTCTTGTGAGCGTTTCCTTGAGACTGAATCTTTTGATTGACTAGGACCTGATTTATGCTTTGGATCGGATTGTGGTGGCATTCTTGCTCTGCTTTTTGCATCTGGAAAGTGACCATAAGGACGTGACATTTTCACTTTTTTTGCTGGCTCGTCAGTTAAAGGTGAGCAACTTCTAACTTTAAATCTCCCTGCTTCGTACCTGTTAACCTTTCAAAGCCTTCTCATACTTGCGTGAGCTGCAAAATCAAAGACAGATTCATCTGTACGAGCAAGGGTGAGAGGAGGAGACGGGCTAGTGTAGAAGGAAGAATGTGTATTTGTGTGTGTGAGAGAGAGAGGCTTCTCTGCGTAATTCAGAAAGACTGTGAGAGCTCCCCAGCCGTGTGTTTGGTCAGCTGCCAGTGAGCCAGTCTGCAGTTCCTGCTGGACTCTTTGAGGGGGCCTGTTTGGCTGTATCACTACAGAAAAGACTAACGGGCTATATGCCCTCGCACGTTCATTCGCTTTGTTTCTGTCTTTTGTTGTGTCCTCCATTGCACTGTCTTGAATATCATGCCGCCTGATGTAGGAGGTTTCAGGCTCTTGGTGGGGCAAGAGCATTCTTTGTATCTTTTTTTTTGTCTTCTTAAATTGGAGACTATGTAGAGATCAAACAATATTGTATATGTAGTCTTTTTGCATACTTGATTTTATATATATATATATATATATATATATAAGTTCATGTCATGTGTGTTAATTTTCTTAAGTGGCCCGTTGGCCAGTATAAGACCTCACATGTAGATAGATTTCATATTATGGATTAACTGGTTGCCCATACAAAATTTGCTTGCTTATGACTCAGGATATGCAATTTGTTTGTGTTCTAATTGACAGACCGTCTCTCTCTGTGGCTTCCTCAGGTACACAGGAAGATCCGGGAAGACTCTGACATGGCCCAGGACTCGCTGCAGTGCCTGGCCCAGCTGGCCTCCATGCACGGGCCCATCTTTCCTGACGAGACTGCTCAGGTCACCTACTTGGCCCACATGGTAGAAGGGCTGCTCAACATGATCAATGGGTGAGTGAGAAGCTGATTATAATGCTCTTACTAAGACTTTTAGTACAAAGGTATTCTAATCAAGTTTGTCGCTGTTAAACAAATGAATGATTTGAATGATGAATGAATGATACACATGTTTTGTGCAGTTGAAGTAGTTCCTTATCTAATTGTAGAACAACTGCACCATGTTTTGGGTGCTCATGTTTTTAGGTGTTGGAAATGACATGGTGTTCTCACTTTTGAGCATGTTGTAGAGGTGTCTGAGGTTTTATGTTAAAGACAGAAAGACGGCTTTGTCATTTAAAATAACACATGCAGCCCCTCTTCTGAAATTCAATGCGATGTAGGTGGAGTCATTAGGGTCTTTCTCCATCTCTATCCCTCCCTTTCCCTCTCTGCCTCTCTCACCACTCTGTAATCACCTATTCTTGGAGCTTTTTTCCAGTTGCATCATCGGAAAACCATGCGGCAGGTCCGCCAATCTGTCGTGATTGAACTGTTCTGCTTGCAATTTAAATCCATCTGATATGGGTTAGAACCTCAGTAGGGAGCATAAGGGAAGCAGACCTTGAGTGCTCCTCCAGCGCTCCTGAGGGGAAGCATTCCGAGAATCCAGGTGGTGTTCCAGCACTGTGCTGTGTGCGTTTAAAGTGATAATTGTTCCAGATATTTCCTTGCCTCTTTGGCCATTTGCATGTACACTTGAAAACACTGGAATTTAAATAAATATGGATTGAAGTTCTCTTGATTAAAGCTTTTCCTGGAGTATTGCTGGTTCACTCAAGGTTTCCAGCCTCTGGGACAGATTTTAGAAGAGCTTTGTGGGCAAGAAAAACTACACCACTGGCCTTGAATTTTGTATGAGCATATCATGTGAACGTATTGTTCTACCATACTAATATTAGCTGTAACCTTTAGGAAAGGCAAGGTGGTTACTAATTTCATTCTAGGGGATCAAACGCAACAGTTGAATAATCAAGACTAGCTCACTGGACGCTGCAACTTTATGATGGAACCCATGCATCTCTCTTATTCAATTTATAGAGCATACTTTTAGTAGGATTAAATTTTGGGAGGAGGTGATGATAAATAAAGCAGGCTGTGTGGTCTTTTTCCACAATGTTTTGCTTGTTTCTTTTTGTGTAATTCATACTGACTGTGCTGGTGGATGATTGTCCAGAGATAATACTGTTTCTGTCTTTTAAAGGATTGAGATTGAAGACTCTGAGGCAGTGGGCATCTCCAATATCATCAGTAACCTGATCACCACTTTCCCCCGAAGCGTTCTTACAGCTCTCCCCAGCGAGCTCTTCTCCTCCTTCATAAACTGCCTCACACTGCTCACCTGTTCCTTTGGCCGCAGTGCTGCCCTTGAGGAGGTGGTGAGTAGAAGAGCTTGACTAAATGTGTTTATCTGTATAAACCTTAAGGGCTGTTCACACTTTACTGTGGAAGTCTAGTAATACTGCATCCTGAAATTAGTCTAGAGTCACAAGGAGCATCATAGCAGTTTCACTGTCCTATAGAATTAAAATATCCACATCTAGTGGACAGCTGCTTGACATGCAAATATGCTTAGAAGTTGAAGGGGCAGTGTTTCCTTACCCTGGTCCCCCTGCCTTGCTCGTTTTAGTGTTTTTCCTACTCCAACACATCCATTTTAATTGAGAGGATTTATTAATTAGCTGATATTAACGGATAGTAATTAGCTTCAGTGTTTTAGTCACTTTATAAAACAGGAACGAGGCTTGTTTTCTTGTTGGATCCACCGTGTGTGTTTCTTAGCATGCATGTCAGCTCATTCAAAGCACAGTTGGAATCATTAAGCGCTTATTATTAATTTGTTTAAACAGAGTAACAAAGTGTGACTGTGACTTTTCCTAATCATGGGTTTACTTGTTTAAAAGGTAGTTCTTAGAATTTAAATTTGTTAGATCACATTCTTTAAATTGCAAATAAACGCTATTACAATACTGGAGAATCGCATGATTAACAGAGAAAAGCAAATTAAATGGCAGAAATCATATTGGTTTCTTACCGGTTTCTCACCACCCAGCCCTGCCTCCCCACACACACCAGTATACAAATTAAAGAAATTGCCGAAGAATAATCAAATAGTAAGTTTACTCAAATACTAGGCCTGCATTCCTTAGCACTTTGCCACAAACCACAAATCTTTAGCCTGATGCTGAAAAATGCTTCAGTAGTAGTCTGTGAAGACTCTCCCTCAGTAACAAGCTCACATAGAAATTTGACATTAGCCTGTCTTCCATGGCCTGCCTGTAGGTAGAGCCATTCAGCAGAGCTTGTATGCACTTGACAGAATTGTTTTTTCTGTGTTTGACAAGGTACATGTCCTATAGCATGACTCTTGCGATCCCCCTGGGACCATGTTGTGACCGTCAAGTCAGTGTTGACTATGGGCATTTTTGCTGTATGCCCTTAGCTCTTACACTTTGATATGGGGCATATATGTGCTTTTTCTTATAAAGTATACTCAAAAGTGCACTGAAAGGTATGGCAGTATGAGCTGTCCTTTAAAATCATGCTTCATTTTATACAGCTGGATAAGGATGACATGGTGTATATGGAGGCATATGACAAGCTGCTGGAATCGTGGCTGACGCTGGTGCAGGAGGATGAGCACTTCCCTCGTGGCTGCTTCGTCCAGCCAGCTGTGCAGGTCTTCAACTCCTACATTCAGTGTCACCTTGCAGCCCCTGATGGCACCAGAAACCTGGTCAGAGCAACTCCACACATCTGTCCACAAACTACATTTAAGACCATTTTTCCATTTGTCTTATGACCGTTCCTTTCAGACATTTCCATTGAAATATGCCTGTTATCTCTTTCCACATGCAAATCTGTCAGATGTCAGTGACTATCCCCCCATCAGTTTTACTATAAGCATCTCCCAGTTGTGACTTTTTTTTGTATCTGTAGACTGCAAATGGTGTGGCATCTCATGACGAGGAGGAGATAAATGAGTTACAGGAGGACGACAGAGAACTGTTTTCAGATCAGTTAGCCAGTGTTGGCATGTTGGGGCGCATTGCAGCAGAACACTGTATCCCTTTGCTCACAAGGTATAAACACATACTTGCTCAACACTTTTAGAGTATGTTATATGAAGAAATCAATTTTAACCACTGATGTGTGTTGCTGTTAGCTTACTGGAAGACAGGGTCACACGGCTTCATGGGCAGCTCCAGAGACACCAGCAGCACCTCATGGCCTCCTCAGATCCTGACTCAGTCGACCGGAAAGTACTAGACGACCTCTATGAAGACATTCATTGGCTCATATTAGTCTCAGGTTAGTCTTAAAAAAGATCCATAGTGGAAAAAATGAATTTTAGATTTAGTTTAGATATGTATGTATGTATTTTCAGTTGTTTTACTGTTGAAATTACATAAATTTGTTTTTCTGTTTTTCTGCTTTTGAGCTCAATGTAAAACAAGAGCACGCAACCTTGCTCACCAAGTCTAGCTGTATAAAGGGTTGATAATGTTCAAGTGGTTGTATGGGGAAAAACAGTCTCCCTTTTTGGGTGTTTGGACAGGCTACCTCTTAGCAGATGACCCTCAGGGTGAGACACCACTGATTCCCTCTGAGGTGATGGAGTACTCCATAAAGCACTCCACAGAAGTGGACATCAACACCACCCTGCAGATCCTCGGCTCACCTGGAGAAAAAGCCACCTCCATCCCAGGCTGCAACAGGACGGACTCCGTCATCAGGTGAAAAGACTGCAAGCATGGGTTTGTAGAGCATGAGGGAATTTGAAGATGAGATACTAGAGATGTTAAGATATGCATGTTAATGATAAAAAAATATTATGCTCCTTTTGAGTGCTCATAATTTTATTTTTGGGATCTATTAAAATAGATTTACATGCTTCAGTGTTTCCGAAAACAAATTTTTCTCATGTTGTACATCTCTATTCATTCTTTGTTTGAAACGCTCTGTTAGAGCTCCTGTGTCTTTAAACCTGGCCTCCCGATGAGCCCAGTGTGCTCTGATTGGTCAGCTTACCCACTATGTTCTGATTGGTCAACTGCTAGAGCAGTTCTGTCCCTACAAGTTTTATCCCTGACTTGCAGTCTGCAGACAGACCCTTCCCTCCCGAGCAGATGTAAACACCACTCTGGCTATTTTTCCACTGACATCGATTTTGCCATATCAGTTTGAGCCAGAGTCCGATCCTGAAAGTCAGGGCAGCATCTTCTCAACATGGCTACAAAACTGAACAGGCTCTCCTGGCCTTCAGTGGTTGCTGTGTGTTGTGTGAGGGTGTGTCAAGCTTTTATTTTTATTTTGGCCAATTTGTTTCAGTGTGACCCTGATACGTGTGTATTTAAGTGTGTGTGTGTGTGTGTGTGTGTGTGTGTGCGTGTGTGTGTGTGTGTTACAGAGCAAATAATGCTGTTGTTTGTTGCAACTGTGACTAAGTGTTCGTGTGTTTCATGTGTTTCTTTAGCCGACAGTATGAGCTTCATGTGTTAAGAAAAAGAAAAATAAATAAATAAAAAATTGGCCAATTTAGCTGTATAAAAATTTAAATTAACCGCAAAACTCTTAAACGGTGACTTGTGTTAAGTATGCTTTCACCTGGTGCTGGCGTCTTGCTTTGGCATTTGTTCTTTGACCAAATGTTGGCTTTTCTTTCTTTTTTTTTGTATTGAAAATCATGGTGTCATGCTTCAAAAAACATGAGAAATGTGTGTATGGCTGCAGCCTTATGAGTAAATACTTAGATTTGGCAGATTGTGACTGGCTCTGCATTCTCAAGGAAAGGTGGAGTACATGATGTCTGGATAGTGTGTCAGGCACGTATGTCTTTCAGACTGAATTAAGATTTTTAAGAAGTTGTGTTTTCTTCAGTGTGTAGACCAGCGTGATGTCTTTCGTGGAATGTATATGTGCATAGAGCTTAAATGCACATAGTGTGACCTGACTTAAGTGCAACCGGTGTGTAGCTGTCAGCAGCTTAACTATCTCTGTAATGTCAGATGAATGCTATTTTCATGCCAGACAGAGTCTCTAGTGATCAGCTGTTGTGCAGTGGGATTGCTACGGCTGGCTCTTCGCTTGACTTTGTGGTCCACAGAAGCGGCCAGTAAAGTATGCTGTAAGCCTCTGGTTACTTGAGATTTGCCGCGTTCAAAGTCCAGCAGCGGGAAATGGGTCCTGTGTGAGCAGGCGTGGTGCAGCGCGGAGTGTGTGATCCTCCCTGGTAGCCGCAGCTTCTTTGCCCAGCGGGGAATGTCCTGGCCCTGCACCAGCCAGAGCGGCCACGCGAACAGCAGCCCGAGCCTGGCGCCAGCCAAGGCTTTAATGCCACACCCCGCACATTATTCAATTAGAGCCAGGCCAGGTGCTACTCAGAGCTACAGGCAGGGGATAGGAAGAAGTTTGTGAATGGAGGGTAGAGAGGGTTTGTTAGTGTTAAGGGAGATGGTTGAATGATTGATGTTAAATTTTAACAAATCTGGACAGTGAAACACTGTTTAAATGTAACTACATAATTGTATTACTGTAATTATGTGATATAAATACATAATTGCATTTTAAACTTGATATGCATTCTCCTTTGACAGGTTTGGTCCTGCACTTTTGACTTTTTCTGTTTGAAGATCAGTTCTTGCAAAATATCTTGCACACCAACTTTTTTTTTATTTTTTTTATCAAATTCAGGTAATTAAATAATACATGAAAAAACAGGAGTGTATTGTTTGCAATATCACCGCTCTTTAAAAAAATTTTACAATATCACAATATTTATTTTTTTCTGATAAGGTGAAATGGACAAAAAAGTACCAGTGGTGCCACATTCAAAACATACTATTGAAAACTCAGTACATATTATTTTTATTGAACGTCACACACTGCGCTGCACTAAATCCAGTTGAACAGGACTCTCTTTATAATAGATTATGCAATTAGTCAGTGTCCTAACAGTACTAAAATATTTGATATGCTCAGAAAAGTGTATTGTGACAAAATGTGATATCATTTATCACAATAACGATAAATATTGTCCAACCCTATGAAAAAATATCCTCTATCTCTTGTGCAAAGGCAAATGTGACATCTGTTGATCTATTAAAATTTTACAATCTGTACTTCCAGTTTGAGAATTTATCTGCTTGTTCCAATGACCTAGGGGTTAAAATAATTTATATAAATTAAATGCAATTTATTTAAATTAATTAAATGATATATATAATTGTAAATGAATAAAGTAAGAATGATAGTCACTGATGTAAATTGAATCAGCAAGGATAGCTATGATGTCTAAGGATTAAATTTCTTTCTGAGGTTTTTCTTTTTTTGTTTAAGTTGTAAGAAAATAATGGGCTATTTAATAGTTATTAAAATGGCAGGAGACCTTTGTCAAACATCTCAGTATATGTTTTATATTATTTCACATACAGTCAGAAACTGTCAGAGTGATGGTTTTGTTGGAATAGCAGCATAACTGTAGCTTAAGAGTTTCAAAAGATCGATGGAGATGAAGTGTAAATGTGGTGGATGAGTATTGCTGAGTTAGTTGGCTATATTCTGATAGGGCTCCACAAAGGTCTCAGGGCTTTATGTGCAGACCTTTCTGACAGTGTCATAAACAGAGGGGGCAGAACATGGCGTTCTATTATAGGAGAGGATATGGAGGTTGGAGCTCAGACATTGAGAGGATGCCGTGTTGATGAGTTCATGATGGGTTAGGGAATAGGAGAGCTTTTAGAGACAGTAGGAGGACAGGAGAGGGGTGAAGGATTTGGAGAGACAGTAGGTTGGTGGAGGGGGAAGGGGGGGGCTTGGGGTTGGATGGAGGTTAGAGGATTTGGAAAGACAGTGGGCTGAGGGATTGAGTTTCCTAATAACAATGTCCGACCCCGCAGCTCTGAAATGTCAATGGGGTTTTGTTTTTGCAAACAATGTGAAACATTCGGCTGCACTGTGCTGGCCCCACAGTGAAGGGATATCTGTCTTACAGGCCAGTAATCTGCAGTAATCCCTTTCTTGTGTATCCTTCTGTTCTTTCCACTGGAGGTGTGGAAGAACGAAAGAATTTGTTAATGTGGGATTTTGTTGAGTCTTTGAGCATGCAGAAAGAACTGCTGTGGATTCTGTTCCATATCCTCCTCCTGCTGTTTCTTCCTACCTTTCAGGCTTTCTCCTTACTTATTTCCTCTGCACATTAGCCCATCTTCAGAAGTCAGACCACCATATCCCATCCACTAAAAGGGAAAAGAAACCCCACTTTATTAAGACAAGCACTTCACGTTTGTCCTTGTTATTGGTGCCTGTTCTATCCGTTGAGCTGTGCTATGCGACTAGCAAAATTAATTTAAACATGTAATCTGGTCTGTTGTCAAAACCACAGCTTCCATCGTCAGGTAAAAAGACTCTGTAGGCACAAGAGACCATCTGCTAGCATGAGAGAGTTTGAAAATGATAGATCAGGAGTCTTATGAGACACACTGACTGGCTACTTCTTTAAGTGCACCTATCTTGTATCTACACTTTGTCCACTTTTCAACTGCTAGAAAAAATGTGGAATCACCACATGTTGTGGATGTTCCCCCAGGCTTTTACTTTATAGCAAATAAACAAATCACAAAAATTACGTAAAATATTTTCTGTTTAATAGCTGAACTTTCTGGCTTTGTGAAACATGCGTCAAATAAATGAAATACATTTTATTTTAATTAATGACACATTTTTTTCCAGATCATGTAGAGGAAAAAATTATGGTATCACTCAATGTTGAGGGGGAAAAAATATGGAATTACCTTGTAATTTGCATTTCTAAAACAAATACAGACAGAAGTCTAAAAAGCAAATCTGTTTGTGGTGAAAAGGGAGTGTTTACAGACTTTAGAGCTGTTGGACTTGGTTAATTGAAAGAACACATGGCTTCAACAAGTGTCTAAAATTTGGTGCAAGTGTAAACAAAACGGCAAAATGCCTTGAAAATAGAAAAAGCACAACAAAACATGGGCAGAAACAGGAGTCAGTGTTTGTGACAGAACTGTAAGAAATTGGCTGAATGAAATGGGATTTGCATATAGACAAGTCAAACACAAACCAGCACCAACACCTAAACAGAAGACAGAGAGAAGCAATCAGTGTAGATGATTGGATGAAAGTGATATTCAGTAATGGATTATGAATCTGCCTTGGCCACGAAGATGATGCTGGAACTTTTATCTGGTGCTGTTCTAATGAAATGTGTAAAGATGACTGCCTGAATAAAAAATAAATAAATAAATAAAAAATCTAATTTTGCCACTCTTATGATATGGGGTTGCATGTCAGGTTAAGGACCAGTGGAGATGGCAATCATTACCTCAACAGTTAATGCGCAGGTGTGAACTGAAAATTAGAAATTTCTCATTCCTCATTCTTATTCAATACTTTTCTATAACATTATGACCACCTCCTTTTTTCTACGCTCATTGTCCATTTTATCAGCTCCACTTACTATACAGGAGCACTTTGTAGTTCTACAATTACAGACTGTAGTCCATCTGTTTCTCTGCATACTTTGTTAGCCCCCTTTTACTCTGTTCTTCAGTGGTCAGGACCCCCATGGACCCTCACAGAGCAGGTACTGTTTGGGTCCAGCAGCACTGCTGTGTCTGATCCACTCAGACCAGCACAACACACACTAACACACCACTACCACATCAGTGTTACTGCAGTGCTGAGAATGATCCACCACCCAAATAGTACCTGCTCTGTGAGGGTCCATGGGGGTCTTGACCCCTGAAGAACAGGGTAAAAGGGGGCTACAAAGTATGCAGAGAAACAGATGGACTACAGTCTGTAATTCCAGAACTACAAAGTGCACCTATATAGTAAGTGGAGCTGATAGAATGGACAGTGAGCATAGAAACAAGGAGGTTGTCATAATGTTATGCCTAACAGGTGTGATTTATAAAATATATGGATGCGCCTTAAAGAATTCAGGCTGTCATAAAAGCCCGAGGAGGAGCAACAAAGTACCAACTGTGCTTATTTGTTGATGACCCCATCATTTTTTCCTCAACATTGAGCGATTCCATAAATATTTCTTCTACTTAATCTGGCAGACGATATGCTATTAATTAGAGTAATTTCATTTGCAGTGACACTGACAGCAGCACTGCTGTGTCTGATCCACTCGTACCAGTGCAGCACACACTAATACACCACCACCACATCAGAGTCACTGCAGTGCTGAAAATGATCCACCACGCAAATAATACCTGCTCTGTGGTGGTCTTGAGGCAGATTGACCATTGAATGTATGCAGACAAACAGATGGACCACAGTCCATAGTTGTAAAGCTACAAAGTAAATGGACAATGAGTGTAGATGCACATATATGTGTATGAGTGTTGAAGCCAGGTTGTAACTGTACTGAAGCCTCAAACTGCCTATTTAAATATGCTGACTGCTACTGTGCGTGGCAGAATAAGGAATGATGCGGATTGAGTCCTACTTCCACACTAGAGCTTATGAAGATTCTATGCATTTTGCAGCACTTTGTCAGTCCAGTAAATGGGGAGATGGAGTTCAGTTGGAAATACCTGAATATTTGACACAGGAAAAAGATGTTAAACAGTTTATGGAATAGTTAAAACTAGTGTAACTAGCTCCATATGGACAATGTGTCATTTTGCTACTTGCACTGGAAAGAAATGAGGCTGTATTGTCTTCAAAAAGACCTGTATACAACGGTAAAGTAAATTTTAAACAGTAAATTTTTTCCTTTCGTTTCGTTTTTCTTTTCTTTCTTTCTTTTTTTTCTCACTTTCTCACTCCTCTCTCTCTCTCAGATTATTATCTGCAGTGTTGAGGACGTCTGAGGTGGAGTCTCGGGCAACGCGGGCAAGTCTAATTGAGCTTTTGAGTCCTCAGATGGGCAAAGACATTGTGTGGTTTCTGCGACGCTGGGCCAAAACATACCTGTTGGTGGACGAGAAACTGTATAGCCAGGTGAGCGCATAATACTAACACTGTACCAAAAAGGGAGAACACTGATTTTTTGGCAGTACGTATATAGTCATATGCAAAAGTTTGGCACCCAAGTCAAATTGCATGTTTTTGAAAGTACACATCCATGAAGAACCCAATTCTGCACAACTGCTGTTTATTTGCTGAATTTAACATATATTTGGGGGAAAAACATCAAATCCAGCCTGTGTTGTGCCAATACAATGTGTTCTTGTAATCATGATGATTTATGTCGTGAATCACATCTGAGTGTTTTATTTATGTGTCATAAAAAGACCATTGTATAGTAAAGTAACTGACTGATAGTTGTTTGGGGGTCATGTCCTGATCTTATTTAATTTAAACTGTTTATTTTTGCAAACTTTTAATAAAAAGTATATAGCTTTTTTTTTAATGCGGCACTGTTTGCTAGTTCATTTTATATGGTAATGCAGCTCGTGAAGGTCTGTTACCCACCCTTTATGGTGAACTTTTTTCTGTTGTGCTCAGTTTCTGAATTTTCACCTTTTTCACTTCATGCATTCAGATCAGTATGCCACTAAGCACAGCGTTTGGTGCAGACACTGAGGGGGCACAGTGGATTGTGGGGTATCTGCTGGAGAAAGTGATCAATAATCTTTCAGTATGGAGTTCTGAGCCTGAGTTAGCCAATGACACAGTGGAACTACTGGTCACTCTGGTGGAAAAGAGAGAAAGGTAGGTGTTTTGAGTACTTGAGTGGAGGAGGTTGAGTACTTGAGTGGAGGAGGAATGTGTGATAATTATGTGGCTAACTGGTCAACAGTTCCATAAAGCTGTTAGTTACTAAAAAACAGGTTGTCTGTTGAAATGTTTGAGACTTCAGTTGATGGAGTGTTTTCTTTTTGCACCACCTGTTGGTGAACTGGTGGTATTGCTCTGAAGAGCATTAGTGAAAACCAAATCAAAAATCTCTGCCATCCTTCTGTTCCTTTGTCCATCAGTTTACTTGTTCATGAAATGCTGTACTAAATTTGAATTGAGGCTTCTAGTGGTTATAGTAGTTCCAAAGAGCTTGGCTGTGGAGACTGAGAGGTTCAGAAAATACTGTGTAACCTGGGCTGCATGCACTGCAACAAATATCTAAAAATATTAAAATTAGATATCTAAAATGTAAAACATGTTTGATGGTGTTATTGATTGATTGGTAAATTCATTGCAGTTGCCCTTGTGTAAGAACAGAAAAATATACATTTCATTCGATTTATACAAGTTTCAAGGTTCACGGTTCATGTGAGGAGTGCTTTTACTCATTAAATCCTCCAGATTGACAAACTCCTTTTCCAGTCGGCTAGGAAATGAGTTAGCTGTTTCTGTTGTTCACACAAACAATAGCTTTTTTTTTGGAATGTTTTATTACAATTGACAGAACCTGAGCCATGTTATACCAGTGAGCATATACGTACAGCCAGAAAGAACCATTTACAAGTTTTACAAAAATGTAACATCTTGTGACATTAAACTGCTGTAGTTGATTTACTGGCAGCTTGAAGAACACCTCATGTATGATCTCTAAACAAAAGTGGTTACATTTAAAGAACATTTTGAATGTGTGTGAGTACCTCATACCTGTAATGTAGTTGGGGTAATTAAAGAAAATGATGGCGCATATGATCTTCCTCATTCTGCCATGTTCAGTAATGTTATTTAGCTTTATTTTTAACAAAGCTTTGTGAATCACCTGGTCACGTATTCAAACTTATGTCTTCTGTTTCTGTCCAATCAGGGCAAACATTGTGGTACAGTGTGAGAATTGGTGGAATCTGGCCAAGCAGTTTGCAAGCCGAAGTCCTCCCCTTCACCTGCTGTCCAGCCCCATCCAGCGCACCCTAATGAAGGCCCTGGTTCTTGGAGGTTTTGCACACATGGACTCCGATACGAAACAGCAGTACTGGGCAGAGGTGTGCATACCAGCTCTCTGGCATTCTGCTTTAAAGTGTGTGATGCCTGGGTACCGTGTGGTCAGATTAAACATTATAAAATGAGACCCAGTAATCAAACCAACCAAACCAGTCACGAGCAACAGAAAGGTTTTCCCTAATTCTGTTTCTGGACCTGCCTCTTTTCTGTCCCAGGTGTTGCACCCACTCCAGCAGCGCTTCCTGAACCTTATAAACCAGGAGAACTTTGCTCAGATCTGTCAGGAGGAGGCAGTGAAGCAGGAGATTGTGGCCACTCTAGAAGCACTTTGTGGCATTGCAGAGGCTACACAGATAGATAACGTGGGCTCCCTCTTCAGCTTTCTCATGGATTTTCTGTCTAGCTGCATTGGCCTTATGGAGGTCTACCAGAACTCTCCAGAAACCGTAAACCTCATCATTGAGGTGTTTGTGGAGGTGGCCCATAAGCAAATCTGTTACCTGGGAGAGGTGTGTTACATTAGATTATGAGTGTAAAATTTGCAGATGCTTGAATATCATACAATGTCTGTAACTGAGAGATCCTAAATAGCTATGTGTGTCTCTTCCCCTCCAGACTAAGTCTATGAAACTGTATGAGGTGTGTCTGACGCTGCTGCAGGTCTATTCTAAGAATAACCTGGGCCGTAAGAGGCTTGACGTGGCGGCAGAGGAAGACCAGTATCAGGACCTGCTGCTTATCATGGAGCTCCTCACCAACCTCCTTTCCAAAGAGTTCATTGACTTCAGTGACACAGGTAAGAGCATTAAGGAAGGGTATGAAACACTCATAGATTATCTTTCAGTGCAGGAATGTTTCATGTTACCAGCATGTTTACATGAGCTGAGGTGCCTGTGTTTGTGAATTAGATGAGGTGTTTCGGGGGCAGGAGCAGAGTTCTGGAGCTGGTCGCACGGTATCAGCTGCTGATGTAGTGCTGTTTGGGGTTAATATTGTGCTACCCCTCATGTCTCAGGACCTTCTAAAAGTAAGTCTGTGACCTCACATCAATAACAATTTTGGTCTGTGATTTGACATTTTTCCATAGACACATCATGTTAAAAAGTATGTAGACACCTGCTCGTCCAATGTTTCTTGTGGAATAAACAGTATAATAGATATATCCTTTTGTTTTCTAATATACATCATGCGTGTGTCCGATGATTATAACTTAACTGCTGTTCACATCCTGAAACAAGTGTTGTTGACCACATGAAATTATGAGGACACATGCTTTTTTTCAATTAATTTACATTGTAATCAGTGAACTTCAAGATTTTCTTGTTTTTTTTTTCCTGGTGACAAAGTTACAGAGACAATATTTTATAGTTGCGAGTATTTTGCAGTTGTGTTTTGCTTGCTGTTGTTTTATGGCTAATAGTGTTTAATGAATTAGAATTGGGCATTGTGAATTGTGCCACTGTTCAGTCTATGACCAAAGGTTTGTAATTTATTATTTGTTGGCCAATATTTCAGTGCATCCAGATAAATTACACTATTAAGCTAACATTACACTGTTCTGTTTTTGTACATAACTTTTTGCTTGTGTTATTTCAGAAATGCTTAAGTATAGACTTACACTCCAAAAAAGTATGACTGTATAAAATCTCTTTTGCAGTTCCCTTCCCTGTGTAACCAGTACTATAAGCTCATCACATTCATCTGTGAGATTTTCCCTGAGAAGATCCCACAGCTACCAGAGGAGCTCTTCAAGAGCTTAATGTTCTCTTTGGAATTGGGCATGACCTCGTATCCTCTCACTAATTAGTAGAGAACCTTCACTTCTACTTCTGACCAACTGTTAATAATTGAAGCCTTGCTGCACTGCCTGTTAAGTAGTGGGTTGCTGCATGTGGAGGACTTGGGGAATGTTTGAGTGTGATGTGCCTATATATGATAGTGTCTGGGGAGAGCGTGACAGATGGTGGATTGCCATTGTTATTTATTGTTGATATTAATTACAGTTAATGGTTTGGTGATGATGCTGTCAGAAGATTTTGGTCGTTTTGTAGCTTTTACCTTAACATATGTTGCGCAGGATGAGCTCAGAGATTAGCCAGTTGTGTCTGGAAGCTCTGTCCCCATTGGCTGAGCAGTGTGCAAAGACACAGGAGAAGGACACCCCCTTATTTATTGCTACTCGACATTTCCTCAAGGTGAGCGTCTTTTAATCATCACCCTTGAAGTCTTACTATGTTGTAGTCGTCAGAAACTTGTACCCCTTTTTCTCTCTCTACTGCTTCATCTCCAGCTGGTGTTTGATATGCTGGTACTGCAGAAACATAACACTGAAATGACTGTGGCAGCTGGAGAAGCCCTCTACACCCTTGTGTGCCTGCATCAAGTAAGTGTTGCAGTTGAACAGAGACTCATATACCACTTAACTAAAATGAACCATCAGAATTTGCAAATAGTTTGTCGAGCTTTAATAGAATTAAGTGAAAATCAGCATAGGCACATGCTGTCCAAAAGTTTGTAGCTATCTGCTTGTCCAGCGTTTCTTTTGAAATACATCCTTTGTGTGTCCAATGATTATAACTTAACTGCTGTTCACATCCTGAAACAAGTGTTGCTGACCACATGAAGTTATGAGGACACATGCTTTTTCATTTAGATTTATGAATTTCCATAGTAATCAGTGAATTCTGTGATTTTCAGAGGTTCCCCACCACCAAGCTGTGGGTCGTTTGATACTGGGCTAACAGTGCAGTGGTGAACAGAGGGAGTTAGTAGTTCAGTAACTGTCGAGCTCTGCTATTTCTATTAACATTGTATTTTATTTAATTCTTTCTAGTATTTTACTGTAATTAATAAATAGGCCCAAATATGCCTGTGACACATCTCTATGTGAAGAAGTCAATACAAAGAAACTGACATCATTTGCAAAATTTTTATTGGGGCTGCCAACCACAGAAAAACTCCAATGGAGGCTAGAATGAAAATGATACAAAGATGAGGGGAAAAATTATCAAAAAATAAGGCTATTGGGACATAAAAGACTGGCTTATTATCACTGTGGAGGCTAGTCCGAAATCAGCAAGAAGTGAATGGGCTGATGAAGTTGTTTGTTTTCTTTGTCATTTGGAAACAAAACATTCCTTGATAACAGCAAAACATAGGCTAATTGTACACTCCCCTCCATTCCCCTGTCAGTCCATCCAAAACATTGTGGACTGTGGTTCGGTCCACATTGTTAGTAAGGCTGGGAACCCCTGAACTAGATAACATTGTATTGTGCAGAAGAACTGTTTTGAGTCTCTTGTTCTGTGTGTCAGGCGGAATACTCTGAGCTGGTGGAGACTCTGCTCTCCAGTCAGAGAGATGCTGTGATCTACCAGCGCCTCGCCGATGCCTTTAACACCCTCACCGCCAGCAGCACTCCTCCAACAATGGACCGCAAACAGAAAGTGGCCTTCTTGAAGAGCTTGGAGGAGTTCGTGGCCAATGTCGGAGGGTTGCTATGTGTCAAATAACCACTGCCTCCAACTTCCTCTCCTCGCTGCCTCCTCATTCCCACCTCTCTACCGCCTATGGAGAAGCCCAGCAGAACTGCACTGTTGGAGCAGAGCACTGATATCAGGTCATCTGAGATGTTGCTCTCATTCTCTCTTGTCCTGGGCCTCCTAGCACACATGCCTGTTGGAAGCAGAGGAGGGGGACGTTGGGGAAAGCAGAGAGGGAATGACTCCTTCATATTCATCTCAGTCCAAGCTGATCAGCATTTGCTTTGCCAGTGGGAGGTCCTCAGATGAACTTATAAAGGTTAGGGGGGTAACCTTTTTGACAGATTCTCCTCCTCTCTCGACAAACACTCACTTAATGCCTCTCCTTGAGTGCCTTTGTATTTTGTTTGTCATGTCTCAGATCCAGCTGTCTGTACGGCAATGAGTAGAACTGTCTTAACTGCAAAGCCTATACTCACATCAAGTGTTGGCTCTTCTAGCTGTCACCGCCTTTGCTGTAGGACTCTTGATAATTTACTCATTTACATGGGAGCAGTTCTTTCATTTCAGTGAAACGCTTGAATACGGGTAGCGATCAGCAAGAAAATAGGATGACAAGTTGGACTGAAAACATGCTCTGGTCATATGGTCATTAAAAAAACTCATTTAGGCTTTAAATAGACCTTTTTTTAAAAAAAAAAATATATATATATATATATATATATAACTTCTGTACCGGTGTCTGCAGCCCCAAGACAGTACTGAAGATGTTCAGGTGAGAAGTTCAAGACCGGGGTCTTCCAATACCATGCCATTTTAATGTGCCAGCATGGTCTTAAATGCTTAGGTTATACCATTGCTTATTTTTTACCATAAAAAAGCAGAAGTGAAAGCAGTTGAGGTGCAATCCCTATAAGTGGGTAAATTATCTAGAACCCTGTAGAAGGTGTAGCTAGAGAAGCCTTAGGAGATCTAGACTAGTAAATACTTTGAGCGCTGATCGTCATTGCCTGATGTGAGAAGCCTTTCTTGCTCCTAAAATGTGGGAAAGCAGTCACAGAGAAAAACCAAATCATTTTGTGTTTATTAAGGGTGTACATATATTTTCAAAAAGAAAAAATGGAAAAATGTATGTTTCAAAACAAAAAGGACTGAAGTTTTATAAAATTGTAGATTACAGACATTGCAGCTTTTTATGACTTCACCTGAAGGTAAAAGGGGCTGTTTGTTCTTTATGATCACTTTGTAGTTTTACTCTTTGCCATCATTTCTGCCCATCATAGTCATTCTAAAAAACCTTTACAGAAATCTGTAGGTCTGATGAAATTTTGATAGACATTTCCAACAAACACATGGGGCCACGTTTGCCCCCTTGCTTTTATTTTTCTACTCTTGTATTCTTTTGGTGCAACACACACAAACTAGCACATGCACACACCCAAAACAATTGTTAAGCAGCAGAGTGGGCTAACATTGCTGTAGCAATAAAATACCAAAAATTACAGAAGTCAGTTTTTTTTTCCTCAGTTGTTTAGCACTAATCCTGATTTTTTGTTTTTTTTTTTGTTTTGTTTTGTTTTTTTTGGGGTTTTTTTGGGGGGGAATGCCTAAAATGTAATGTAAAATGTACATAAACTTATTATATAAAACATGTCTTGTGTCTTGTATTTTCTTTCACCTCTTCAGACTGTTCCTCTGGCCAACTCTGATTTATGAAAGGTTTTGTAGCAGTGCAGTGTATCTGTATGTATGTTTGGTGAAATATGTAAATGAAGTTAGGCTGTAGCTGTTATGAAACTGTTGCGTTTTAAAATGTGTCTGTGTAAATTACCTTACATTGGATTGAGCTAGGTCAGTTTGACGTCAAGTGAAAGTCTGTGTCATATAACTTACCCAGACATTGTGTTTATAGTATGTTCTAATATACTTACCTTTAAAATAGATTTTGTCCTAAAGGTGGTGGAGGGACTGTGCTCAGACTGTCAATCGCTTTCAGTGGGTATTTTCAAGTATGTATTCCTGCAGGCTAGACCAACTCCAAATAGGTGGGACTTAGAATGGGTCGGTCTGAGCACCAAATGGGTCTGCTCCCCCTATCAGTTTGGCTCTCCTAAAAATAAAGATTCCCCTGGACAAAAAAGACGAAATTAAGGCTACAGAACAGAATGACTAAACTACACTCAGACGTGCCCCGACGCCACAATGTAAATAGTTTTATATACATCAAGTATGAAACATTATGCTTGAAATTGCAGTATTTTCTGATGTAAAAACGAGTCTTGTCTGATCTTTTCCATCTTTGATGTGACTTACAACTCGTCTAGGTGAGAGGTAGTGTGGCATGATGAATAAAAAATGTTATGATCTCACGAGCTCTTTGTTGACCGGGGCTAAAGGATTAATTTAATGAAATAATATGAAAAAAAAAATTGCTGTCGGTGAAACATGAATTTGTTTCTGATGAATGACAAGAGAAACATATCGGCATCGCGTCATCACGCAGCTTAGACCCTCATCTATAAATGATTAACTTATTGTAACGTTACTTACTTTTTGTCTGAAAAAAATCCTAAGAGGAAAGAATGATATTAAGCTATGGATCAGACTCGGATGTAGCCCATTTAATTGCTCTACGTTTCAGATTATTTAAAAAATCAAATGGTCATCGCGATTTGTTCATGTATTTCGTGCACAGACGATACAAAACATACATTAATCAGCAGCTGTTTTAGAGCCTGCAGGAGCACCGGATTTGTGCCACAGAAATCACAACAAACTTCTCAACAACCCAATCGCGAAGCACTCCGAGTTATGCCCCGTCCATTTTGAGATATGCCCCCCCCCCAATTTGGAGATATGCCCCTCCCTTTGGAAGGTCTTCCAGTATGCAGTAATACGCTACTCGGTATTCTCACTGTTATGTCCTATGAAGCGATAAAACAGTCAGAACCCTCAGCAAAGCGAATCATAGCTGATTAATGCCAAATTAAACATACAGGCTGTTGGACTCGACTGATGACGTTTTTGGGGCTGATGGGTTCCGCAGCTTTCAGCAGAGCTCACTGTAGAGTTGACTTTCACTGGTAGAGTCGATTTTCACTGTACAGTCGACTTTCACTGGTAGAGTCGTTTTTCACTGGTAGAGTCGATTTTCACTGGTAGAGTCGACTTTCACTGTAGAGTCGACTTTCACTGGTAGAGTCGATTTTCACTGTAGAGTCGACTTTCACTGGGAGAGACGATTTTCCGATTCCAGACGTTTTGGGAATCGAGTATGGAGTTAGTTTTGTGCCAAATGTTTGAGAGAAGATCCTGATATTTGAGAGAGGAATGTTCCGGTTTGAGAGGACAGCGCTGCTCTGAGCGCAGCTAATGAACTTGAACGCACTTGTCAGCACGAAGTTCGCAGGTAAACGTCCTCGGATTTGCTCAACAAAACACTGGTTTCATTCAGAACTTGAAAATCTGCACGTGCGCACAAATCATTTCTGCTCTCAGCTCCGCAGCGCGCGCTCAACTTTCACATCTGCTCGCTGTAAAATGTCTGAATGTTTGTGCCAAAACTCCAGCCAATCAGAGCTGCCGAGGGGCGGTTCCTGCCAGCGCACCAATCATGGCGTCTTTTCTTAAGCAGCTTTATGCCAATTGGTGCGTTCGTGGATGTGGTATTGAGTCGGCTAGTGTGCTTGTAGCCTCGACATTAGATAGATGGTTTATGGCTTTCTAGTATCAAATTCATAGAAATGATTTATCAGTAATACTCATCATAAATAATAACGTATTAATATAACTAACATTGGTAGCTCGGCCATTTGTTCCCTACCAGAGGCTTAACGGTAGCTAACTTCAAATAGCTTAACATTAATCGACTAAGCTGACGTTAGCAAGCTTCCTTTGACTGTAGCTAACAGTGTCCAACTGTGTTCTACTGAACTCTCTTATAGCGCTTGTCTTCATAGGCTCATCTTGTTAATCCTGTATATTTATCTTCTATAGTGGCGTCATCAAAAAAACAATACTGATGTCGTACAGTTTTATATGCGCGAGAACAGACAGTGGATGTCGCGAGATGGCAGCGAAACACTTTTGGAGAGGCGCTGAAACCAAACACGAAACAAAGGATTTGAATATTCTTCATCTTCTAAATGGTTTTTGTTCATATTTTCAGGTAAAGTGGTGCGATGTTTTAAAAAAAAAACAACACCGCATAAAGTTTGAGTTACGTTTACGTTATGTTTACGTCACGTCTTCTGTAAGTTTATTGGTTGATTGTAAAGCAGATATCTGATTACTTCACCACAGACACGACTCAGAAATCTGAAGTACTGTTAACTCCGTACAGCTAGACTAGCCGTGATAGCTGAAGTTAGAAAAGATCCAGACAAGCCAACCTCTCCTTCATTCACTGAGCAGAAAATAACCTATGGGGCTTATATCTTACGGAACAGAGAATCAAGACCGTTATTACAGGAATCGACTTAAGAAGGTCTGTCACTGAGCAGCTCTGCTCGCGCAGACACTCGGAGCGCACGTGGGAATTTTCACTACGAGAGTTTGTCCCTTAACGTCTGCCGTAGTTGACAAAACGTGCAAGACTGAAAACTGGCTAACTGCTAGTTACCGTTCCTGATGCCCAGACTGTGACAGTTGCCTGGGGCAGGCGTATTTGTTTTATATTACGGTAAGCTGTATTTCAATGTCCATTTAAATTTCTCCCAATTTCCACACTGACATTAGTTTATTAATCAGGGCAGAGCTGTGATGCCTTAGCCAGTCTTGCTAACTTCGAGATTCAGCACTGAATTTTCGCTTCAAGTCCACACAGAGCTGAGAGTCACATTGTATCTCCAAAAATATCCAGACTCTCCTTCTAATCGGTGAATTCAGTTACTTTAATTCGCTCTCATTACTGACACAGGCGTCCAACTGCCCACACACAGTTTGTATAATCGCCATAGAAAAGCATCGCCAATAGAATGAGACGCTCTGGAGCAGCAGCACATAAACCTAAGTTCTCCGTCCAGTACCTTTGGGATGAGTTGGAGTGGGGTTTGTGATCCAGAACTAATCATCCAACATCAGTATCTGACCTCACTAATGCACTTGTGGCTGAATTCAATCATATCCTCACAGCAATGTTCCCATATCTAGTGTAAAGTCTTCTCAGAAGAGCAGAGGCTGTCACTACATCAAAGAGGGTCAAGCTCTCTATTAATACTATTGATTTTAGAAGAAAGGTGGAATTAGCAGGTGTCTACAAACTTTTGGACATGTAGTATACTTGCTGTGCTGTCTCTGAAATGTTTATCTGCTCTCTGTAGAGTTTCTCCTTACCATGAGTGACAGCGACGATGACGTCCCTCAGCTTTCAGCTGCTACTCTTGCAGCTCTGCAGGAGTTTTATGCTGAGAGAATGACTGAAACAAAGCAGGAACAGCCAGCAGTGACGGACAGCTACACCGTCGGTTCCGTCAAAGAGGACTGGGTACATGCATGCTGTTTAATGTCTTTAGTGTTTAAGTTCAGTAGGTGGCTAAAGAGCTTATATTAGTGATTACTAATTGACTGACTAAACTAGCCGTTTGTTGTCACCATAACCAGCATATGAGCCAGTTTTGGTACAGTGATGAAACAGCTGCCCGCTTAGCTGAGGAAGCCATCCGGCAAGCAGGAAAACAAGGGAGGTTGGTTATTTTTACAGAATTTCTCTTTTGAGTATGATCTGTGTGCAGTACTGTTCTCTACTAGGCAGTGACTTATAACCTAATTTATTTCATTCAGATCTGCTCATCTAGAATAGTGGTCTTCACTTCCAGTCCTTAAATTCATCTTCCAGTCCTGGATTTTATGATTACTGATAGCTATGACACCAGGTGGCCAATCATTTACAGTTCACTACCAGTGATTACAAAATCCAGGGCTGGATTCAAGATCCAGAGACCCCTAATCTAGAGTGTACCATCCTAATCAACATACATTTCTGTTTGCTCTAACCTGCAGGATAGCCTGTGTCAGCACACCTAGTGTGTATCAGAAGCTGAAGCAGCTGGAGTCCCAGAGAGAAGATGAGTCACACTGCGTATCATCCGTCCTCTTTGAATTTGACCGTCGATTCGCAGCTTATGGCAACGAGTTTGTCTTCTATGACTACAACAACCCACTGTGTTTACCTGAACACGTCCTTCCACAGAGCTTTGATGTTGTGATTGCAGACCCTCCCTACCTGTCAGAAGAGTGCCTCAGCAAGGTGGCACTGACTGTGAAATACTTGACCAAGGGCAAAATCCTGCTTTGTACAGGTTGGTGGAAGCCACAATACGCAACAAAAAATCCATATTTTCATATTTCATTATTGCTATTACCTTAATGTCTTTGGAGATGTACATTGTTGGTGATACATACGTTGGTGGTACATTTTTTGGTGATTAAAAATGGTACCTTGACATTTTGAAACTACATTTCTGTGATGTGTTATTTGTGTGAAGGTGGGAAAAAGTGGCAAGTTTAGATATAGTGAATTTTAAAGACTCACACAAAGTCAGAAAATTCATTGTCTGATTCATGCTTTGTGTTTGTCTGATTTCAGGGGCTATCATGGAGGAACATGCAGGGATACTCATGGGCTTGAAGATATGCAGTTATCTACCAAAACACAGTCACAACCTTGCCAATGAATTCCGATGCTATGTTAACTATGAGTCAAGCCTCCTCTCCTAAGGGGTAGGTTTGGAATAGGACCTTAAAACATTTAGGGTGTGATTACAGAGTTACTCTACACATGTGGAATGAACAGCATGCAGACAAATTGGTCATTTATTCGCAATGGATGATTTTGTCTGGAATATCATATCTATTTTTAATGATTTTTCTTCCAAACTATATGGAGCTGCTTTTGTCTTTATTGGTTATTCATAACTTGTACATATTTAAAAAAAAATGGCTTTTGTAAACAGTCTACACTGTATGCAAGCAAATAAAGTTATTATACATAATACAGATATTTAGGCCATCACTGGGAAAATAAATTGCTACTGCATTTTTGCTTTTTATGCAATAATTAAATAATACACATCAAGAGCCTACCTTTATCCTGCAAGGATAAAACACTATATAAATTCTTTAGCAGCACAATACTAGGAATGTCAAAATAGATTAGATCACAACTGAACAAAGGTATCCCACAGGAGACCACATGCTCTGCACAGTTTAAAGCCACATCATTCACTTAATGATCTAGTTCTTGGACTGAATCCTGTGCGTCTGGAGTTGGGAAAACACTGTAGGGGCTTCCAGGATAGGAGTTGCAAAATATTACTTTAAATGTTTGGCCTAGAAGCACCACAGGCTTTATTGGTTTAGTCATTTCAGTTTGTCCGTTTCTTGGCCTTGCTCTGTTTACTGCTGAGGCTGTGTGTGTCTTGCAGTGCTGGCACACAGGTGCAGCCCACTGGCACAGACACGTAGCTCTCGATGTAGGAGTGTCGCCCCCCCAAACAGGAGCCTGTTCGCTTCAGAACTGCTGTGGGGATGTAGACTGGCACACTGCGGAACTGCTCACTCTCTTCACCGTTCGGACCAGTCAGGCAACCCCTACACAGACAGTAGGCCTCTGGGAGAGACCGGGGATACCTCGCTGGGTCATGGTTGATCCTTCAATCAAAGAAAATGGAATTTAATCACCTTCTAATAAATACAGTTCTGTGACTTGGTTGGATTCAGGCATTCTAGGACATTAGATCATGTGAAATGAAATGTGTTATGTGGTAAAATATCAGAATCATTTTATACAGCCCTATGTGTCCAGTACAGGAAATAGTTTTGGCATACACTACAGCAGGGATGTCCAATCTTATCCACAAAGGGCCGGTGTGGCTGCAGGTTTTCACTCAAAACAAGCTGGAGCACACCTGATTCTGTTTGTTTAATGCTGGACTCCAGCCCTCCAGGACCAGAACCGAATACCCCTGGTACAGATGCTGAACAATAAAGCCTTTTTTTCCTCCTTTAATTTACCACTAAAATTACTTTGGTAGGCTTTTGGTAGTCTGTCAGCTGAAAGTGGAACAAATAAGCTTTATATTACCTGATGGCCTAAAATAGCTGAATCCAACCTGTAATGAGGTGATTTGGACAGGCTGGTATAGGAATGCTGAAGGGGGGTTGCACTATATGACCAAAAGTTAGTAGACACCTCTTCATTTTACGTTTCGTTTGAATCAGCTGTATTAATGGGACCCACTGGCTGCAGCAACAGCCTCTACCCTTCTAAGAAGGTTTAACACTAGATGTTTGAACATTGTTGTGAGAATTTGATTGCATTCAGTCACAAGTGCATTAGTGAGGTTTGATACTGATGTTGGATTACGAACGGCTCTCCATCCCAGAGCTATTCAGTGGTGCTGAATTATAACTCCAGAGCACACAATTCCACTGCTCCACAGCCCAGTGCTGGTGGGTTTTATACCTTTCTAGCAATTGGTATTGGGCATGGTAAACTTAGGCTGCTGCATAGTGTCCCTTTCTTCTCACAGTTCTTCAAGCCGAGCGCGCAGCTCATCGCCGGTGTCGGCTACAGCTGCAATTGGCGCATCTTAAAGTAGCTGATCTCACTAATTAGAAGGGGTGTCTAGATACTTTTGGACATGCAGTGTATTTTCATGTCTGCGTAGTACCTGTACGCCCACGGAGAAAGGCTGAGGAGATTGACGGGAGTGCGCGAGACTCCGTTAGGACTCCGGCGTGCCGTTGAAGGGCAGCTCAGGTTCTGAGTACCCGGGACGAGCTGCAGTGTGTGACTGAAAGCGCTCAGGACCCCCACCGACATGCGCCCAAACATCTGCTCCAGAAGCTCCTCGGGCAGGCCAGCGCACGGACGTGTCCTCCACGCTCTCCTCCTCACCTTCATCCCATTCAGTCCCTCCGCGCTCCACACCAACACCAGCAGCAACAGCGACAGCGAGACGAAGCGGCCAGCGCGCATATTCACTCAGAGTCCCAGATCGAGGGATCGCAGCTGTAAGCAATAGTTAACGCAACTCACGCAAGCTCTTCTCCTCCAGATGTTGCACAAAGCTTTTACTTCGCTCGTCGGCCTGTGGGTCGGTAGCCTGCATTAGATACTATGATAATTATTGAATGAATGCTGTCTATTAATGCTGTATGGAGTGTCCTTTTCCAAAGCCTGTGCTCGTATGGCTGTGGGAAAATTCCCCACACTCCTGTGAGTTTGTGTGGGTGGCGTCATCTGCGATGATCAGGCCAAGTATTTAAGGGAAAGTTTAGAGAGCGACGGAGAATCCTGGATCCTCTTGGTTACTGTCTGTTCACAAACACACTGAGAAAACGGGCTGTGCACTAATGTAATTAAACTTTAATCTTGTGAATCAAAACATTAACGTTTCAAATAACACAAAGCAAAATAAATGAAGACAGAGGAGGAATTCAACTGTATAGCATTTATTTAAAATACAGTAGTATATTACAGTATATAGTACACTAGAGTGTGTGTGGTGTGTTTAAATATTTAAAAAGTATATTGTATGTTTTGTAGTTTTTCAAATAGGCCATATGTCTGCGGGTGTTCCACACAATCATATGGAAAAACATTTCCATGTGAAATCATATGAATAAAATACCCCAGAACTACATATGGAATCTGTATTAGTCAACGGTGTGTTCAGGTGAGCTGGAAGCACAAAATGCTCCCTGTAAGATTCTGGCCTCATAAGAGCTACATATATTATACTTACAGATTTACCACAGAAAAAAGTGTATGGAATGTTGAGAGAATTCAAGAAAAATGGGTAATCACTCTGGCAGTAAGTCATCCCCCAGCTCTTCATCTGCAAACTCGTCTTCCTCTGTGCGCTTCTTCGCTGCAGTCTTTGGTCTCTCCATTTGCGGTCCCAAGGGATCAACATAAGAAGCATCTGAAAAGATAATAACAGAAGAGTCTTTTTGGCCCATTTAACAAAGAGCAGCACTGCTCTGGAGTGAGGTGTTTTTCCACATCACACCTAACCTGTGAAAAACTTGCAGACACATGTTAACAGAACGATGCGATTTTTAAAATGTGACATTGTAAGAAGGAATGTGTCACGCTCGGGTCAGAATCAGCACTGTGACAGGCTCTCACAGCAAACAAAGCTGTGACTACAGCACAACTCGTATACTTTTATGATAAGACACAGAGGATTTACAGACAGCTGGGATATGAAATGACTGAACAGTACAGCACTCATGTAAAATCTAGCGGTGTCACAATACACAAATTTCACAGTAAGATACATATATTGTTCTTGAATCAAAATACATTTTTGATATAGAATTAGAAATGTTTAACATTTAATTTCCACTGTTGCCTCTAAAACAGGGGTGCCCAATCCTGGTCTTGGAGATCTACCATCCTTCACAGTTCAGCTCCAACACACTTGGAGCTCTAATGTTCAGATGCCCCTGAAGGCCTTCACTACCGGGAACAGATGTGTTAGATTAGGATTGAAGGTAAACTCTGCAGGGTGGTAGATCTCCAGGACCTGGATTTTGCACTCCTGCTCTAAAGGATAACAGTGCTTGCTGAAGGGGTAACTAGCACGTGTCATTTTCTTAGAAGATATAAAGAAAAAACAGCAGCTACGGTGGTAGTGAGTTCATTCCAAATTTGTAAAATATTCTGTAAAAAAACAAATGTGTTATACTCACTAATGTTTTCATTTGTTAGCGTTAGTAAGAATGGTGTAGTATGTTAATATTTTGTGTACTAACCTGTCAAGCTCTTACTATTAAGATTAGTACGCAGTATATACACTGTATAGTATTAGTGTGTGGTACATAATTGGGATGCAGCCAAGGTGAATAAAACAGTAACTTACAAGCTAAAGTTGTTCTCAGTGGAAAGTCCACTCAGTATCCGTTTTTCAGGCTCATGTGTGGAGTCACACCTTATTATTCAGTCAAACTAGGTCATATTACCAACTATGAGTTTAATGAAATTGAAATGACTCATAAACGGTTAAAAAAAAAAAGTGTGTTTGGGAACCACACAGGTTTACCACACAAAGTTTATTTGTGGCTTTAGAGACGGGTAGAAAACTAAACCCACCACTCTGTCATGATATGGGGTGTCTTACAGTCATACAGACTCTTCTCTTGACCAAAATACAAATGTACATGCTGAAAAGCTGCTAGCAACGATTGCTAAGCAGTGATTAAAGAGATGAGGAAAATGGGGTGGGTCTAGAAATTGTCTGATTGGCTCAGCCCCTAAAGCTGGCAGGCTAGTCGCGACCCTGCCCTGTTGTACAACACACGGCTTGTGTCACATACTGGATGCTATCCATTATATTAGTGATGAAGAGTAGCATGCAGTATTCAGAACTGATGCAGTATGCAGTATATAGTACGCAGTATGCCATTTCGAATACAGCCAATCACTGAGCACTTTATTAGGAACAACTGCATACCTACTTATGACCGTGGCACTGTTGATGCCAGACAGGCTGGTTTAAGTATTTCTATAAAAAATCATCCAGTGAGTGGTAGTTCTGTGGATGGAAATAGCTTGTTGATGAGAGGTCAACAGAGAATGGCTAGACTGGTTTAATCTGGCAGAAAGGCTACCATAGCTCAGACCATTCAATACGACTGTGGTAAGCAAGTCTTCTTCTATCTTGTGATGCACAACATAGCCTGGTCTAATGAATCTCAGTTTCTGCTAAGGCACATAGATGATTACACTCTCAGAAATAAAGGTACAAAATTGTGAATGGGGCAGTACCCCTCACGTCACTGGGGTGGTACCCTCAAGGGTACATCTCAGTACCTTTGGTCAGGGACCAATATTGTATCATAATCCATTGAAATTATATTTTCACACCCCGTCTCGTCGCCAGGCTTGTTATTTTATTGTTCTGTTTTAAAACATTAGGTTACGAAAAGAAACAAATACATACTTTTTACCTGGAAAAACTTTTTTACGGTACACAGTTGGACCTTAAAACTCCTGTTGTACCTTTCAGGGAACATTTACACTGTTTGTACCTTGATGAATGAAAAATGTACCTGCACAGAACCTTTATTCCAGTGTAGGGTCAGAATTTGGCACCAACAGCATGAATCCTGGGACACAATAGTGTGTCAGCAGTCCAAGCTGGTGGAGTTGGTGTTATGGTGTGGGAAATGTTTTCTTGGCAAGCTTTGAGCCCGTTAATACCAATAAATCACTCCTCGAAAGCCATGGCCTATTTCAGTATTGCTACTGACAATGTGCATCCCTTCATGGCCACAATGTACCCATCTTCTATTGGCTACTTCCAGCATGATAGTAAAGGAATGTTTCCAACATCTTGTGGAAACCATGCCACAAAGAATTACGGCTGTTTTGAGAGCAAAGGGAGGCCCTACTCGTGTAGAGGTGGAGTACAATGTTTGACTTAGTTGATTAGGATTTTATTGCACAAACTGTATATTTAAGATGACTTGAAAGTCTCTTTTCCTTCATTTTCATGCATTCGGTTGATTTATATTTGTGTGTAATTCATCTAAACATGACAACCACTCTTTATCTCTTAGAATTAACCAGGTTGTTTTTGTTACTGTGCGTTTATTTATAAATGACCTCTATTCTGTATTGTGCTGCATTCAGAAAGTAGTCTGGGCCGAACCACACCTTATATGGATGGATATATGTAATTGTGTTGGTTTTAATGAAATCACAAAACCAATAAATTCAGAACATGCTGGATTCAGAACATACCAAATTAATTCAGAACATACTTACCGAGCCTTTTATTAGGAACACTACACTAATATTGGTTAGAGGCTCTAAAAGTGCTGCTGCTCACCTAAATCTCTTTGGGAGCTTGCTTCATATGGTTCATTGGATCCTGGAAGTGACCTCAGCTTCACACTCAGCCGCTCACCCTTGGCACTGGCACCATGACTGCTCTGTCCACTGTCTGAAAAGCACAACCACAGATGATGATGTTAGAAGCATGACCATTTTCAATTTTACATCATTTTAGAATGGGAATATATGAGTCTCAAGAAGTATTCAAGATTTTGTTTATATAACTCCAGCTTCAACTAAATCACAAGAAAATAGTTCGATCTACAATGATAAAAGAATCAAGCAAGTCCAGGAATGCAGCAGCTTCAATTTCTACTGCTGGGCACATGTAGTTATACAACAAAGATATCCCCCTTAATGTATTATGACAAGACTTTGAACAGTGTCCAGGGTGGTTTCTGTGTTTTTATGGAATTCATGAGGCAACATCATAAAGTTTGTCATGCAGCTGTATTTCACCTCTTGGCTACACTATAATGACACTACCAGAACACAGTGGACAGATGTGAGACTAGACCCACCATCTAGTAGCCAGGTAACCATGGAAACCTTCAAAAGTCCCCAAAACAATAAAAACATGGCGAGTAGTAAAATAAAAAATCTTATCTCCCCACTGCACAGTAAACATTCCAAAAATAATCGGACAGCCTCTTTCCCTAAATCAAGTTCTTGTAACCTGTTATGATCAGTATCTTCCAACCAGAATTCTGTAAATCACACTGTTTGAATATTCATAGTCTTTTGAAATGAAAATCTACACTCACTGAGCACTTTATTAAGAACACCTCCTTGTTTCTACACTCACCGTCCATTTTATCAACTCCACTTGCCCTAGATGTACAGTGTCATTGTAGTGCTGAGAATGATCCACCACCCAAGTAATACCTGCTCTGTGGTGGTCTTGTGCGGGTCCTGACCTTTGAAGTACAGGATGTGATGGAGCTAACGAAGTATGCAGAGAAACAGATGGACTACAGCCTGTAATTGTAGAACTACAAAGTGCTCTGTTTGTTAAGGGGAGCTGATAAAATGGACAATTAGTGTTCACATCAAGATATTAACCAATGAATTGAATTTCTGTTGCAGATTTCAGTTATACTGTTACCTTATACAGGACGCAGCTGCACTCAGTTCTGTGCAAACATTACATAAGCGTCGAGGCAAACAAGTGTTTCACACATTTTTTCATTTTGGCAGCAGCTGCAAATCATGTCTGCATCTCATTTTGACATGATTGAGTTTATGGGTACTGTCATATTAAAAGCTAAACTAGGCCATGCCTCTGAGATGATGTTTATGCTTAATTTCACTTCAAGCTTTTCAGAGCACGATTTGACAGGGTGGGTTAAGAAGCTTTAGTTTATTTGTATGCACTGTGCCATGGATTGCTCCTATTCAGTGACTGGGAAGCTCAGTGCACAATGTGCAGCACAGCACATACCTCTAGCCCGCTCCAGTGCAGGGCTGCGGTTCATCTCAGAGTGAGAGACTGCAGGCCAAATGGAGAGTATGTAAACAGGGAGAGGATACATAGAGGATAAGTAGAGAATAGCAATGAGGAAAAAGTCTGCATAGAGATTCTGAGGATGGTAAAGTGCCCTAGGTACTACATGCTCAACCAACTAGGCAGGTTTAACCCCCTGAACCCTAGGCTTATTATTCAGCTATTAATCCTAATTATTATTCTGTAACTACTATGAATTGACAACTACAATAAAACAAATATGTATGTTTTGTAGTTATGAGTGAGAAAGCAAAATGCAGGCCCACATCCAGGCCCATAGGGTTTAAGGGGTTAAGTCATACAAATCCTCTTTTTGTAATTATCCGTCACTGAACCTGCTACACTTGCTGCAAAAACACGTTTAGACTCTAAGTTTTTTTTTTTGCTGCAGATGTATTCATACCGCTGCTTTTCATAGGTGGAGTATTAATGGGGCTTGAGATGCTCCCTGGGAATTTCACAGCCATGTTCAAAGCACAGAGAGATCAATGAAAGATGGGAAAAAAGTGTTTAAAAGACAACAAGATTGGAAGGATATATAGATATTTGTACAAAGTAATGCACAAGTGATGCTTAGGTGCACAATGTGTTCTCTCACTTCATAATCTGAGATGAGAACACTTTAAAGCAGAAAGAATTTAATGTCAGAAGAATAGTCAGCGCTATAACTAACAAAACAATATAAGCATCTACATATAAAAATCTCCAAGTGGTTTCTCCATGTTTATATAGTATGTACTCACTGGAATTAAACATTTTTATATTCTCTTTATTATGTACTCAAGAAAAGCTGTAGATGGAAAATGAGACGTGATCTTAAAAAACAATCAAAACAACTTGTGAAAGCTAGTTTCTGGCTTTGACAGCACCACTCTGTTTTCTACAACTCCTATGATATTCATAACTAAGGTAAAAGCAGGGCTACCAAAAACATTAATGATGTATCTGTTTACACATAAGTCTTTCATTTGCCCCTCTCAGATAATGACCACATGAACAAATGTAATACATTTTGCTCTGTGAGTGTACATGTGTATAACACACACTACTCTACTACCAGGCTGTTTGGGAAAAAACAGACTCTCTGCAATCTTTTGGTACACACTCTACACAATGGCACACACTTGATTACATTCCTGCATGGTCACCAAAGTTACATTAAGGTTATACTACTATTTGTTTGCTGTGGTGCTCCTGGAGGATGAGTATTGGTTTTCTATGCTGGTCATCATAAAATCAAACCAATCACCTTTTCACTTTTCCACTCAGAATAATCCTTCTAAGAAACAGGCTAAGGGTGATGTATAAATTCCCTTCCATGAGCATCATAGCATCTCTACTCTGTTCTATTATGAGAAGTAGAGTCATACCATTTGGCTTCTTTGGGGGTGTCTGGATAGGGCTTGAGCTGCTTCCTAACATACCGGCACAGAGTGCAGGAATGATACAATAACAGAAGATACACTGATACTGTATGTTAAGTATGATGCTAGATATGGCATACAGGGTCTGACATCTGACAGCCTGCTAATACTGAATTACTGGACGTTTATCTAAAACTTTCGCACATCATCACATCTGATGTCCCATGTGGAGTGAAAAATTATAAAATTACTATTTCCCAGTGTCTACAAACCTAATTCCAAAAAAAGTGTGACAACAGGTAAAATAAAAAAAAGAAAGCAATGACTTGTCTTTTACATGTATTTAACTGAAAACACCACAAAGGGGAGAAATTAGTATTTTACCTTTTCAACTTGCAAATGTACTGTAATTCCAAATTTGATGCCTGCAACGCATTCCAAAAAAAAATGGGACTGTGGGAATTGTAAGACTGGGAATGACCAAAAACACCTGTTTTAGAACTTTCCAGAGGTAAAGAGATAAAAAGGTAACATGTGATGCTTACGCTAGCCTGAGGTGCCAGAATGTAACTGCTGCACCATTTAAGGTGGAACAAAAAATACAAAACAAGAAGCTGGCGAAAAATAAACTAACTTAAATTTCATTGAGAGCTGAAAGGCATGAAAAGGGATGAGGAGGTCGCTATATATCTGCTTGAAAGGTGGGTAACCTTTAGGTCAGAACTGGATGGGAAAATGTAGGACTGCAGAATAAGAAAGTGATGGCAGCAAAAGCAGCAATTGTAGCGACAGTTTGCTACATTGCAACATAGCTAACTTTAGTTACATTACTTACGGTGTCATTGTTCACTCCAACATTATACTGTGGTGTTTGTCGGTACAATGTTTGCAACAGGTTTTACAGCCATGAAGATCTAAACAAAAGTGTTGTTTGCACATCCATGAAAGCTTCTGAAGGAGCACTGATGGGAGAAGTGTACTTGTTTTGCTGTTGAGTTCGAATGTCAACAATCATTCTACAGAGTCTCTTACTGTGCGTTTAAATGTGGCATCCAGCCACGGCCTCAATCAGTATCGATGATCCTACTAAAAGGCAGCCTGCGATCGGTATCAGCCCCAAAAACACTGTCATCAGTCCATCTCTGTACAAATAACCCAGTGAAAAACACACCCCTGTTCCAATTTTCTTGTAACATGTCACAGGCATCAAATGTAGAATACATGTATTTATTCAGAAAAACAGAAAAAAGTTTTAAAAAATTAACATTAAATATCTTTTGTCTTTGTACAGTTCTGAATTGAATGAGTCAAAAAGAAAAATGCAAATCATTCCTGTCTGTTTTTATTTACATTTTTACTACTGTCTCAGCTTTTCTAGAATTGGGTTTGTAATAACATATTCTAATTCATTCCTCTGAAAACTCTCTGATTCTTATTAGAGAGAAAGATCAGTAAAAATGATTAGTTTTCATTCCCCTGTCTCCTAACTTGGATACTGAATAAGATGTGCTCTTCTTCAAAGAAAAATACAGGAGAAACGGGAAATACTGGACTGTCGTTTCAGCATTTGAAAGGGAATGAACGGAATGTTTATGTACTAACTTTGATTATGATCTAAGGTGAAACTGCCCCACAGCCATTTTCAGGGAGGGTTCTGGCAGAAGCATATCTCAGATAAAAATAGATTCAGGAGGTGGGGAATGATGAATTAATCATTTTTGAAGACCCTCATCAAGTTCCAAAAGCACTAGATGAAGACTACAGCTACTTCTTTACAACTGATTCTAGAGGACCGCTGTGTCTGTTTTAATTATGAAGTTTTATTTACATGGGCTGTTGTATGTTTTATTTTTGATCTTGACCAATCATGCCATGTAAACAACCACCACAGCTAATGTTGACATTGTCAGCGCTTCAGGAGCTATACTAATGAAGGTGTAATGATCATACCACTGGGTTTGTAAGGTGGAGTGTGTATGGGGTTTGGGCTACCACCTTTTTGATACATTGCCAGGGTCAGCAGATGGGGAAAATCAAAGAGTAAAGTGAGACATGGTTAAACCTGCACATTATCGTTTAGATACTGACAAGTATGGATAAAGTATAGTCCACTCACCACTGCTGGCACTGCCTTCTCTCCGACCTCGAGCACTGCTTTCTCTCCCCGACTTCACCCTCTACAATATGGGCAAGATGCAGGACAAAAAGAATGAGCTGAATGTAACATGAGCCAGACAGAATAATGGAAGCATGATTCTGGACTAATATCACAGAGAGTCAGACGAAAATGTCAGCCTGACATTAATGAACCAACATTTCTTTAACTCATGACTTCTAACACTTGCAGTTAAATCTTCAATGCTTCACGGAAAGCAAGCCGTTAGTAAAACATCTGGTAGCTCACACAATAATTTTTTATTTATGTCTGATGCAAAGTTTCCAAACAAGACGAGCATAAAACAGCGATACAGCAAGACAGAGAAAAAGATTGTTCAGCAGGAAAGGGGCTGATACAGGGAATAATTCCTGTCTCTTCAGTTATTTCAGTTACTGATCCAAGAGCCCCTCTTGATTTAGAAACAGCTGTTTCTTATTGAAATACAGGCTCTTTGTTTCTTGCTTGCTTTCTCCCTCTCTAGCTAGACAAGTCAGTACTGAAGTATTATCCTATCGTAAAATCCAGTGTAATCAAGACAGAATGAATAGACAATTTACCTGCTCTCTGATCTCCTTCATTTTTTCCACTTTCTTCAGTTTGGTGGCATAATCCTGCACCTCCTTTAAGCCCATATCTGTGCATAATCTCACAAGGAATCGAAGACCTAACCAACACAAAAACATGCATGAAATAATGCCATTAAATAACTGATACAAAAGTGAAAAGCAAAGAGAGAGAAATCATCCAAATCGTGAACATTACATTCTACATTTTCCGGGAATTTCCGATGAATGTCCTTATACGTCTCAAGTGCTTTCTGATAATTTCCTAAAAGAGACCATAAATATTACATTATACTATATATGTTGTATTTGTTTACAGTAAAATAGAATTGGAAAATGTACTTTAACAACAATAATAAATCACTGTTAGATAATTAAAAATATAAATTTTCATACCACTCCTCCTGTAGCAGCTAGCTACCATCAGCTGCCATACAACGTGGTTGGGCCTGGAATTCAAATTAACATAAATTTACTTATTCACAAAATAATCATTCACCTCTTTATGTCCACACATGGATCCAACAGTGATGTCAAAATGAGATAACTACTAACTTACTGTATGAGCGTTGCTCTCTCAAAGTACTGAATTGCCTTTTCACAGAACTGCGTATCAATATAATATGCTCCCAACCATTCAATGACCTCAATGTTTGAGGGAAAATATCTAAAAGACTAAGAAGAAACATGACTTCAGTAAATGTTACCAACATGGGGTGGTGCACAATAAATATGTGGAAATGAAATGTAATACATTTAAATGTGCCATATAAATGTGACAAATACATTCACTGTTCACTGATAAGATTATTAAATAGTATTAAGTACAGAGGACGTGCCTCATAATAGTACTGAAAGGCTTGTGACTTATCGCCCTCGTTGTCATACAACTCTCCCAGTTTCGCCAGCACATGAGGATCAGTGGGAGTGACACTGATGAGCTGCATGAGCCATTCGATAGCCTGGTGAGGGTCCTCCAACATCTCATATCTACATGCTGCTTAAGGAGCACATATTACGAAACATAAACCTACTGTCTGTTCATGTTTCTTCATTATTACATGACATCTAATGTGACATAACATGTAATATAACAAATTCACCAGTTACCTCATACTGTGCTCAGTTTATAATAATATTAATTACTGACCTACTGATTTGAGTAACTGTGAGAAAGGATACAGGTTGGCCAGCTGATACATGACTTGAGCACTGTTCCTAAGTATGGCGTGGAGCTTCAGAAAGCAGTCCAGGGCTTCTTCCAGCCGTCCCAGTCTCTTATAGGTCAATCCTAAAGGAACATACCAGGGCACTAATCAACAGGATGCGACCCATAACACAGAGACCAACATACAATGAAAGCAGGTGTCTGAGGAAGAAATTTGTTTTAATTTTTACAAAATTTCGATATTTTCCTATAAGGTCTAAAAAAACCTATAAGGCATAAATAATTATATGGTCAGGTCCTCTGATCACTAATGGCTGACCTAAGTTATAGAGAGCCTCTGTGCAGGAAGAGTCATTCCGCAAAGCTTCTTTATAGAACTCAGCTGCTTTCTCATAGTCCTCCTTCACAAATACTGTGTTGCCTTTGTTAATAAGTGCAGCAGGGTTGTAGCGGTCAGCATTCATGGCCAGATCTGCATAGCGGTCAGCTTGATCATAGTCTTTCTCCTGAAAAAAAAAAACAATAGCAACAAACTACATGTTTAGTTGTGAAAATAATTTAACACATCCTCTACAGAACTCAGATAAACTCATATCATCCTGAAAAAATAAAACATAAAACAAATAATGCATCATAACTTTTATTCTTTCTTTTATTCCTGTAGATGTGTACTTATTTTTACTCAGAAAATCAACAAATCATGTAATTTGAAGGGCTGCCCAAACTTTTGCATATGACTGTATATGTGTATAATCTAATCAATGTCCAAGTCAAATGCACAAGAAGCAATTCAATATTTTCATGTACTAATTACATCTGCTTATATGTGTATGCAAATATAATTTAAAATCAGTCAAGTTACGTTTAAGCTTTCAAGATACAGAGTGCAATGTGAGATTGGGTTTTATGATTTTTCGCCTTAAAAGTGAATCCCAGATTTTTCAAACTTTTTGCATAATTCAATTGTTTACATGTAAACAAAATCATTCAGAGTGATTTGATGTTAAATGGTGCATTGTAAAGAAACTAATTTAAAATTCTTTATAATAGTGGTAATGGGAACCAGGGGTTGTCAAGAATGCAAATATAGCCATGCTATTTGCTATTGCTATCCAAAACAATCACTGAACACACGGATGAATTTTGAGTTATTACACATATACACAGATAATGGTAAAATAGCAGTAAATATGGGAAAAAAATATTTGGGTACTATTTTGCTTTACAATGTCCTGCGTATACCTTTCTGCCATAAAATGCTTTTAAAAAATATTTTTAAGGACAAAAGCTAATCTCAAAACTATCATAAAACAGGCAACAGTATTCATACCCATTTCATGTCATGTCTTTTTGTGAAGTAGCTTTTAGAAAAATTAAACTCTTTGGACATCTGTTTCCTACCAACACCACCATAAACAATACTGACTCAGATAAGGATTTCTAAATAAGGATTTAACTGGCTGAAATTTTGAAATTTCACCCTGCATGGCACTCATACTCACCAAAAAGTAGAGGAAGGAAAGGTTAGTAGCAGCAGCGCTCTTCACCCGGCTGTCTTTCTTCTCAAAAGTCTTTAGCGTCTCCACAGCCTACAGCAGACATTTGGTGCATTTCTTAAGGCTGCTCAGTCTGAAGCCTTTATGTGCTATCTATTCAACCCTGTAAGCACTGTGCTTACATATTTCAAGAATCTTAAGGGGAAAAGTTTTAAAAATACATTTCAAAGACCATGATACTACGATACTGGGCAAAACTAAAGTGTAGTGAGAGAATTTCTGAAACAAATGTTGCACTTGGGACACCATGACAGTACATCTTCACCTTCTATTTGTCTTGATAAGGCCTGTCCAGCACATTTTCATGTTTTTCCCTGTTGTAACACATTCACTTCAACTCAGGAAGGCTTTGTTAATTAGCTGATTAGTTTGATGTGTTTCTGTTACAGCAGTGGGTTAAAAAAACAGCAATTTATGCAGAGCAGAAAGACTCCAGGACTAAGGTTGAGAACTGCTGCCTTAAAAGACAGTAACAGTGAAAGAGACACAATAATCAACATAAAGATCACTCATTCAAAGGTATAAGCTGTGACAGGACACACATACCTCAGCCTCACGAGGCAAGCAGATGGAAATGTGGACAAAGAACATGGAACATGAATTTGTGAAACATTAAGGTGACAGACAAAAGGGGAATATGAAAATACAAAACCAAGGGCAAAACAAAACATTCACATGCTTTGTAGGTAAGCACACAAAATATGTCAAAAGCAATATGCCAGAAGTGCATTAGGATTTGCCTCACCTGGTTGAACTCCTTCTGTCTCAGATAGGTGATTGCTTTGTTGATCTCTAGATCATTCGCCAGCTCCACATACTGTGAACTTTTAACCATATCTACACACCTGCAACAGTGGCACTACTTTCAGGATTCACTACCAAATGAATTGTGTTTTGTTCATTTGGCAGTAACTGTCTCTTTGCATTTCACATTTATTTAATTCCTTGTGAATTAATACAAGCTTAAAATGTTATATTTGGCAATACATCTCTGTATTCTATGTGCAATGGAAACCCACCAGTCAAATCCAGCTGCAAAAGTGGACTCAATGGCTGGGGCAATAAGCTTTGCTGAGGTCATGATGTACTTCTCAGCTAATGCTTTCCTACAGTAAAGAGAGAAACATGTTACATTTGGGAGGTTGGGGGGAGTGATATTTTCATTACAAAAAATGACCCCTGTTTAACTGGATTTAGTGCGGTGCAGTATATGAAGAGTTTTTCTTTTTTTTATGCATTTATTTTCATTTTAAAATTAGTAACAGGAGGATTACATCGTACAGGAGGAGGAAAAAAAAAAATCTTACAATCCAGGGTGTAAGCTTTTAAACATACAATTACATACAACAACAGGTATCTCACAAGTTGAACCAGGTTAGTCTTGGTCCTTTGTCTGTTCCAACTTATCAATTTTCAGAAAAATGCTTAACATGTACGTGAAAATGTCTTAAAGTACTGTAATGTTATGTTATTGTCATATCACCCACCTATTGTCACACTGCAATAATCACACTTAAGATCATATGAAGTGTTCATTTGCAAATGAGATATCTCCATTTTAATGAATTTTCATAAATCATGTTTTTTTATTATGCATTCCAGTTTATATCAATCAAACTGCAGTTGGGTTGTTCTGACTAAGTAAAAATAACTCAATAAAACAGAGGTGACTTACAAAATTAAACTTTATTGAAAAATCTTTTTTTTATTTAAATTTGTTTTTTTTTGGCAAAAGCAGATAACTCCAATGGTCATTTCATGTTTCTGAGTTAGACAAAGCCATGTAATAGATACAAGTTCCTTTTAAGTGCAATATTTAAAATTCTTTAACATAAAACAAGTAGGTAAAATTCTAAAAATTGTAACAAAAACACACCATTAATGAGCAATATTAAACATTTATAAGATCAGACCTCAGAAAATACTAAGGCTGAATCTCAAATGGCTCACTGCTCTCTATATAGTGCACTATGTAAGCTATAAAAGTTTGGCTTTTACACCCAAATATTGCACTTTATGACCAGTATAAATTGTGCACACATAGCTGAATCCAAAGTGCTTCTTTGTTAGACTGTGCACTTGAAATGCCTTGACAGTGGACAAGAACGTTTTTGTGACAAAACAAAAGGAATAACTCATAACAGGCAGCTTATTTTTTTAAAGGATAGCGTTTATCATTTTTTGCAAATGAACTCTTCATATATTCTGCAGTTTTATCTTAAATGATACCTTTCTCGCTCCATTTGGTGCAGCTGATCATTCTTGATGGCTTCTATCAATAAGTTTGCATGAGGGTCATCCTGTACAAATGTTTAATCAGTCTGTTAGCCACAAATTTGTGAGATCTTGGTGAAAATTCTCTTCTTTCAAGTACAAGGCTGAGCTATATATTCCCTTTAAACTCACATTTGGAGAGATATACTTGTCTTCCTCATCAATTCCAAGAGGTACACAAATCAGTTTCTGGAAAGATTTCTTCATCCTCTCACGATCTCCAATGGCACAGTAGCAGAGGATTAGGTTGAAGCCTGTCTTTATGTTGGGGCTCTCACTCATAATATGATCAAAGGAGGTAATGGCATCTGAGTACTGGCCCATTCGTATAAAAGAAACACCGATGTTCTGCATGATCTTGATCCTAACACAAGACAACGACTATCAACAAACCAGAATTTTGAAAAATGTGCTATTTATTCACTTGGTATTACGAAATATAGATGCCACAGCAGGAAGTAAATTAAACTTACCTCATCTCTGTGTGTGCATTGGAGATTTGGTCTAAAGCCATACGGTAAAATTTAATTGCCTTTGGATAGTTTTTCTGTTTAAAGTAGATGTTACCCATGTTGACTTTCAACCGTCCTACATTTTAAAAAGAGCATAAAAACAAAAACTATTATTTCTGAACAAATATACTCCACATCACCTGTGGACAAGAGGAGTACAGTATATTCCAAAATACAGTAAATCAAGCTTTCTACATAAACCACCAGTATTTTAACTGGGGGCTTCAGCAGTTGACTGCTACACTGTGTGGCCCAAAGTTCGAAGACATCTGCTCATCCAATGTGTCTTCTTAAATCAAGGTTATTAATACAGACTTTAATCCCCATTTACTGCAGCAACAGCCTTTTCTCTTCTAGGGACTTGATTCTTTGCTGTGAGGATCCAATTCTTTTCAATTAAGAGTGCTCACATATCAACCACCATAAAATCTATAATGTCTGTGACATAACAGTACCTGCATTATTGAACATCTTGTTCTTCACAATGACCTGGTAAGTGTTCAAGGCCTCTGTGTTCATGTCATTATTGGCATACTGGTTTGCCAGATTAAACAGCACCTGAAAAACAAAAAATGTATCACTCAATAAATAATCAACAAATAAATAAAAATATTGACTTTGACAGGCTCTGTGGTTATTTGATAAAAATGGACTCACTGAATAGGTCAGATCCAAAGTGATATGGTCTGCAGTACCAGTTTGTTCTCTTTGTCTCACCAATGCCCGCTCTTTTCTACCTGCTTCTTTGGCCTTTTCTAGAGCCTGAGTGAGTAAACCAACATGAAGACACCAAAAACCAAAAACAGAAGGTGAGACCAATGTACATAATCACAAGCTTAAGTTAAATTCCACCTTCACAGTACACAGGACCAAAGTAGGATTCTCTTTAACAGCTAATCAATTTGAATTAATAATTCAATGCTTGCACTTCTTTACATTTACAGAGATCACAGGGCATAAGAGCATTTGACTCACCAGTTGCAGATCCCCATTTCCTTGGGCTAAGCAACTTTCTTCTATCAAATCATTCACCTTCTTTTCCAGAATCTTAATCTTCTCCTCTGGACTGAAACACAAATTAAAAAAAAACAAAAAAAAACAAAAAACAACAACAACAAAAAAAAACACAATACTTGTGGTTGAAAAAATGAGTCGGTAAAGTCAACGAATTTTGGACTGTACGTGTGATGTATAAAATTCACGTGTTATTAGGAACATACGTGTCTTCATTTTTTGCTTCTAATGGAGGAGCTGGTCCTCTTGATTGACCAAGTGGATCAAATGTTGAACCTGACAAAAAAGTTACATGAGAAATGTACATATCTTTGAATAGTAATCAATAAATGAACTACTGTTACACCACAACATGACTACAATGACAAGGGACAATTTGTCTTTATAATGGCTGAGAAACAAGTTACATAAAAGCTGTAAGCTGTCCCCAGATCAGCATTTTTGTTCTAAGAAGTTTAATAAATATGGGCCAAGGAATGGACGTATGTCTCATGCACACTTACCTCTGGTCAAAGAGGAGGAATATCCTGCTGCCCGCACTGCAGTCATAGGACGAGCAGCCCCATCCTTTCAAAAATACAAAAGAAACAAACACAAACCACACATAGACAGATAAATTCACATTATTACTTTGTCATATTGTCACGGTCATATCAAAAGCTTAGTTTGTGATGGCATTTGAAGACACCAGCTGTCCTTTACATGAATATTTAATGAGGAATGGACCAATTAGATGCAACATTTTGTTACTACAGCAAATATGCAGACAGATGACAAATTAAAAGGAACAAAAAAAGTGAGTGGACAAACATAAGCGCAGATGCTTACAGACAAGTGTACCACACGATACTACTAAGCAATTAACATCCTACCATGATCTGTGGCATGCCTAAAAATGCTAAGTAGACTCTGACCTTGATGTTGGACAAAGATGGCAGGAGGAAAAGGTCTCAGTGACTTTAATTGGCTTATTATTAGGGCATGGATGGCAGAAGCTTTTATCACTGCTCAAATGGCTAAAGTTTCACTAGGAACAGTAACTAAAGTGAAATTTGCATTTAGATTTATGGAAAAGACATCAGTAAATAGGGTTGGGCATCAGTAAACTGGTAGTTGAAAGCATACATTCAATAACCATGATGCTCAGGCATTAGTGCGATATGTAAGAAAAAACAAGTGCAACTGCTTCTCATGTGACTGAGAATGTCAGTGCTGGACGTAATCAGAATGCGTCAGCAAGAACATTCTGTCCACAACTACATAGAGAGGGATATTATAGTAGGGCTGCAGAGCATAAACCCCTCATTATCAAGATGTAACATACTGTTTATTTACACAACTGTACAAATGTTCATTGTGTAGTACACTGTATATACTATTTTTGTAGTATATTTTCTAGTATATATCTGCTCAGACCTGCCTATGTACAGACATTCATATCGGCATACGTACAGATATCCACATGTCTTTAGCTCCTTTCTCATGGTCCTTCTTTATTATTTATTCTATTTTATTGTATTTTCCTCTTAGTTAAATACTTGTTATAGGTCTGTTTAGTATGCTACATGTGATACATGTGTACGCTCACCAAGACAAATTCTTTGTATGTGCGACACACTTGCCAAAATAAAGCAATTCTGATTCTAACATGTGAGTTCAGTTGTGCAAAAAACATTGATGTACATAGGTGTACATCTCTGTAAACACTGATGTACAGAGATGAGGAAAAAGAGGTATGGCCAGATGAGTCATTCTTTACCATTCTCTACAAGTAAGTGAGTGCATGTTTGCCATTCACCAAGAGAACAGTATGCTGAATGCTTGACCCCTACACTGAGGTGGTCCAGTGACTCTGTTATGCTGTGGGGGGGGGTTTGCTAGCATGGTTTGGGTCTATTTCCCTTAGAACAAAGGGTCACCGCAAAGCAATACAATGTTATTCTAACTAATCGCCTTAATCTTATGATGAAACACTTCTATCCTGATGGGAATGGTATCTTCCAGGATGGCAATGCCCCCATTCACAGGGCACAAGCGGTCACTGAATAGGTGAATGGGTACAAAATTATGTAAATCATATGTTATTACCTTCACAGTCAACACATTTCAACTTAACTGAACACCTATAGGAAACTGAGCAAATATATTTTGGAAAGATGGTGTTCCAAACCTCCAGTACAGTTCCAGACTTTTAAAATCTATGCCAAGGCACACTGAAGCTGTTCTGGCAGTTACTGATCTTACTAGGATACTCATGTTTTTTCCTTTAATTGGTCACTCATCTGTTTATTTCCCAATGTGTGGTCATTAAAGGGAAAAACATCATTACAATTCATTACTTACCTTTTTAATCATTTTAAGACAAAAGGGAAAAACATCTTACCTGTACTGCTCCAGTTGTAGGTCTTCCCATTGAAGAGCCCATGGGCATCCGTGACTAAAGGACAAAAAATAATTCACTGAGACATCCTATGAGCTGCTATGACCTAGTATTACATAGGCAGTTATTCATATTCATTTAGCAAATTAAATTATGCTTCTTCCCCATTTTGTCTGCTATTCAGTACGTATACAGTCTAGAACATAACAGCATTTGCAAACCTTTGGGAGTCTGCTACCAACCTTGCCCTGACTGCTCTCTCTCAGAGTTTTTGAAACAGCAAAAAGCTACAACACTCCACTCTCTTTTTTCTCTCTGTCTGCAATAGATCCACCTGTCACCATTTTGTGTTTAAAATGAAGCGGTTAATATGGGTTCAAATGCACTACATACACCAAAAGAGGTTCCTATGGGTCTTCCACCAACGGCAGTGCCAGGAAACCTTGCAGTCATCTACGAAGAAAAAGAGAGCAGTTATGTTCAACATTTTTAAAAAGAATCTGAAACTAATTTTTCCAGTAAACTGTGTACTATCTATTTGTTCTGTTGCTTAATGTGCTGCATCTTACTGGAGGTCGTCTGCCATGACTGGTCCTGACGGCTTGCTGAAAGCCAACATCATTGTCCAGCTCCTGCACACGAAGAGAGTGATGAATGGTAATGTTAAGAGGTTCACATTTTCAGGGTGTTCCTGCTGACAGTGTAGGTCACACGTACCTCTGAGTCAAATGTTGGATTGTAGTCATTGTAACCCGAGTACAAGTCATCTTCGTCTTCTGCGGCAAGATGAACGTTTTCCATCCTTTACCTTTTCAAAAGAACATACAACCAAAACGATATGATCCGAGTCCAAAACATGCATGATATTCAACAGGTGCTAAAACACTTCTTACAGGATACGGTTCGGTGATTCTTACGCTGTAGTTAGCTCAAAGTACCTTTTTGTAACTTACAAGTATTAAGTATTGAAAAGTAAAGTACATATGGTCAGTAGCCATTGGTTAGCAAGTCACGAAGCTGAAGTCAGGTTCTTATTAGCTAGTCAACTTGTTGTTCGACTTTTCCAGTTCCACCTTAAATGGTGCAGCACTTAAATACTGACGAGAACGCAACTCCTGCACCATTTAAGGTGGAACGGGAAAATGCGAACAAGAAGCTGGCGAATAAGAATCTGACCTCGGTCTCGGAGTCTATGCATTGTCAAATTAGCTATGAAGTAAACAAGGTTACCAGCGTTAGATATTATGTACGTTATCTAGTTATATGTGAATAGCCTGGCTAGTCTAGTCTAGTTTAGCTTGCTAATAACAAACATTAACTAGCTTTTTACCCACCACAGCTACATTAAACATTGCATAAAACAACTAGATTGCAAGCTGAACTGCAGCATTGACTGTTGACACTACGGTAGTTTTTTGGTAATGGGAGAAATCGCTTTACCAAGAGCTTTATCGGTTCTTATAGTTCGCAAAACGAACGTACCTTGCAACCGTAAACCGATGCTAGGCTAACACAGTAAAGCTGCGTCGCCAACACGGCCGTTGCTAGGATACAGAATGTGTGGAGCTTCGGCCCTCTGTTTATTCCGCTACGTTAGCGTTACCCCCAACTTTTAAAGTCTTCCGTTCATGCAGACATTTTAAACTGCACTTACAAATATTACCGCGCCAAACAATGACCCGAAAAACGGGTTCTATTTTTTCGGACGCTAACAGTAAGCCTAAGCGCCTCTTCCTAAACTAAGCTAGTTTGATATGTGTAGGCTGCCGTAGCTGCCTGAATCTCCGCCCTTTCTGCGCATGTTTTTTCCAAGTTCAGCCTGTGTTTAGGATTCTTTGGCTTCAAATGAATTGCGAGTAATTTTTTGGGTTCGTGGTAGCAGAACACCACAATGGCTTCGTCTAAAGGGAAAATAATTACAATTGTAGGAAGGTGAGCAGATTTGTGGCATTTAATCTATCTACACGAGTAACAGTTAAATACAGCTTTCAGCTAACGGTGCAGGCAGAGTACAAACTGCTGGACTCGGATTCTCTACGGTTCTGCCTGGCAGTTACTACGACCTTTGATATATAGTAGAGATTTTAGCATCTGGCTAACAACACAGGGCAGCATTTCAGGCGTTGTTCAACTAATGTTTTAAGGTTTAATGTTTCAGCACTTTCTTATGGGAGTCGATTAGAAATTCCACAAGTTTGCACTCTTCCCCTTTCACACCTTTCTGTCTGCATCAGCATTATGTAACTTAGGTTGTCTGATTTTTTCGACTGTACTGACACACTGTCACTTGACAGCGTAGCTCTAAGCAAATAACGTTACTGTAAGATACATATTCATAAGGGTTCTTATGTGTAGCCTCAGGATTATCTAATATCTCTGTGTTCAGTACGGTCTAAAGAGCTTATACATCTTTAGCTATAGACCATTAACGTCTAGTGATAAAGGTTTTATTTTCATAACATGATGCTTCATTATTTTTTTCTCTTTTAGTGGCCTTATTGGACGTTCCTGGGCCATGGTGTTCTTGAGTGGAGGATATAAGGTTAAAATCTATGACAACCAACCGGGACAAGCATTAAGGGCCATCACAGATATCAGGTCTGTGAAAAATTCAGAACTAGCCCAGTTACTTATAGTTGCTTCTAATGTTGTTTCTTTTAGGGCCCGCAACTCAAATGGTCTCCTGTAAAATGGCAGAATATAGCCAACACAGACTGTGTAATCATTGACATCCTGCTTATGTTGAATGCGATTATATATTGTCTATTTTTTACTTACATAAAATTTTTTTTTGTTACCCCTCTGGCCCTTTTCCTTTAATGTTATTGGTATGCAGAGAATGTTGATTGTATGTTAACTACGGGAAAAAAAATAAAAAGTTAATAACAAAAAAAAATATATATAGCTAAGCTCATTTTCAGTTGAAAGACCAACAGACTAACAGTTTAACAGAAGGCGATTTGAATTAATGTTTTACTTTACTTAATATGTAAATTACCAGCCTTTTGATCAGAAACTTGCTTTCATTCTGTAGACTGTCCAGATTCTCCAGTCTAGTACCTCTAGTGTGTGCAAAATATTGTGTTTGGTTGCAAACTTGAGGTATGAGTCACTTCTATTCACTGCAAAATAATGTACTCTGAAATCAGTTTGAATCGTAACTGAACAACCAGATTCTCAGCCATTAACCTCACCCTGCCCTGTCACTCAGCATGTTCACAAAATGCCATTCATGAGTAGCTGAGTGTATCTGTTGAATTCAGCTTTCTGTCAGTAGAGGGGGTTACAGGACATTTTGTCACTTGAATGTGATTCATCTTGCTCATTGTGGCAAAAGATCATTACAGGCCTTAGATTAGAGTGGTCCAAAGTATGACTTAAAAGCTTATAGCAAGGGGTGAAGTTAAAATGTAGAATCAGTTTGGATAAGTATTGTCATATTCATAGATACTCAGTAATCCAGTATCTTAAAACAGACAGATTATATACACAATAGTATAATATTTTAAAAATGCTGAATGAAATGTTCAGGAGCTCATGTCGTGAGTATTTGAGATTGGAAGTATAAACTCTTTGTATTTGTGTTTGAGCAGGAAACAAGTTGAGGAGCTCCAGGAAGCCCAAATGCTCAGAGGAAAGCTCAGTGCCGCAGAGCAGCTGAGTCTGCTCAGCAGTCATGATGACCTTTCCCAGGCACTAGAGGGTGCATTTTTTGTTCAGGTTGAGTATTGGCTCAAAACAGCAAGCTGTGTTTGAAGTACAGGTTTGCTGGCCTTGTAGTTTTATAATTTCAAACCTTGTAATCTATAAGATAATATAAAATAACTTTTATGTGTGTCTTGGATTTGTGCTCTCGTTTGAAGTATAGTTTTCACTTTTCTTTCCACTATTTGTGTTCTTTTACAATGGATCCAAGAGTATAATTGGTCATCCAGGCAAAGACACCACAGTGACACCCTTTAGTTTGAGAACAGTTAGAACAGTTGTTTTCATGCTCACAAACTCAAATATTGGGTTTTTTAATACAAATTATATTATCAAATTACCAATTTGAATGAAAAGTAAAATCTTTGAACATGAATTTCTTAGTATTTTGGTGTGTACACTTTTTACATTAATGATGTTGTGCACTCAAGCTGGCATGAACTCCACAAGTTTGTACAAAAGCTTCTGATGAGTAGATCAGATCTACCTGAGAGTCATCTGAACATGTGCTTCAAAGGAAGAAACAAGACTAAAAAAACAACTGACCCTTTTTACAAAGGCCTTAACATAGTCAATAGCAAAAATTGCTTAAATTTTGTCACAACCTAATAATAAAAAATATGAGACTTTTCATTTCAAAATTCGAAACTTTTTTGTTGCTGATTTCCAGGTTTACGTGGGTCCTGCAACGGATCAATTAATGTGGTCTCACTGTATGTTCAGGTCATCACATCCTACATTAATTATTATAGTGAGCTTCTCACTGTTGAGGAAAAGTGGTGTTTTATATGAAACGTTTCATTCAGTCATTCTGGTCTGGGTGCAGTATCACCACTGTTGGTTCTGTGGGGAAAACCTACCTCATAGTTTCCTGTCCAGATAGGAAATCTGTCAAAATGATTACATCAGCAGTGGCATGTCACCACTCTGGTTTGTGTAGTGTCATAATTAACATGTTAAACATTCAGAGAAGAGCTCAGGAAAATTAGGCCCTTATGTTTTTTTGAGCTTGTGACAGTAATTTATAAAACTGTGGAAATTACTGCCTCAGATACTAAAACATTCAAAACCTAACAAAATTAGACTTAAATGTCTTATTAGAATTTCATAATTGTGAATTTAATCTTTAATAGTACTGTTAAAATACGTTGCACTGGTGATTAAAAATCATATATTTACACTGTTCCTCTGAATTATTGACACCTTCTGTTAATATCAATATGAAATGCTGGGTAAAATTCATGTTATTGTTCACCAAATGTCTTTTAGCACCTTGATAAAGCACAAAAGTGATTTTGTTCTTATAAGCACAAAACCATTATACAAGCATAACAGTTATTACTTTCCAAATTTTAAAGGGCCTATTTCATGGAAAACTGATTTTTCCTCACTTTTTTGAAATAAAAAACACTGCTAAAGTTTCAGAACATACCATTCACTCCCAACTCCATACAGTCTATATATGGAAAATCATCTGTGAAAACAGCCTGTTTTTATTTTCTTTGTTTCAGTACATTTACATCTGCCTATTTAGCCTACAGCAGTTTAGCCCCACCCTTTCATGTTGAAGTTATAAGGAGTGTTTCAGCTTGGACTGATTTTTAAATGAGGCACAACGTAGGACAGCCAGTCAGAGCAGAGCTGATTTACGTATATCAATCTTAGAGGCACAGTCACAAAAACAGCCTGTTTAATTCTAAGGGACAAAGAAAGGTTGAAACATGGCAGTGTAAAAATGAATAATGATTGTTTTGTGGTGTTTTGCAGCAGTACAAAGTACGTATATAAATAGAAGAATTTCAATAAAGTGATCTATCTGGCTATAAATACTCACATAAATGTTATAAGTGGACCTCAGGCAGAGAAATAAAATATAAAAAAAGTTTAGGATATGGGCCCTTTAAACATACCTACAGCTTATTCCATAACCTTTAATGTGCTAAGAGTCCTAGATATGTTTTACCCAATTGTGTCTTAAGGTCATCTATTCACAATGTTATCTAGAAGCTGGTTATCTAATTATGAATTTTCTTTATCTCTGTATGAATTTGATTGACAGGAATGTGTGTTTGAGGAGCTGGAGGCCAAGAAGAGTGTTTTTCAGGCAGTGGAAAAACTTGTGAGTGAGGATGTCGTCCTCAGTAGCTCCACCTCCTGTTTGATGCCCAGCAACGTCTTCTCTCTTGTCCAGAACCGCACTCGCTGCATTATATCCCACCCGGTTAGTGAGGCTTGTGTTGTGATTTTAACTGTTGTATAATTTATTCAGTATAAATGAGACACAAATCATTGTGTTTGCTCCTGATCCTATTTCCACCAGTTTGAATTTACTTGGGATTGGCAAAAAGATATTTAAGTATTTATAATTCTGATCCTGATATTTCCTTTTGAGACTCAATCCTTGCATTAAAATATCATTACCAAGTGTTTTCTTGAAACAGTTATTTCATAATGGTCATTTACTTTAATTAAATGAAATGTGCATTTGATACTGAAAATATTATTCACACATTATCCAGGTAATAAAAAACGGGCCTAATATTAGGCTATTTTAAACATTTAAGGCATGTATTTTTTTCTGTAGTGCAATTTTACAATAATGTGTCAGTGAATAGACATACAGGCTAAGAAAGGGAAGTTTATTTCAGTTTACTGATGTGAGAGCTTTCAGGGTGACACGGTGACGCAGTGGGTAGCGCTGTTGCCTCACAGCAAGAAGGGCCTGGGTTCGATTCCCGGCTGGGCAGCCAGGGTCCTTTCTGTGTGTGCGTGTTCTCCGCATGTCTGCGTGGGTTTTCTCCGGGTTCTCTGGTTTCCTTCCCGAGTCCAAAGACATGCAATCAGGCCAATTGGACAAGCTAAATTGCCCCTGGGTGTGAATGTGTGTGTGAATATACATGTCTGTCTGCCTGCCCTGCGATGGACTGGCAACCTGTCCAGGGTGTATTCTGCCTCCCGCCCACTGACTGCTGGGATAGGCTCCAGGTGTGGAAGATGTGTGTGTGTGTGCGTGCGTGTGTGGAGTTATTAATTTGCATTGTATAAGTCAAAGATTTCCTTTTTATGTGACGAAGAAGACATTCAAAAGTATTGCCACTGGCATAGGATACTAGCCTTGGTCTTCTTTTGTATTGGATTGTATCACCCATCCCTGGAGTTTACTACTGAAATATATGTCTTTTCTTGAATTTGAGGAATAGTTTCTAGAAGATTCATGCAAAATATGTTTCTGCCTGTGTGCACTTGTTAGCTAGCTGGATTTTGTTGGCATTTTGAGAAGAATCAGTGTGGTATAACGTGGTAGAAAAATGCAGAGCAGTGGAGTGGCAGGACCAGGCACAATGGGGGGAAGTTTAAGATTGGACTTTGACTCCATCTTTTGCCCCTTAGAGTAGAAATTATTGTCCTATCACATGAGCAGTGAGGTCTTTTTTTCTGCCCATTCCGCTGGCCTTCACTTGCTCATAGTGAATGGTTGACTGTTACTTGTGCACTGGGTAAATGTTTAATCCCTAATACCAAATATTAGGGACCAGCAAGGCCTTAAAACTGCAGGAGGGGAAAGACATCAGCATCTTATCTGTAGCGCAGCAGGTAAACACCAGTGTATGAAATGTAGCCTTTTCCCTGAGTGAAGTCATGGGGAAATTTTGATGTGATTAATACACACAGGTGAACCCACCCTACTATGTGCGTTTGGTGGAGCTAGTTCCTCACCCTGAAACCCTTCCTGTGGTTATGGACTTGGCGTATGAACTAATGACTGAGGTGGGACAGGCTCCTGTACGCATCAGGAAGGAGATTGATGGCTTTGCACTGAATCGAGTCCAGTATGCTATCATAGCTGAGTGCTGGAGGCTTGTTAAGGTGAGTTAAACTAGAATTGTGAACATTAGATCACTTCTGTATGCTATTTTAGGTTTATACATTGTTTATTACCTCCAAAAACAAAAATCTTGTCAAAAGGTTATACCATCTGTGTAGAAAAACTTTAGGCCTAACCCACTGTATTATATTCATGTTATATTCAATGATGCTGATAGATTCATATCTGGAGGTACATTACACGGATGTCATTGACAATTCTGTCATGTATTTAACAAACATTTAAACATTGCCAAATCCTTTAGTGTACCAAGCTCCTTTTTGCCCTTCTGCTGCTCATGTTACAAATGAGGAGCTTAGTTATGCATGAAAGATCCTGTCATGGGTTCCTGGACGTACAAACTGGCTGCAGTTTTGGGCTTATGTCCATCAGTGTGTTCTGCTATCTCAAAGGATGAAAGAGAAAAAGAGTAAGACAACTCTTACAGAGTAAGTTCAGACTCTCCAGTATTTGTTGCAAAGCACACAAGTGTATCATTGTACACCAAGAGATGATAGATACCACAACGTCTTTTCACTGTTTTTCTCTTGTTATATTTGCCAAGCTTTCGGCCTTTCTTATTTGCACATTTTTTGTTCAGGTTGAGTATTGGCTCAAAACAGCAAGCTGTGTTTGAAGTACAGGTTTGCTGGCCTTGTAGTTTTATAATTTCAAACCTTGTAATCTATAAGATAATATAAAATAACTTTTATGTGTGTCTTGGATTTGTGCTCTCGTTTGAAGTATAGTTTTCACTTTTCTTTCCACTATTTGTGTTCTTTTACAATGGATCCAAGAGTATAATTGGTCATCCAGGCAAAGACACCACAGTGACACCCTTTAGTTTGAGAACAGTTAGAACAGTTGTTTTCATGCTCACAAACTCAAATATTGGGTTTTTTAATACAAATTATATTATCAAATTACCAATTTGAATGAAAAGTAAAATCTTTGAACATGAATTTCTTAGTATTTTGGTGTGTACACTTTTTACATTAATGATGTTGTGCACTCAAGCTGGCATGAACTCCACAAGTTTGTACAAAAGCTTCTGATGAGTAGATCAGATCTACCTGAGAGTCATCTGAACATGTGCTTCAAAGGAAGAAACAAGACTAAAAAAACAACTGACCCTTTTTACAAAGGCCTTAACATAGTCAATAGCAAAAATTGCTTAAATTTTGTCACAACCTAATAATAAAAAATATGAGACTTTTCATTTCAAAATTCGAAACTTTTTTGTTGCTGATTTCCAGGTTTACGTGGGTCCTGCAACGGATCAATTAATGTGGTCTCACTGTATGTTCAGGTCATCACATCCTACATTAATTATTATAGTGAGCTTCTCACTGTTGAGGAAAAGTGGTGTTTTATATGAAACGTTTCATTCAGTCATTCTGGTCTGGGTGCAGTATCACCACTGTTGGTTCTGTGGGGAAAACCTACCTCATAGTTTCCTGTCCAGATAGGAAATCTGTCAAAATGATTACATCAGCAGTGGCATGTCACCACTCTGGTTTGTGTAGTGTCATAATTAACATGTTAAACATTCAGAGAAGAGCTCAGGAAAATTAGGCCCTTATGTTTTTTTGAGCTTGTGACAGTAATTTATAAAACTGTGGAAATTACTGCCTCAGATACTAAAACATTCAAAACCTAACAAAATTAGACTTAAATGTCTTATTAGCATTTCATAATTGTGAATTTAATCTTTAATAGTACTGTTAAAATACGTTGCACTGGTGATTAAAAATCATATATTTACACTGTTCCTCTGAATTATTGACACCTTCTGTTAATATCAATATGAAATGCTGGGTAAAATTCATGTTATTGTTCACCAAATGTCTTTTAGCACCTTGATAAAGCACAAAAGTGATTTTGTTCTTATAAGCACAAAACCATTATACAAGCATAACAGTTATTACTTTCCAAATTTTAAAGGGCCTATTTCATGGAAAACTGATTTTTCCTCACTTTTTTGAAATAAAAAACACTGCTAAAGTTTCAGAACATACCATTCACTCCCAACTCCATACAGTCTATATATGGAAAATCATCTGTGAAAACAGCCTGTTTTTATTTTCTTTGTTTCAGTACATTTACATCTGCCTATTTAGCCTACAGCAGTTTAGCCCCACCCTTTCATGTTGAAGTTATAAGGAGTGTTTCAGCTTGGACTGATTTTTAAATGAGGCACAACGTAGGACAGCCAGTCAGAGCAGAGCTGATTTACGTATATCAATCTTAGAGGCACAGTCACAAAAACAGCCTGTTTAATTCTAAGGGACAAAGAAAGGTTGAAACATGGCAGAGTACAAGATTCCCATGAGACATTTGTGTTGTTGTCCTTGAGACTGTATTAATTGTTACTTGAAGCATTTTATGTATTACTTGTAATCATGAGTAATAAAAAAAATTGCAGCCAGTGTGCTCTGCCAACAACACGTTCCAAAAAAGGTGGGACGGGGGCAACAAAAGGCTGGTAAAGTTGTGTAATGCTAAAAAAAACACCTGTTGGTTAATTGGCAACAGATAAGTAACATGACTGTGTATAAAAAAGCATCCCAAAGAGGCTTAGACTTTCAGAAGTAAAGATCAGGAGGGGTTCACCACTCTGTGAAAGACTGCATGAGCCAATAACGCAACAATTCAAGAATGAGTCAAGAATGTTTCTCAGTGTAAAACAGCAAAGAACTTTTGCTTTTCATCATCTACAATACGTGATATCATTAAAAGATTCAGAGAATCTGGAGAAATCTCTGTACGCAAGGGACAGGGTCAAAAAACAGTATTTGCTGGCCATGATCTTTGGGCCTTCAGGCAGCACTGCCTTAAAAAACAGACATGATTCTTTAGAGAAAATCACAGCATTGGCTCAGGAACACTTATGAAAACCACTGTCTGTGAACACAGACAGTTAAAACTCTAAAACCTAAGAAGAAACCATATATAAACATGATCCAGAAATGCTGCTACTTTTTTTGGGCCCGAGCTCATTTAAAATGGACTGAGGCAAAGTGGAAAAGTGTCCTGTGGTCCGACAAATCAACATTTAAAATTCTTTTTGGAAATCATGGACACTGTCCTCTGGGCTAAAGACCACTCAGCTAGTTATCAGTGCACAGTTCAAAAGCCAGTATTCATGATGGTATAGGGGTGCATTAGTGCAAATGGCATGGGTGATGTGCACATCTGTAAAGGCACCATTAATGCTGAACCATATATACATGTTTTGGCAACATATGTTGCCATCCAGATGACGTCTTTGTCAGGGAAGGCCTTGCTTATTTCAGCAAGACAATGTAAAACCACATTCTGCATGTATTACAACAACATTGCTCTGTATTAAAAGAGTCTGGGTGCTAAACTGACCTGCCTGCAGTCCAGAGCTGTCACCCACTGAAAACATTTGGAGAGTTATGAAATGAAAAATACGACAAATTAGCCCCCAAACTGTCGAGCAGCTGAAATCCTATGTTAAGTAAGAATGGGAAAACATTTCACTTTTAAAACTACAGCAATTGGTCTCCTCAGTTCCCAAACACTTACAGTGTTGTTAAAAGAAGAGGTGATGAAACACAGTCCAATTTTTTTGGAACGTGTTGTTGGCATCAAATTCAAAATGGGCATATATTTTTTAAAAAACAATAACATTTCTCAGTTTCAACATTTGATATGTTGTCTTTGTAGTATTTTATGGTTTACATGACTTGCATATCATTGCATTCTGTTTTTATTAACTTTTTTGGAAATGGGGTTGTAGTTCTGGATCAAAAGCGCTACTCTGGCTCACCCCAAAAGTATTAGATAGTGCTCCATCACTCAAAAGTTCCACTGCTCCACAGCCCAGTACTGGGGGCTTTACACCCCTCTCCTTGATGCTTGCCATTAGGCACAGTGATGTTAGGTTCATGTGCTGCTGCTCTGAATGCCTGGGTAAATGTTTTAAATTGACGAATTAGAAGGGGTGTCTGGATACTTTTTGATATTTTTAATCCTTTTAGGAATTCATCGTGTGTAAAACCCATGAGAAATGTGATGGTGTCCTAGCACTTTTCTTGTTGTGGTTTGTACAGTGAATGCATATATCTTGATATGGTTTTGAAAATTTAATGCAAATCAAAACAATCATATGATGCTAATTGAAAAATGAAGCAACAGCATCCCTTCTTTGATAATTGTACATTGTACATAATTGTCATTTTTATCTGATTGTATTTCACTGACAAAGTCGTAGTAGGACTATGTTTATTGGACATACTCATCATGATTTCTTTGAAGAAAGAACCCTTGCCCTAAAAAATCTAAACTTCAAGTGTTGTTAACCCCCAGTGGATCTTTCTCTTTCTCTTTCTCTTTCACTCTCCTTTCACAGTGAGTCAGCACTAGTCTAGCAAACCATGCGGGGAAGAAAAATCTTGTTTTGCTCGTAGCACTATTAATGCATACAATGGCTCTGCTTCACTGTAAGCATTTTGCGGGCTTTCATGGTAAAACACGTCTCAATTACCTGCACTGGGATATAAGTGTTTCACAGGTCTTCTGAGTACATGCTATTTGTCTTTGTGACATTGGCATTGGACATTTAATGGTCCAGTTAAGTGTTTACATTACTTGGTTATTTTGATTACTTACTGTCTTTCTAGAAATATTTTGGGAATATGTTCTGAATTTCTTTAAAATTTGGTTAATCATAACTAGAAAAAGTATGGGAGTTTTTCCATGGTTGTGCTTTTTTAACTAAACAAAAAACAACTGAATGTACTCCTCTTGTAATTTTGCTGTCCAGGAACTAGTGACTTCCTAAGTGATAAACTAAAATCATTGCCATGACCTCAATGGAACATGAGCCTATGTTTGAATGCCAGTAGCTCCATTTAGAAGTTCAGATGTGGATTATCCAAAGTTTACCCTTTCAGCAGGCTTTTGTCAGGTGCCAGGAAAGATGTGTTCCTGTGCTTGTTTATGAGACTGTAGACTATGTTTTTTTTTTTTTCTTGTTGCTTTTAGTGTAGCATCCTAATGTGTAGTTGTAAATGTTATTTTACCTTTGGAAAGCATATGATTTTACTGAAGGGTATCAAAGGAAATCAGATAACACTTTACTGAAGGGTAGCATTCGCAAGGCTAAACGACATTTATATGTCTTTCATGACAAAATAAACATTTATAAAGGCTTATTTCAACAAGTATCAGTTGTCATAAAGGCTGTTTTTGTCAATATTGATTAAAAAAACCTCAGTATGTGGTATGATAACTGACACTTATCGGAATAAGCCTGTATAAATATCTATATAGATCAGTCAGTTGTCGAGAAAAGTGTTATGTAGGTGTCGTGTAGTCTAATGAATGCTGCCCTTCATTAAAGTGTTACTGGAAATTAAAGTATGGATGTCCTTCAGCCACCCAATGTTTTTAGTATGCGTGCACGATTGAAATCGCTCTGAACATGTTATCAGCAATTGGCACATTTCATTTTTCCCAATCTGTTTTGCAATATTATGATATAAATAATGTGAACCAGCTAAGTAGAAGTGTGTGAAGAGCCTGTGGGTTTCATATCATTGTATTTGTTTTGCTGGCTTTGTGAAAAGAGCAAATAAATAATGTTATTGTCTTTGTTGCCTGTTGCTTGAATAAAAAACTTGGCTAATAAGTATTGGCTTGGCCAAAAAACATAAATTATCATGCAGTTTAGCTGTAAAGAAGTCAATTCAGGCATAAAAGTTTATCCGCTCCGCACATGTTTTATGATGAGCTGTATTTGGATGTTCTAAGTGTAACAGATGGCAGACACTGTTTGAAGGAAGCCCAATTATAGTGATACTGATCAACTTAGAAAGTGACAGAAAGCTGAAAGGTAGAAAAAGTGAAATAACTGACACACCCAGGCTGAATTAGCTTCTAGGCATATGCTGAGAATGTAGTTCAACTGGATGGTGAAGAAGATTCCACATTTTTGAAGTCGTAATGCAGTGGACAGACCTGCAACACAGGAATGTGTTGGTTAAAAGACACTGTGGTCAAATGTGAAGAATGAGTTAAATGTGGGGTCATTTTCTTTATTCTTTATTTCTTTATCTGTCTTTTGAATGCTTTGCCTTTTTACCTCTTGAACAAGTTCTCATTTAAAGCAAATCTTCAACTTTGCCTTCCTTCCACAAATAGCTGGTCACATGCGTTATTAGTCAGAAAAAAAGTCTAATTCAAAACAGTTTCAGTTAGGGATGAACTGATACCACTTTTCCCTTCTGATACCTGATATACAGTTACACTTTTTAAATTTTGTCAAAACCTGTCACAAATACATACAACAAAAAAAGCTTGCATATTAAACATATATAACTATTGTTATATATGTATATATTGTTATATAATAGTTATTGACTGTAACTATTACAGTCGTTCACACTGTCAGTAGCAGCAGTTTTTCCACTTTGGTTAAAGCAACAGGCTGAGAGACCCCGCTGTCCTGTCATACAGTCTGTCATTATCCGAGATCACAGGATATCATTATCCAAGAGAACCAGCAGTTCCTTACGAATGTCTCAGCCATTCAGGAAAAGAGATACCATTAGCATAATTTATACTGTGTCTACATTGTTAACTGGCTTCTTTGTGGCACTAGTGAAACGATTGCCTTAGGACGAATTCCTACTGGTCTGTCGCCCACTACCACTGTCTTCCCACTGCCTTACACATTCTGGCATGAGCATTTTTACTGCTGGTAATTGACCCACACTGCGAGTGTATTGTTCAGTTCCGTCTGCTGGCACACATGCGCGTCATAAATGGCTTCGTGCTATTGGTATCGTTCTTGGGAATGCCAATACCACCGATACGTTTTAAGTGCCAGTATCAGTGCCGATACTGATACAGGATCAGTATCGATGCAACACTAGTTTCATTTGACTGTAACTGACTGCATGTGTCTACTGCAAGTCAGTTACATTAAAATGCTCAAAAACATGCAAACAATGAAAATACACATTTTTGCTTACCTTAATTTGTTCACCAAATTGTCTTTTGTAAATCAACAGCAAAATATGACAGAATAAAACTAATTAATTAAACTAAAAAACTGCTCAGTTAAGTATATTAACTTTTTGCCATTGTATTTGCCATTATTATAATACCATTGTACAGTACCAGTGTTTCTAAGAGTATTAAAGTGTGGTTTGGTGTATACAGTATTTTTTATTTGAACATTGCTGTAAGTAAGCATTGTTGGCTTCTGTGATGTCATTAAGTAAAGCAATAAGCAGTTATGTAACAGCCTTAATTTTTTTTTCAGCACCACTTGAACAAACTCGCACACACTGGCTGGACTTACAGCTCGAAATACACACACCATCACTCACACTCAGAGTTCAGGTAGGGCCGTTGAGAGAGAGCCAGTGCTGGAAAGCGGAGCAGCTGAGAAAGCTGCTGCTTGCCTCCGGTGATTACCGCAGAGGAAAGGCCTCTTTTCAAAACTCCCGCAGCCAGTGCGCCGCCCGGGCCACGGCCAGATAACGGCCTCGTTGTTGCCCACAGGAAACGAACAAAGACCACCCTGTCCCCCTCCCTGTCTCTCCCCTTCTACCAGGTCTGTGTCCAAGCTTTGATTTCAGGCCGGTCAGGTACTAGGTATCTGTAGCCTGAGGTAATGTGAGTGCAGAGTGGGCCCAAAGCCTGGCACTACCAGCCCAACCCCCCATACCGTCCCATTGTTCCCAGGGCACAGTATTGGATGATGAGGGAAATCCAATACAGTGGGAGCAGTTTTAACGCTCTTCTCCTGGGATGAAAGGGAAAGACTGTCACTGTTTTCTGCTCAATCTAGAAAACCAACCTGAATGTGTTGGACAGAGAAAATAGCAGGAAGCTCTTATTTTAGGATGTAATCCTGGATAAAAACAGGAAGTCACTAAAACAAGTCAGCACTAAACTAAGGATGTGCATTCTGATTAATTTTGATGTTTGAGTATCCGCAAGAGTTTGAAAGAGTGAAAGGATATTCAGTTAACTGCAGGGGGGCAAAAAGGACAATTCAGGATACCATTTTAAAAAATGGTTCTCCAAGCGTTCTTTAGGTAAAGCAATAGGAACGTGAAAACTCATAGAACCATTGGAATGCTTAAATGGTTCTTTGAATGGTTCTACTCTATGATGGGAAAACCTGTTGTTCTTTTAGGAATCTTTTCCAAAATTGTTCTGTGTGGCACCAAAAAGGGTTCCACTATTTTGTATATTTTCCCTGACAGATGAGGCAATGTAACACAGTATTTTAGCATTCATACTGGCATTTACCAGCACCTAGAACAGTTAACTGAGTATTTGATAACCCACTACACTGAACTACTCTTGATCACACATTATTTCATTAAAAGAAGTTTGTGGTATCTGTGTTTCTTCAGGACGGAGTGATCTCTGTGAAGGACATTGATCTGGTGATGTCAGAGGGTCTGGGCATGCGCTACGCTTTCATCGGCCCCATTGAAACTATGCATCTCAACGCGCCAGAGGGCAAGTCACTATTTATTTATTTATGTATTGTAATTTTGTCATGAAAAAAGTTACTCTCGTGTGCATTTGGAATGGCCAGATCAGAATAGGGATGGGTTTCTCAAAAGCATTCAAATGTTTAGATCATTACTTTAGATAGTGATGATATGCAGTATGATATGGTTTTGTGGATAAGCTGCCTTCTGGTCAGTATGTTCAACCAGCCTTTTAGAGCATATGACTGTTAGCATTGTGTACCTCAAATGACCTGTGTTGATAAATGTCTATGTGTGAAATAGAAAGTGAGAGAAAGTGTGTGTGTTGAGGAGGCCTCATGTTCATGGTGAATATCAGGAGGCAGTGTGAAATCTGTGGCACGGTCCTGCTCTGTAAGGTTATGTGAAAACAAGGCTCTCATTTGATGCCTACAAATGATTTACTGTTTTTGCTGCAATTGCCCAGTTCTTGAGAGCTTCTAATACACTGTCTTAAAAAGGGTACTGTACCAGTAAATTTTAGGCCCCCAAGGTATAAACGTTGTAAGTGTACCCTCAAAGGCCTAACATTGGTCCTTAAGGTCCAACTGTTTGGCTTTAATGAGCTTTAAAGGCACACTGCATTCACTGTCCCAGGGGGAGTGCACATATGTGTACCTTTTTATAACTAAGTCAATGCAACCTAAAAAAATGAAAATAATTTCAACAGGATCTGGTACAGTTATGTTGCATAACTAAAGGCACTGAAGATATATTTTTGAAGGTACCACCACGGTGACATTGTACCCTAAAAATACAATTTATTTTTTATAAGAGTGTAAGTATTTGATATCCATTTTTTATATGAGGCTAAATATTACCAATAATGCCATTGTGGAATAAAGTCAATTGTTGTTTAAGCTTTAAGTGTCACATGCTATTTGTGAGGGCTGATGTTTTTGCTCTTGCTGTTGCCCATTGCCTCTCTGTGAGAGGCTCTAGAGAGCACCCATGCCTATCTGACACAAAACCACTTAAGTTACACTTCAAGGCTCTGACCATAAACTGAAGAAAACAAGGCACTAAATACTTTACTCTGAATAACAGTAGTGCCATCTTGGACGTAAGTGAGTCCAAGGTGACTGACAAGCCAAAGCCTTTTTGTCAAACCTGCTTGGGATGTTAGGAATTCAAAGTGTTTTAGTAAAATGGCTACCACAAGAACTGTATAACAATAAAAAGCTAGTCAGTTGGCTAAGTAAGTCTTTGTATGCATATGCTGATAAAGATGGCCAGATATGCTTATGCACAGTAACACCTGATATAGCATATAGGCATTTAGACTCATATGTGTGAAAACTGTGTCTTCTCAGGTCTAGAAGACTACCTAAGACGCTACCAGGAGGGCATGAAAAGAGTGCTGTCTAGTTTCGGGCCTGTTCCTGAGTTTGATGGAGAGGCGGCAGCTAGAATCAATAAAGTATGTCAGTCTATTTGTGTCAAATTTTGGAATGCCATAGAAAGTTCATAGATGTATGCAACTTACACAAAAATTGCATGTAATTATTTATTTATTTTTAATCATAAAAAATATATATAATGGTATATAATAGAAAGAATAAAAGTATATACCATGAAACATGGGTGGGTAAAAGTTAGTTTTACATTTCTTACCACTATAGGAGATCTGTGAGCTCATCCCCAATGACCAGGAGCATCTCTCTGCCAGGAGAGAGAGAAGGGATCAGCTGCTGATGGGACTGGCTAAACTGAAGAAATGAACCACTCCTCCCCCAACACATGCACAGCCTGAGCTGGAGGAGCATGGATCATCAGAACTGAGCCTGAGCTGCAGCTGTGGTTCAGAAAACAGAGTACAGGCTAATCCTTGTTGCTCAGGAATGATGTTTTGACACTGGAATATCTGTACTTTTTCAAGCAATAGGGCCTCTGGCTAAAATGAATACAGATTTATAAATGTTTAATTAATTCATTAGGGACAGTGATTTTCAGAATTTCTGAGTGAATGAACTGAAACTGTGTTTTATAACCTCAGATATGAAATTGAGTTTTGTTAAAATGACATTTACATGGCCCAACAGATTGAGCTCACAATTAAAGGGAAATAAATGGGAATTAGAATCAGTTGGTAAAGTGTTTTTGTCCTTTGTACTCCATGGTGGGTTAGACTCAACATAATGGAATGTCAAGGTAATGACCCTCAGTTAGCTATAGTTTATCTCTTTTCACTTGTGACTGCCACATGATTCATTTGTGGGCTACAGTCAAGAACCAGAACATCAATACCACAGTTACATCCTGATAGATGATTAAGCTAAAAGGAATGTTAAAGGATGCACTATTATTATATATACTACAGCTGTTGTATTTGGTGCTATTTAGGCAAATCTGTCAAAAATAAACACATTCAAAACCAGTTATTCCTCGAAGTAATCTTCAGTAGTCAGAGGGTTTGTCTACAAGTTGTCTACAAGCAAATACATCAGAAAGGTGTGCAGACAAACTACAAAATAGTTTAGCATAGAATAGCCAAAGTACTACTTAAAATGGTGACAGTAAAACAGTAAAAATTGTAGAAAGGTCATACTAATAATATTTGAATGTAGAAACTTGAGGTCAGTAATAGTGTAATTGGCATTAGTCAAATTTATGGTGGTTAAAGATGTTAAATCTCTCCCAGCAAATGGTTAAATAAGCATATGTGCTTTGATACACAAACTTGATATCTTGTAGAAGAAAGGCTGGGATAAGTCTATTTGTGTGATGACAGGACATGACGTGCTTTTTCTCCTGAGCTCAGAGTTGTGTTTTAAAAGGAGGATTAGGAGTGTGCGCGGCTGGAAGTGAGTGTACACCTGCCAGAGGAAGGTCCAGAGTTGATTGTGGCTCCACCCTGAAGAGCAGGTACAGCCTCCAGAGTCAGTAAGGCAAAATCTCACTTAGCAGCTCGCCTCACTTCTACATTCTTCATTCCACAGTGCAGAGAAACAGAAACGCTACACACAGGTTACAGGTTTCACTTTAACGAAATATGACGAAGTCGTTTAGGTGCTCATAACCTAGCTATAGATGCGTCCTGCTTAATCCTGTAATAAGAGGTAAGTTGAGATTTATTAAGCACTTTGTGAGTCGTGTTCACTCCCTCCACACTTTCTACATTATCAAGTCTTATTCTCAGCTGCTAATGAAAAACCTAAGCGCTTTATCGGTGAACGATCTTACAAGCGTTTTATGTGGCGCCTTTTTTCTTCTTTTTTTTTTTTATTTTAAGCTGATTTTTTATCTGAATCTCGCTACTGAATAGTGTTTGGTGTTTTCAGTTGTTTTTTTGTGGAGTTAATTGGTGCTCATTTTTTGGTCGTTGTGCTACGTTTAAAAACTGAATTAGGCTGTGTGGGCCTGTATTTTAAAAGTGTTTGATCTTTCCAGATTTTTTATAATTTTTAAAAAATTGCTCATAATAATAATAATGATCATAATTTTGTTATAAACTCAAAATTTTGTAAAGTTATTTACTGACTCGTGAAAAAAAAGAAAATTAAAGGGGAACATTAAATGGTTGAGATGTAAAGTCACTCAGAGTGGTTTGATGTGAAGCGCTCCGTTCTAGAGAAACTTACGAGTTAGAATTGTTCACGGTGTTGGTGATGCGAACCAGATGTCTGAGGAATTTAATTCCTCTAAAAGCTGCATCACAGAAAGTTATTACATTAAATGGTTATGAATATGCTGTCTGATACCTGACACATTGTTTTAAGGTAGTTTTGTGTTAAAGTTTTGGTCTAAAATGTCCTGTTAATCCATTTATTTTAATCCATTCATGGCAGAGGGGTACACGCCGGGCATTGTAAGGCAAAATACTCCGCAAAGAAAACTTATTTCTTTCAGATGTATCACTATTTTACCATCATCAACATTACATATAAAACACAGAAGATACGTGTATGTGCACTGGTGGTTTTGGATGGTAAATAAAATAGTTATATTTGTGTTGTAGACCTCGGGACCCCTGGTTCCTATCACCACCAATGTAAAGAAATCAGAGTCGGTAAGTCTCTCTTCAACAAACCACTTTACGTGACACCACTCTGAGTGACTTTGTTTAGATCTCAACCACCGAATCATACAGGATTTTTGAAAAATCAGTAGCGTTATGATTTGAAGTAATTTAGTAGTAGCCAACTCCACTGCATGTACAGCCAAAGAAATTAATAAATAAATTTAAAGAATTTTAAAATTGTTTTCTGTGTGCCTCATTCTAGGAAAAGTCACATTATGTGCTTGTATGTAGGGGGGTAACGATACACCCAGTCCGCACTGGATTTGATTCACAGTGCCAGGTTCTCAATTAAGTATTCTCATAATATTTCGAAAAAAATTCTAAATATAATCACTTTGCCCATCTTACTAATGACACTAGAGCTGGGAGGCAGGAGGGGTGTTGGAGTGAGTTGTTGATTGGCGCTGATAGTGTTTAAACAATGCTGTTATATTAGATGACAGAAGTAACAATGTCAGTTTTCTGCAATGCGTTGTCTCATCTTCAAAATGCACAGTATCACAATATCACAGTTTATTATTACACTACCAGCAGGGCAGCACATATATGAGCACGACTGTGATCTTTTTTTTGGCTACTTATCCTGGGACACATTAACTTCGTTGGAAAATTCTACTTCTATTATTATTCATTTTATCTGTCAATTAATTAATTAATTAATTAATTAAAGGTGGGGTGATTGCACAGTTACTGGAGTTGACTACATACTAGATATCTTTATTGCAGTGCAGAAAGACTCAGTTCTGTCAGTGCTTGAACTGGTTTTGCTTTTCCCTCTGGTTTGCAGGTGCTGTTATCAGCAGTAGGCAGGATGAGTTGGGGAGCGCTATACGCCCAGCTGGGAGGAGTGAACAAACACTCTACCAGCCTGGGAAAGATCTGGCTGTCTGTTCTCTTCATCTTCCGCATCACCATCCTGGTATTGGCTGCAGAGAGTGTCTGGGGGGATGAGCAGTCAGACTTCACCTGCAACACACAACAGCCCGGCTGCAAAAATGTCTGTTATGACCACTTCTTCCCCGTCTCACACATCCGCTTCTGGTGCTTGCAGCTCATCTTCGTGTCCACCCCAGCTCTTCTGGTGGCCATGCATGTGGCATATCGCAAGCGTGGTGTCAAGAGAGACCTCATTGCGACTAGGGGTGACAAAGCAAACGAGGAGGACCTGGAGAGTCTGAAGAAGAAGCGCTTGCCTATTACAGGCTCACTGTGGTGGACATACACCTGTAGCCTGTTCTTCCGGCTCCTTTTTGAGGGTGGCTTCATGTACGCTCTCTACTTTGTTTATGATGGTTTCCAGATGCCGCGTCTTGTCAAATGTGAGCAGTGGCCCTGTCCAAATAAAGTCGACTGCTTCATTTCACGACCAACAGAGAAGACGGTTTTCACCATTTTCATGGTGGCATCTTCTTCCCTCTGCATTGTTCTCAATGTGGCAGAGCTGGCCTACTTAATCGCTAAAGCATTAATGAGATGTTCAGCTAGAACCAAGCGAAGGCACTCGTACGCACATCCAGACCATATGTCTAAAGACAAAACTTATATGCAGAACAAAAAGAATGAGATGTTACTATCACCAGCCTCTGATTCCTCAACTAGCAAGTCTGTATAGGACATCCAGTGCTGTATGATTATCAGTAAAGACCCCTGAGGACATTTTATGTTTTCAGTTAACTTGTTTTATGTTGCCTATGATGATATATATACACATGGTATTGGTCATAAATGCCTAAAAACAGACCGCAGTTGTAAAAATGGCATTGTTTCTCACATTCCACACTTCATTAGTTTTCTAGTTCAGGCTAGAAAGACCAATGGTGACACCTAGTGGTCAAAACAAATAAATGTTCATGTTGACTTTGTTCTCGAATGTAATGTAATTGATCTGTTCTGTTTATGGGCTACCTGACTGACATTCCTTTTGCATTGTCACATAAGGCAGATGCCTATGGTTATGCTGGTGCTTTAAGATGTTTTTATCAATACAGCCAGTCACTTTCACTTTAGTCTAGCCTACCTTACACTGTCTGTAGACTACTAAGGATGTGATTGCATATATCGGTTGCGCAGGCCTCTGTTGGTTCCTCCTTGTCTTCATCTTTTTAAATAAACTTCTTTGCGTTTTAGCTTTTTGAATAAATATTTTTGATTCATTGAGTGATATTCTGTTTATGGTGGATCCATGTTATGTCCTAATCATTTTGCTTGTGTCAGATCATGTAAAAGGAATTGTCAGCCCATTCCAGCCTACAGAGTGCCTTACTAAACTGACTTTGTCAAAGTTGGTGTTGCTTTAGCCTGCAATTATGTACTAAAATGTTTAAATACCAGAGAATAATTTTGCACATCCTGTTCTAATGATCAAGAAATCCAGCTTCTCTTGGTGTTGTTCTGTGTAAGCAAAAGTTACTGACTGCTGCTCCACTGTCTAGTTTTAGCAATGCCCTTGCACCGACCCCTACAGGACATGTCATAGCTATCGGTTTACGACTGTGCCTTATTATAGTTTGTGAATTTGCCTCCCTGTTCTCTGTTAATGGTGAAGCTTTAAGATGTTTTAAGCTTTAAGATGTAGTATAATGTGATGCAAATGTCTTGAGCATTCAAAAGTCAACATGGGGCCCTGAGGGTCAGCCTACCTGTGGACAGGTGAGAGTGAGCAATAGGGCACATAGTTAGCTCTTCTGTTGCACGTTCTTTTTCACCACCATTTGAGGTCACTCAGAAACGTCTTTGTACATGTTCTGCATTTTTTGTACAATTAGATTGCAGGAGAAAATTAGCTGATACCTTTATATTTTGCCAAAATTGAGTGTCATTTGCACAATTGTGTTCTTGTAGTCTATGTTTAACACCATAATAAATTCTTACACACTAGATTTTTGTGGGTGTGATTATGTTTTATTGTTTCAGCTGGGAAGCGCTGGTGTTCTGCCTGTGGAAAGCCGAAGGAGGGCGGTGCGTTTCCATGCTATTTTGGGGAAGGGCTTCATCAACATTTAGCCTGCTGGTAACTTTTTGAATTTATGTATAGTTGGTCGGGCTATAGGCGTGTCTGTCAATCAATCAATAAATGAGTGAAATACTGGCGGATAGGACTGTAGATGATTCGGCTGTGAGTTTTGGGGGGTTTCTGAAAGCTGGCGGACTGCGTGTTAGCCCTGGGTGCTAGGCAGTGAGTGTGTGAAGGCCCGTGTGAAGCTGAGTGATGGGCAGAGAGGGGCGTGGCGAGCAGCGTCCTAAATCCGCTCCTGCATGGCCACACAGAGGGAGAGTGGCGATGGCTGGGATTGGGAGAGAGCTGCGCCTCGCCACAGCCGGTCTCCACGTCCGAACCGAATAACTAGCTGTTTTCCCGCAAACGGCAAAAGGTCGCCCTCGGGTCCACGTGTGAAGAAGTTTTTTGTGCATGAATAAGTTGGCTGGCTGCTTTCAAAAGAGTTTGGTAAGCTGGCAGAGCTGCCAGGATTTGGGGACGGGGGGAGAGGGGAGGGCTCCTGCTGCCTTGGGAGGTCTGTATCCAGCGCACTCAACTTATGGCAGCAATGGCCGCTGGACATTACTTTCTGTAACTATGTTTGGCATCTCCAGTCTAAGGTATGCTTAAAGCTAGGTTGTTACCAATACCATCTTTAACCAATTTCACAAATCCTGGATGAATTAAGGTCTGGTTGCCTCAACTTGGAATTCCTACAGGTTTTCCACTCTGATGTGTTGGAATATCACTGGTTAGTATTGATAACTAACTAACACTGTAGGCATCTTTCACACCTACTTCTGTTAGGTCCATAAAGGACGGGACAACCAGCAGAGGTACAAAAGGAAATCTGGCACCTTCCCTATTATCACACAGGCTGTCATCTCACCTAACCTGAGACAAGATTTTCTCTGCACTCTTGACATTTTTATATTTTAACCTATCATTTTAGCAACAAGTAAAAAGAAGCATTGTGTAGCTAATCGACTTGGTGGATTTACAGTTAAAGAAAGAATATCAAAACATTTATGTATTTATGTAATAATAAGGAATAACCATTTGCAATACAATAGTAAATGTAATAGAAATTTCAACTATATTGAATCATTTTCCCACACTAGAATCAGCCTCAGTTATTCAGTTATTTGCCCAGTGGGACCCACATATTTGGGGATGAACAGATTCACATTATTTAGAGAAAAATATTCAGGAGAATTACTGAATCTGAGTTGCCTAATGTATATTTGCAAGTATTTTTATAAGGATATTTCCATTTAGGAACCATTTAAGAATGTTGTGTATATGTTACCATTTGTACTAATAGAGGCTAAGCACAACAAGACGTTTAACTTTCCTCTGTTTTATCCGTTCAATTGAAATACTAACTATACCTTTACAAGCTCTAATTAAACTACACTGATTCTAATTTTAAAAGTATGAGCTCTAATTGCACTATAATGCTTCTAAATTTCTTTTTTTTTTTCTTCAGGTGTCATAAATAGCGAACCTTAGTCGATGGATTTACCACTCTCAATACAAGAACATTTTAGTAAGTAACATTTTTTCACCTCTGGTTATGAATAAATGCATGTTTTTCTTGCTCTTTTGCTAACTTGTTTCATGTACTGACAAATAAGTTTACTGCTGTTCCTTAGAAATTTGTGTTTTACATACAATGTTCAAAAGCCCAGAGCAATATTCAATTAGTCATTAATGGCAATGGTGTTAATGGTTACATATGTGGTGTGGAAAAAAAGTATTCCTAATTAAAATGGACAAGTGCAGAACTAAAGCAAATCATGTTTGTGCACCTGCTAAAACTGTTCATTTTAAATGCCGATGGGGAGATATTACCCATGAATTTATTTCTGGAATGAAATAGTGGCCTTAAGTGACAGTAGGTTGCGTCATTGTCATTATTTAAATGAAATCTCCATATTCTTCTCTTAAATGTTCTTAATTTGGCTCCATTAGTAGGCCTAACTATGGGAACAGGGTACATCAGGGCCCTCGACATCAGTGTCCACTCAATGCTCTCGGCTGTTTTTGAACATTATAATGTTGATCTCAGCACATGCCTGCTGGGCAGTGGAGCGAACAGGTGAGAGAGAAAGAGACTGCGTGTATGAGTGTGGTGATACAGTGTGTATGAGTGTATGCGTGAGTGTGAGGGGAGTGAGAGAAAGAGTGTGAGAGAAAGAGAGTGAGAGAGAGTTTGCTTACACTGTGCATGCCAGGTTCATAGCAGCCAGTTAGATGACTAAATAGAAAGGGCCAAAACATCTCTATAAAGTTTACAGTTAAGGACGATAACCTACGAAGCTCATATATCAGTATTTGTTTAGTCCTTTTTTTGTTCTCATCATTTGTTTGATTGTTCTGAACGACGGCTGCTTGATCAGTGCTGGGTGACTGGATTTTCCTCAGAGACGTGAAATGCTGTGTGAGTTAGTGTGGGATGGTTGTAAAAGTCAAGCTTGTTCAGTGTATTTTAGCTGTATTGCCATAATCGGTTCAGTTTAAATGTGCCTCCGAGTTGCGAGTCAAGGCAGGCACCACCGTTTGGATTGTTTTGTTGGTGATGCTCCAAACAGCTGTTGCTCACTGTGTCCTGTTGGTAGTTTGTGTTTCTAGTAGTACTTTTACGACAAGACCTCTGATCATGTCCTTTTTCTCCTTCTTCCTCATCTGTTTTTCCCCCTCTCCCTGGCTACATGCCCCTCCAGACTGTACTTTCTCCCTAGGCTAGAAATCGTGAAGCATGGGTGACTGGAGCTTTCTTGGGCGGCTGTTGGAGAATGCACAGGAACACTCGACAGTGATCGGCAAGGTCTGGCTGACTGTCCTCTTCATCTTTAGGATCCTGGTGTTGGGAGCGGCGGCGGAGGAAGTGTGGGGTGATGAGCAGTCGGACTTCACCTGCAACACGCAGCAGCCCGGTTGTGAGAACGTCTGCTACGACGAGGCTTTCCCCATCTCGCACATCCGCTTCTGGGTCCTGCAGATCATCTTCGTGTCCACGCCCACTCTCATTTACCTGGGTCACGTACTGCACATTGTCCGCATGGAGGAGAAGCGCAAAGAGAGGGAGGAGGAACTGCGAAAGGCCAGCAGACTCCAGGAGGAGAAAGAACTCCTGTATAGAAACGGAGGGGGAGGGGAGGTTGGCAGAGGAGGAGGAGGAGGTGGGGGAGGCGGCGGCGGCAAAAAGGAGAAACCGCCAATCAGAGACGAGCACGGCAAAATCCGCATCAGGGGAGCCCTGTTGCGTACCTACGTGTTCAACATCATTTTCAAGACCCTCTTTGAGGTGGGCTTCATTTTAGGTCAGTATTTTCTCTATGGCTTCCAACTCAGGCCGCTGTACAAGTGCGCGCGGTGGCCCTGCCCCAACACCGTGGACTGCTTCATCTCTAGGCCCACGGAAAAGACCATCTTCATCATATTTATGCTTGTGGTGGCTTGCGTGTCTCTTTTGCTGAATCTGTTGGAGATCTATCACCTTGGATGGAAGAAGGTCAAACAGGGCATGACCAACGAATGTGTCCCTGACCACGAGTCGCTAGACCACACTGAGGCGGTGGAGACAGAGTCCATGACCACTGCCCCCAGAACTGCCCCTCCCACCCTTAGCTACCCACCCAACTACAGCGAGGCCACGGCCGAGTTCAAGATGGATCCTCTGCACCAAGAGCTTCAGGAGCCCTCCCCTTTCTACATTAGCAACAACAACCACAGGCTTGCTGCTGAGCAGAACTGGGCTAACCTGGCCACCGAGCAGCAGACTCGGGAGATGAAGGCCACTGCTCCCTCTCCCTCCTCTTCCTCCTCCTCTTCCTCCTCCATGTCCTCCTCCTCTGATAACAAGCACCAGCCCAGAGAAGATGCTCCCCCCACCAGTGTTCCCAGCTCGAGTGGTGGCAGCTTGAATGGCGGAAAGTGTGAGTTTGAGGAAGGAAACGTCACAACTGTGGAGATGCACGAGCCACCTAACACGCTCACTGACCTCCGGCGGCTGAGCAGGGCTAGCAAAGCGAGCAGTGTAAGAGCAAGGCACAATGATCTGGCTGTCTAGTGACCCTACTCACAGCTCAGATTTTTATATATATTAAAACATAAACAGGAGAGTTTAAATGGGAGGAAATGAGAGGCAGGTTGCTGGATATAATTGGGGAATTAAATAAAAAAAAGTACCCTGACAGCTGTGCAGTCAGTGAGTTGTAGTATTGTAGTATTGTAGTATTGAGGTTCAGCACGTGAATGGTGTCTGATGTTAGGTGGTAGTTGAGTGGATGGATAAAAAGTGAATCTGTTCAGATGTTAAGTGTTTAAATGTATTTCACAGTATGACTGAAGGCCTGTCTGTACTTAATATTTAATAAAAAACATATTAAGTGCCTGACAAAATAGATAAAAATCTATTCTATTACAAAGAGCGTTCATAGGTTGCCACTGTATGAGCATTAAAGTTCCTAGATTGTTACATGTAGATACTATGTGGACAGTAGCCTTTGTATCATAAAGCTGTCTTGACTGAACTGTCCTATTAGTGAAGTTAGTTTGTAATTTCTTTATTTTTAGCTCCATCAGAGTACACTGTATCATTTAAATTTCATGGTACTAATTGTTTGTATGCATCTTAGGTTTAATGTTTACTTTGTGTTCAGGAAAAATAATAGAAAACACAAAAAAATACTGATGCACATGCCAAATGCACATCCTCAGATGAGAGAAATCAAACTGTGAAATACTGAAGCACAGTGAAATATGTCTTGTTTGATATATTTCCAATCAATATTATTACTTACATTAGTATAAATACAAATACAGATGTTATTCAGAGGCTATAGCTTTTAGCTAATGGGGACTGACATACAGGAACTACAATTCACTGATTCAC